GGATCTCAATGTTTAAGTTTAGTTTTTTAAAAATATAACATGATTGGTTAATTGAAAAATTAAGGTTCCCAACGGTCACAGAGAGTATAAATGAAGTCTCAACTGATACTATCAAATGGTTAAAAATCTGGATATACAAATTTAGGTTATAATTGTGACACAATCATATAAATTGATTTTTTTTTTTTATCGTGTTACCTATTTCAAATGAAATAATAATAATAAATTGAAAAAATAGTTAAGTTTGGTTTGAATTTGAAAAATTAACCTTGAAACACCACTAATTATTATTATATTTGAAAAATGAACATATCCTAAATTATGTTAATTTATTGTTTTTATTTATACATAAAGATTCAATAGCTGATGACAATTCATTAGGTAAAATTGATTGCATAGAATTTCTTTATTGTTTCTACAAAATAGTAATGAATTAAGTTTTAAAATGGTTTTACAATTATTACTTTTGGTGTGTTTAGTGTCTCATCTTCTTCAATATCACTATCATTCATGAGTTTTTCAACTAAATTCATGACTACATTTTCATTACGCTCACTCCATCGCAGAGATTTCCTTGAACTCATCTAATATAGAATAAATGATATATTAATTTATATTTGTTATTAAGCTTGATTAAATTGTTTAGAATAATAAAGATAGTATATGTTAATATTAAAAATATAAGATATTAAACTTGTCAACAAATAAACACCAAAACTTAAAAATTTGCTAAATATCCCTTTGATTAGATTCTTATTACTTGCAATATGCAGGCTCTAAATAACAACTGCAAATTTCTTGATCAACCTTGCAAGGCACAGTACAAAGCTTTAAAGGCCATACACTATGTCAGAACAGAATTGATGGAAAAAAAACAGTACCTTAATCTTTAATGGGATGGCACATGTTAGTGCGCAGGCTCCGTTCCAACATAGTATGTGGCAGGCAAGCTTTAATAAAGTTGTCAACTTAAATTCACCATAAACTTGGTTTAAAAAACGAACAGTAATTTTTAGTGTCTTACAGCAGGATGCTTAAATACAAGTATAAAAAGCACAATTAACAATAAAATTTAACTCCAAAATCTAGTTATTTGTAGGATATCAATGAGTAAATAATTAAACATTATTTAAATTATTCTACTAACTAATTACTTCAATTAAGTAATTAATAAAAACAAATTTTTGACAGAGTTTAAATTTTAATATTGAAAATAATGCAAAATTCATCAAACAAAATCATAAAAAAATAATATATATACTATATTTTCATTGAAGATGCATTAAATAAAACATACTTTTGGAGTAGTTGGAACATTTGCATTCTTGGTTGGTGTATTATTTGAATATTTTTCTTCCATTTTCTAAAACATAATACAAAAAAAAAAAAAAAAAAATGTATTTATTTATTAATATTATAACTATTAACTAGGTATATACTAAAAATAAAAACAATTATAACAAAAAAATAAGGTAGATACATACTTTTTGTGAACTAGGTGAAAGTATTGATACATAATTATTGGAATCAATACGTTTTAAATTTAATTTAATTGCATGCTAATTAAAAAAAATTAAAAACTATTAATTATATTTTCATTATAATATTTTCAATATAAAGCTTATATATACATACCATTTTGTATATTTTATCTTCAAGATGGTGTTTGCTTTCATCAACCAGTAATTCTTTTATTACATTTTTAGTTTTCTTAGTCTATAATTTAATACAAAACAATATGAAATATAACTATATTACAGACTATAATGTATATGAATCAATGATTACAGAAATGTCATGAGTCAAAAATTTTAAGTCTTCTTCAAACAAACATTCAATTTTTTTTTACACAGAAATTATATATAATCAGAATATAATGTTTCAATAAGTATTTATTCTTAAATTTAATTCGTTTTCAAAATTATTTATACAGTTATTACAGTTTTTTTTATCAAATATCCAAAATTTTTAAAAAATTGACTCATGACGTTTCTGCAATCATCGACTATGTAACATGACCACCATTGGATCAATATAAATCAATATAAATGAATTAGGTATAATTTTTTTTTTTTATTTTAAATTTGTATAATATACAATCTATTCCTGAGGAATAATAAAAATATGTGATGATAGATGGTAATAACATGATTAAATGATGGGAAGAGCTACCCAGTGGTAACACTGCCCTTACTTAAGTTATTGTTTATTAGTTATTAAGAAGATCACGACACCATTCTCTTCTAAGCCTCCTGGGGGGGTTTCCAGGAATTGTGAGGGAGGAAAGATTTGAGATGAGTGAGTTGATGTGGAAAGGAAGTTTGGAATGGAAACGTTTGTAAAAAGTGACTGCTTCCTCATGAACTGTTTTGATTTTTAGGTCAGAGTGTAAAGTTAAGTTAGAGATGTATGGTGGAAAATTTGTGATTTTGCGAAGGATTTTATTTTGAAGGGTTTGAATTTTGTTTGTATTGGATTTTTTAGCATTGCCCCAGAGCTGGATGCCATAGGTCCATATTGGCTTTAGTAGGGATTTATAAATTAGGAGTTTGACATCTAGAGAAGTATGTTTGTTGTTCGATAATAGGGTTTTAAGGACGCAGAGACGAGTATTTAGGGCAAGCTTTTTAATTTTGGTGTGGTGTGACCATGTGAGTCGGCGGTCGATTGTCAAGCCTAGGTAGGTATAATTTAAATACCAAGTATAATAGGTACCTATAATTATTTTAACAAAATAAAATAAATTTGTTGTAAATAATTTTGAATAGCTAAATTATTAATAACAATGATTACACATTTTAATACAAATTATTCATATAATGTTATTTTTGACATAAGAGATACATTTTCAAACTTAATATTAAAAAGCTTGACATACTTTGCTTTATGGGTAGAAACTTGTTTGTGAATGAGAAGTTATAGGATATAGTACAATTTATTTCATACATTAAAAGTAACAATAACTCGATGCAATCAAAAATCAATCTGAGCAGAGCACAATAATCTTGTACGGTTTAGCATTAGTAGTTTCTTTTTTACTAATAGTTAAGGTAAACCAGAAATTAATAAAAAAAAAATTGATATATCATCAATTACTGTCACCTATTTCAAATTTTTTATAAAAATTGGGAATTTAGAAAAAATGTTCAAATAAAATATCAACGGTCAAATTATCCAAATCATTTAAAGTAAAATGTAAACATTTTGGAACATTTTTACTAACTAAAAAAGTGTAACTACATAAACCTATAGTAAAATGATATTTCAATGCTTATGTTTTAAAACTTAATTTATATAGTATACCTACCTATAGTTTTATAATTTTAACAAAGGTAGATATTATTTATATTATATTTTTATACATAGTGTGTGTATTATTGATGTATTATATTCATAGAAATAGATAAAATCAAATTAATAGTCAAAATATGGTTTGATGATATATTATATGTAAATTACAAATATTTAAATATACATACCTAATTAATTAGATTGATCAATAAGAGTAGAGTTAAATAAATTAATATATAAAATTAAAAATAATTTATCTTTAATATAAATATCTGAATAATCTGCAAAATGTCTATAGGTAAGTGCCTTAAGAAAATTAAATAAAGAAAAAAAATAATTGCTAAATATAAAAACAATTTCAGTCTTAATATTCGGTTGGAAATAAACAGAGAACTGACGAATGATGACCACGACCACTACAATAATGTGACGAACGAAACAAACGAAGGAACGTGGAACGTTCCGTAAATCGCAATATCACAAAAGTAAAAAATAATGATATTCTTCTGTAGCCTATACTAAATTTTAGAAAATAAAACAAAGAATTCGCGGGAAACGGTATCACCAAACATATGGCATGACCGGTTTATAACCCGGTGATAAGCATAAATGATAAAAGAATTGATAGGATCACGGTTATTGATAGAACCGTGAATATGTAACCGTAGATCCGTGGATAGGCCATGTACATATAAAAGAATTTAATATTTATGTCTATGGAATAGGCAGAGGATAATAGACCTTATACCTACCACAATTATTTAATGACGTTTAATGTTTACTGTCGTACTGTTGCACTAATAATAATAAACATCTTTGTAAAACCATAAACTACTTAACCGCTTCACTCAAAATCTGAAATGAGTATATTTACCTATATGTATAATATACATTATACAAAAATATGCGTAGTATATTTTTGCATTACTTACTATTATTTTTTTCCTTTTTTTACTTAAAAATATAGATATTTTTCTTAACCCGTTTGTTTATCCAGGAAAGTATAAGAATAGGATAAGACAATAGCATAAGACATTACTATGTGTTTTAGATGATTAAAACTTAAAACAAATCAAAGGGCGAAATGGATTTTGTAAGTACCTAACGCGAAAACAATATGTATATTGTAAACATCTATTATACAAATTAAATATGACAGTAATAATTCTTTGCTAATTTAAATAATTTGTTGTACAGATAAAGTAGAAGTGTCTGTAAACAATTTTCATTTAGAATATAAAGAGTTAAACTTTGAAAAAATGTCCGTAATATGACGTTTAAAAGTGGTACTGTATTAATGATAACATTGATTGCACTCAGTAAATAGCGAACACAATTTCGTCACCGTTATTAGACCGTGATGGCGGACAAATGCATTTATTCTATCACAGTAAGCTATCTAGTTTGTATATATATATCTATGGCTTTGAGTCTTTGATGATTTATAGTATATTTTGTACAAAGATATTATAATAATTGCAACTGTATTAACTAGGTAGTCATATTATATTTCTATGTCAATTTTAGAAAACCATAATACAATCCATTTAAAATTCGTATAGGTATGTTAAAGAGAGTAAAAAATATCCATCAAATTCGACTAATTGAAAAAAGATACTGATAGAGATCTGTTTAAATTTTACATTATTGTAGTTTGTGTAGGTACAGATACCTATATTAATATATTATTAATTATACGGGTAATAAGTATGTTAAGAATTGGCCAGAAGGTGTCGGACGTTCGTTTAGAAACTACTGCGGGCAACTTCGGCGTACATGAATACTTCAGAGGCAGGTAAGTTACGATGATGTACATGCGGTTTTCGGAATTTTGCAATTAATATTGTAACAAAAAAATAACAACTATCAACTGAACTCCGTTCAGAATCGTTTTTTTCGTTAACATTGGTTAATCGTTGTGTACAGACATACATTAAATTTCCCTTCTACCACCTTCCCAATTTCCGACCTACAATAATGACCCATCCACGTGCGAAGTATGTCCGTCTTTTTAATTTTTAAACATTATTATGACCATACAATTTTAAAAAAATCATCATTTTTGTTATTTATTATATGTTTTATAGTTGGGGTTTAATAGTATGCTATGTAACTAATTTTTCTGCTGTATGTGCTGATGAGCTGAGTCAATTGGTTTATAAATTTCATGAGTTTAAGAGTCGTAATGTCAAAATATTAGCCATGTCGTGTGATTCTGTTGAATCTCACATCAAATGGATAGAGGTAAAAAAAAAATCTATATTCTGATGATAGCAGAAGTACAGCATAACATCGATAAGTATATTTATAATATAATATATTTTAATTTATAAGTATACCTATTGGCTATTATATCTTAAAAATATTGAAATGTAAACATTAATAAAAATAAATTTGTCCATCTACAATGTTATTACAGGATGTAAAAAAAATTAGCGGAATTAAAAGTGTCAAAGAACAATTATTTCCGTTTCCAATTGTGTCAGATCGTAATCGTATGCTTTCGTTGTATCTTAACACATTGGATGCAAACTGTACTGACGAAGATGGTATACCTTTACCTTGTAGAGCTACATTTATTTTGGCGCCCGATCTCACTATTCAACTGATACACTTTTACCCGCAGACCATTGGACGTAACTTCGAGTATTTATTTAGAAAACTGTTATATTTTTTTAAGATATTGACAATGAATAATTTGCTTTTTAGTGAAATATTTAGATCGATAGACGCATTACAACTGTCATACAAATTCAGCAACACGGTGTTTACTCCTTCTGGTTGGAAAGTGAGTACCTACGTAAAAATCTAAAATCTGTCTCGTAACTACAAAAAGAGATTACTCAATACACCGGGTTTGCGCATAGCGACTGCGAAAACGTTTTCCACCATAATGCGGGCACCAGTAAACCGGTTACTATAGCATATGCGCGGAAACGAACAAACACTGGTCGGCCAGCCAATGTAATATGTATGTTTTAACATTGTAATCAATGGCTTTAGTACATTTTCCGTACGCAATATTTCATAAATATTTGATTTAATTTGGCTTGATTTTACTTGTGAAAATGAAATTTATGGGCTGTTGACTTAAGTCTAGTGGGTACTATAAATAATAAATCTGAAGTCGGTCATTTTCAAAACAATTTTTGGCAAATAATTGGCAATATAATGTCATAAGCATAACTTTCAATTGTTATAAAACTAATAATTTTGTATTTGTCATTGTCAACCGTAATATAATTATGATTGACACAATTCCACTAGGTCTATTATAATAATATTATTGGTATCTTTATCCATATGTACGTCTATTAAAATTATAATAATGTTTTATCAGTATGTTTTCTGTAGTTATTATTTGTGCTAAATGGCTTAGCCGGTGTATTTTCTTAATAAATAAATACGTTAATACATGATAAATTCAATATTATTATTTTTAAAATTTGTATCTCTTAGCCAATCACGGATTGCATGGCATCACCGAAAATAAGTAGACATGACATTGAAAAACAATTTCCTTCTTCGATGATTATTGAACTACCATCTGGAAAAGAATATATGTGTATTGTTCCAAAAGAAGAAATTAAAAGCACCCAAAAAACACATGAAAAATGATTATAAAAAAAATTAAATTAAAATTATATTTGAAATGTAAATCCCTTTCCACCATTTATTATTATTATTATTATACTGTTATTAACATTTTCATAATAAAATAAATTGACTATTAATATTCTAATCAGTGAATGCGTTTTTTTTTTATTATCATTTGTTTAAATGTTGCTTTGATTTACCAACAAATGAAAGTAAACTAGGTTCATTGATTAGTGAAATTTATTCGTGATACTTATTAACTTTCTGTCAATGCAATCTCAATTATTGTCATATACTCATTTATACACACATAGTTAATACTAAAATGTATAGGTATTTATTATTTCATTATTTTAAACAATGTAAATGTTTAAGAAAGAGACGGGGGCGTATTTTGCTTAGTTTTATAGGGGGAGGGGGTGACACTAAAATTATTATACACATAGGTATATTCTACTCTATTGGTCTTGCCGTGAAATGTTTTTTTTTTTTTTTTTTTTTTAAAAAAAAAAAAGAAACATCGGCTACGAGGCCATTAGTTATAATAGTACATTAATTAAAATTAATTAAATATATTACATTTTGTATAAAAATTCTTAAATTAGGTTGTACAGTTTGGTATCCTTTAAAAAGTTGACTATGTTGGTATTTGATTGGAGGTCTGGTTGTAGAGCTTCACTAAGTTGGTAAGGAATGGAGTATTTGGATCTTGAGTCTGCGTATTTGAGACAATCAATGATTATATGTTCGACGGTGTACTCCACTCCGCATGTTTCGCATATGGGGGGGGGGTCTTTTCTAGCCATGAGGAACCAAGAATACACGTGTGTCGCGGTCGGTTGCTCAACACGTACTGGTTTTTATTTTTATTTTTGTGTCTGATGACACTTTTCTAGCAGCTATAATGCTAAACATTCAATTTTAGTTTTCATTCTAAGATGTTTGTATATATATAAAGGATGATTCACTAAGCATGCTGACACCATTTTTTGGTTAAAATTTGCATATATTCAAATTCTGATTTTAGGAATTTTTAAGTGTGGTTAAAGCCGATATTTTCGAATATTTAGGTTTTTCCCAACATTTAAGTAGTATCCTGTGGCGATACCAATTTTTGTTTTTTGAACGAGATATTTGTTTTATACAGTTTCATTCATCAAAGAATTTACGACACAAAAGTCATAATAATATAATATTAATTATCTATACATATAGTTATATATAAGAATAACTATTCTTATTATTGAATATAAAGTATTTTTTTCGTAACTACTACATAATGAACAGTGAAAATTAAAAGATAATTAATAACGTTCAACGAATAATTTTTATAATAATACCAATGGTGAAATGTTGAAGCCTAAAATAGTAAATACTATTTATTATACCTAGGTAAACATTTTTTTTTAATATAATAGCTAAAATAAAATTCTATATATTATTATGTAATCTCGTGTTAAAGATCGTTATAAACTTATCTAAGGGTTCTGATTATTCATAATTAATTGATAAAATCAACTTAAAATAATGTGTTATTATACAATGTTGTTTATTAAAAATGCCGTACACTCAATATGCATTTAGTATATAACTTAACAACGTTTAATATTTAAATCATAGAATAATATTATTATTAAATCATTTTACAGATTCGCTGACACAAACCGGCGTGTATTTTCCTTTAAAAAGTAAACCAGTGTTTACTTAAGGATTAGGTATAGTTAAAATTGGAAAATTACCATTAGATATTTTAATTTAGTTTTAGCTTTTGTACACAAATAATAAATAACCACGTTCCGAGTACCTATTTTGTTTATTGGTCCATAAAACATTTCAACACTTAAGTTTATGTTAACTAATACTCAATATATTTATGGACTTTTTAATATAGGTTGCCATTTGAAAAGCAAAGTAGGTAGTTGTTTTATTCGCAAAATAAGGGTGACAAAAAATGACACAAGTATAAAATTGTGGAGCAGCTTGTTTCTTAATTGTTCTGAAAAACAAATTACGAAAAGAGTTAATACTTTCCGAGATACTGAATGTTCCCATTTAAATGGATCACCTGGTATAAACAGGTATACGGCGTCGCTGAAATACCGCCTTATTACTTTAATAGTCGTGAAACATGACTCTCAGGAAAACTATGGTTGGCCGAACCATAGCTGTCATGGTATGTGGTTGATCAAATAAATGGTAAATTTAATTTGTGTTTGGTATATTTATAAAATTAATTAATCTTGTTGCCAATACTACACATTATGGCATAGTATAGGTATCTGATATATGAGTGAAGGTAAATTTATTGAGTCCCAAACGAATGTATCGTTTTTCTAAATCGGCCCCTCGTATAAAATTAAAGCAATACATTTATTAATATAAATACGCCCTTTCAGTCGGGACACGTTTTTAAATTTTTTACATTGACATTATAAGATAACATTCCGGGAATTATCATTAATATTGACATTGTTATATTAAACGTAACAAACCAATATAATAAATAATATTATCAATTTATGATATAATAATTATTATTTATTTTATATGAATGCACGAATAAAAAAGACGGACATACTTCGTACGTGGGTGTAACCACTGTTGTAGGTAGAAGTTGGAAGGTAGTAAAGGAGAAATTTAATATATATCTGTAAGTAAAAATAAACCATTGCTAACGAAAAAACGATTCTAAGCAGAGTTCAGTTGATAGTTGTGCTTTGTCAACAATATATGTCATATTATGGTAAAATGATTATAACAATGTGTGTTTCCATGACAACAATGATTGTTTGAATTCAACAATGACTGTTGAAGGTAGGATACAGACGGAAATTTAATGTATATCTGTAAACCGTTAAACGATAAAGCATTGCTAACGAAAAAACGATTCTGAGTGGAGTTCAGTTGATAGTGTTGCTTTACAATTACAATTAAAATACAATTTATGGTATATATCATGTTATGGCAAAATTATTACAACAATATGCATTTCCTTGACAACAATAATTGTTTAAAAATATTTAAATAACAAAAACTTAATACTAACAAAAAATAAATAAAAGCGGTTGCCAATTACAACATTATTTATAATCTTTCAATGTTTTTTAACCTAAAGAACCAGGTTTTTCTCACTATCTCGAATATTAATGAGAATTAAAAAAAATGACTTCTTTGATGTACCATCCAGAGAACATTTCCTTTCAGAAAAGATGCTATACTTAATAATCAGAGTAAGCTTTTTGGCAGAAAGTGTTCATAAAAAAAAAAATGGGACTTAATCTACCGAAGAATCCACTGAACTTTGTTCAGTGACCGAATTCGTGATGTATCGTATAGTTCCACGACTATTATAATAATATTATACTCCTGGGTCGACCTACTTAGCCGCAGAGGCATATTTGACTTAGTTTAAAGTTTTATGGGGGGGGGGGGGTTAACACTAAAATTATTATACACAAGGTATATAAACTGTACACAACCTTATACTCTACCCTTTAGATCTTACCACGAAGTGTTTTTATTTTTATTTTTCTGTCTGATGACACTTTTCTAGCAGAAATAGTGTTAAACATTAAATTTCAAAAGAGATTTCTGGTAACAAGATTTAATTTTTGTATATATACATATATAATACTTGGCAAATATCTACATAAATTAATTGATGGGGAGAGGGGTTCGATTGCTTTCATCGCCCCCCCCCTTGAAATAAGCCACCGCTTAGCCGTGAAGGCGCCCGAGCGAGTATTTAATACTGGGTACGACGCTTATGATAAGGATGAACGGGTAGGTGTAGGTAATACGGGCATTCTATCATATTATTGACGACGTAGGTGCGTGGTGACGTAGTAGTAGCTTACGACCGGGTACAATACCGCAGTTACCGTATAGTACGACCAAAATAATAAGCGGTAACTCTGAGCGGCCGAGGCGGAAGACGAAGTCGCGGGCAACGGCGGCCGCATTAATAGCATCAAGTCGACGTTGCCCCGGCCGTTGTTGTCGGTCACGATCGCGTAAACGCCGCCGTCCGATTGTCGGCTCGACAGCGACGGCGTGGGCGCCGTAGTTGCAGCTGACCGCTGGTCGGCACGCACCGCGACCACGGTCGTTTGGTCGGCCGCCGCCGCCGCCGCCGCTCGGCCCGTCGCGTCCACTCGGTCGCCGCCGTTCGTCGGCCAATGCGTGTACAGTCTGCCGTCGCTTACGGTGCTGTTGGCCGTCGCCGTGGTCGTTTTCTGTTCCATGACGATGTTGTATACTCGCGGTTGCACTTCCGCCGGATCATCCGCCACGCCCCGTTTCGGCGGCACTTCGACCAGCACGGTTTGCTCGTCGTGTCCGTCCGCGTTCGCCTGCAGTACCGACAAATGCAAATATTGTTTAAATGACGAAACAGACGTCCCCATATATACTCGATGCCCGGGAGGGGGTTGGGAGCGGATTAGGCCTAACACGTAGCCTGAGCTGACACCAACTGATAGTTTTTTTTAGCTTTTAATAAGTATAGGTATAGTACGTACCTATATATATATACATAATAAAGACTATAGTTTTTCAATAATTATCTATACTGTCATATAATGAAGACGGTGAATTTTTGGTAAAATCGTACAAAGTTCGTTTATGTAAAAGAACAACGAACTCGGTTGTGAAATATTTTAGTATTTCATTGCCTATACTGGCTATACTGCAGTGTAACATTGTTCTGCAGTGTTACGGATTCATTACGAAAAGGCAACCAATTACATCCGTCAAGTAGGTATACGTGTATAGTAAATAGGTACTAATGGTACTTTGATTATAGTACCGTACTATAATAGCGCGTTTTATACAATATTTATGCACGAAATGGAGAAATACCTATTCAATTTTATTTGCAGTGACCATTTCACGAAATGGCCACTTAAAAGCTCTTGGCGGGTCGTATTATATTAAATAAAAATTATATGGTCTATATTCATTAATAATCGATCAACTTCTTTTATACTCTATAGATGATCCTCTGCACTTCTATAAAAACTTCTGGTGGTACTGATTGGTATTATTATTATTTTATTATTGGTGTATATTTTGTTGATTTATAAAACCTAGGACACGAGATACGAGTATAATATTGATGCACGAGTACCTATAGGTTGGTATAATACGTTATTTGTATGTAAATAAATGTATAGTAGATGTTAAGGCGGTATTTCAACAACGTTGTGTGTCGTGTCGTGTTCACAGATATATAGGTACATGGTCACCCATGGGGGGGGGTGCAAGACGAGGCACTTTCTCCCTGAAATAAATATTATTTTTTTTAAATTTAAATTTGAAGATTTGAAAAGAAAAACAATAAGCTTCAAGAATTAATGTTAAACTCTTGAATCAGTGATAACAATTATATAAAAAAAACAAAATAATAATAATGAAAAAACAAATTAATACAATACATTAAATCAAAAAAAACCAGCTTGGTTGACGAAGGAAGTTAACTATGAGGAAAGTATAATTATTACATTTTTATTTTACCCCTCCTGTTATATTAATTTATACGGGCGCTTATGCATATATATATATGCTGATAACATTAAAAAATAAATTGACCAATGTAATTAAAATAAGAAAAAAATTGAAATTAGATGAGCCCTGGAAAATTTCGGGTATAAGTTAAGACTTTGGGTTACTAAATGTTACCAAAACTACAACCGTCAATCAGAATACTACAAAAGACATACGACTTAAGACGTCGCCGGAATACTGCCTTTAAGTATGAACTTTTGTGTACTTACGCGCAGTTTATATACACCTGGTAGTAATATTTTCCAGTACTCTCCATTCGAAGTCGTCTTGAATACATTTTCTCGGTCTAATATTCTGAGAGTGGCATTTTTTATTGGTTCACCAGTGGATCGGCTCCTGACGATACCTTTAATGCCTCTGTGTGTTTGTTGCATCCAAGTTAGGAGTGCCTAAAACCACAACAACGACTTTATTATTCTAAACAATAACGGTCGACATGATCATTTTGAGTTTTTTTTAACATGCATATTTTATAATTTGAAACATTATAGTATTTATGTGATATTATTATTATAATTATTATAAGTGGTAATAAGTATCAAAACATTAAATCTGAAATATTCTTGTAATAAATTGCATTTTTAGCTATTGACTATTTTAGTGTTTACCGGTAAATTATCATTCCAGTGAGATTCTAAAAATTCAGCTGGTGGGTATTTGCAACACGACATTTCAAGAGTAATTTCCATGCATCCGTGCCATACATAATTGTAATCTTGCATACTTCCTATGTAAATATGCACAAAGAATATTACTGGCACATGTGTTTTAGGTTTGAACTAACTTGACAAGGGTAAATTTTACTATAAAATATACTTGGTAATCTAACAGACCACTCTACGAGTATGTTAAGTTTACGGTTTGTAGTATGAAATCAAATATTATTGTATAAGTATATAAGTGTATAACAATTTCTAAATATGTGTATTGTATAGTACCTACATTTAAATTTTTTTTTTTATTAATGTATAAAATAAATGAATACTACTTACTGGAAATCAATAAAAATATGATCTAATAAACATAAATAGGAATAAATAATATGAAATTCAAATTTGAATTAAAACAGTGATTAATAATTTTACCATTCTGGATATTATTATCTTGTATAGAAAAGGTAAATCTATATTTCTCTGTATACGAAAAAAATAAATAAAAAATATATGATAAATACCACTCGTACCTACTAGTACCTAAATATAATATACAGAAAATTAAAAAAATATCTTACCTATTATTTGATACCAGGCAGCCCCGTTCGTAATACCGTCTTTGAATTGTTTATTATCAGAACAGCTTTGGCCCAAATGCATAGTCGGATGCATTTTTGCATACAATTTTGCCAAAAATCGAAACTCGTTATCGTCGGGTGTTAAGTGTTCGCTGTTATCGAAAGTCGGTACTGTCCAAGAAAAACAATAAAAATAAGTTAATACGTATAAATATTGTGGATATTGTTATTTATATACACATAATATTACGACGGTGCTTAACTGTTAAGTGTTAATTTGCGAGTTTCCTGTAAAATGGTTTATTATGAGTACTTATACAAGTTTATTACCGATACCGTTCGAGTTTAATGACGGCTGACTCGCCACTTTAGGCAACATCATTGATTTGTTTTCTCGTTAGTTTATATTAGTTAAGATAACATTATTTTTATTAACATCAATGCACAGCAAAGGTTGAAAATCAAAATAATAACCATACACAATAAACGTATACAATTGTTTAAATTTAATGACGTAACATAAAATAGCAAATTATGTTTAGGTATACACGCCCTTAACTATATTATTATGTTACTAGATGAGCTTATTAGCAGTGATATTTATTGTTATTATTTTTTTTTTTACATATAAGCTTTAATAATATATATTATATTACAGTGGGTGCAGTGTGCAACAATTTATGCAGTGGTTCGTTACTAAGGGCATTTTCGTGCTTAAATTGAAATTTACTTCAACATTTTTACCATTATTTTTAAAATATGCTTTGTAGAGATCTACAACATTGACGATGCGTAATGTTTCGTTTAATTTCTGCAACTTGTATGCTACTGTTACGAAAAAAAAAGAATTGTTTTAATTTGTTATGTAACATACCTACCTATAATTATACGTTATGTGAGTATTATGACTAAACTCAGTGGCTAAGAGGCTATCATAGTTAAGCCACTGACTGTACTTTACTACCTATATTAGTAAATCAAAAGTTTACTCGTAAAAAGTGGGCCGACATCTTTTCAATAGTTTTTCCGAATATTATTACAGTAAAACTTCCATATAACAGTCACCGAAGGGACCGGAAATAATGGCCGCTATTTAGGGGTGACCATCCTTTAAAGGCTTCCTATAGAGGCATAACACTTGACGGAACCAAAAAAAATATCTGTTACATAAAGGTGACCGTCTTTCAGAGATAGCCGTTAACGGAAGTTTTACTGTATAGATTTTATCCAACTATTCAAGTATAGATTTCGAAGAAGTTTAAGTTTCGCCAAAAAAAAAGTTATCGCGAAGAATAAAATAGTTTCACAATGATCGGAAACGTTATAATTACGATGTTTACCTTCGTAATAATTAAAAGATATGGTGCTTTTCATCGGATAACAATATAATATATTATTATACCTATTGTATTATTTATCGTCAACATTATATATTTTCAAATTAATCGATTTAAAAGAAAAGAAAACTCAAATAAAATCAAGTTCAATTATAATTTATAATAACAATATTTTATTAATAAAAAAATAAATAAAAAAATCTAGATTGCACTAGTAGTATGTAAGTAGCTAATACCTAACTTAACCTATACGTACTTAGAGTAAATGACACTCACGCGAATCTTCCGAACCATCGTAGGGATAATTGGCTACTAAATCACCACTGTGTAAACTCAGAGACATGACGAATGGAATGGATTGCATCCACTTCATGATTGCGTCGGTTTCGGGTTGTAATGGAACCGTGTGCGGTATAAACGCGTCAGGGAAATTTCTATTTAAATCGAATTTTTTCGCGTTACCTCTAAAAAAATAAAATAACGATAATTGAACACCTACTTAATAAAGGTGTTCGATGCCAACCGTAGGTACAGGACATTTTTTAAAGAGGATTTCTATGTCCAAATTGACACACAGACAAGTCGGTAAAGGACACTCAGTAGAGAAAGATTGTGCTTTGTGTATCCAATTGTCCACTAAAAATGTAGGTAAATGATTGAATTAGTAGATTTCATGAGAAATTTTTTTATAAAAAATATTCTCACTGGGGTAACTGGGGAAAACCCAAAAATTCAGGGGAAGGTTTGGTCTATCTATTCGTGGACCTATTTTTAAGGGAAAAAGGAGTGGATACACAATGAATATTCATTAAAAAATGTCCTGCAATTGAAAATTAATAATATTGTTATATTGTTACCTAGAACTCTTTACTATACTCCCGTTGTTTGGACAAGATTGAGGCTCTGACAGTTCAAATCCATCGGGATTCATGCTCGGCAACAGGTGAATAACGGTTGTTTGTAACAGTTTGTTTATCAATTTGTTTTTCGATTTGTTATGTAACAAATACTATTTTCGAATAATTTAATATTATTATAAAGACAACATATACATTTGATATTTAAACAGAATGTTTTATTGTTACTTTTTTAAAAAATAAAAAAGCATCCTGCGATAATGTATTTGTGTAGGCACGAGTACTAAATACGTTTATACGAGTGTCATAATATACTTAATAAATAATGTTCAGATTTTTAATCTAAATAGGTTTAAATTGATGGTGTTTTTTTTACCTGAATCAGGTGTAAAATTATTTCTCTCCCGACGGGCTCGTTTCCGTGTATATTTCCAACGATTTTGATATTCGGTACACCCAATAGGTCGGTCGCAGATGTCAATTTGACAACCCATAGTTCACGGCCTATTGGGACAAAATTAAAGATTAGTTGGCACAGTTATATTTTTGTATTATACAGGGTGTCATGCAAAGATATATCTATTGAAATATCTCTGCAGAGATAATAAAGATAACTTAATTCTGTATTTATTTTTTTTTAGATTCTGAATAGAATGAGGAATGTCTTGGTTTTACAATGATGTTTATTTTATTTTATGTGAACACTTTTTCTACCAGAAAGCATACTCCAATTTTCAAGTATAGCACCTTTTCTGAAAGGAAATGTTCTCTGGGTGGTACTTTAAAAAAGTCATTTTTTTTAAATTCTCATTAATATTCGAGATAATGGGGAAAACCTTGGTCTTTAGGTTAAAAAAGATTGAAAGATTATAAATAAGGTTGTCATTGGCAACCGCTTTTATTCATTTTTTGTTAGTATTAAGTTGTTGTTATTTAAATATTTTTAAACAATTATTGTTGTCAAGGAAACGCACACTTTTGTAATAATTTTGCCATAACATGATATGTACCATATATTGTATTATTGACAAAGCAACACTATCAACTGAATTCCGCTTAGAATTGTTTTTTTGTTAGCAATGGTTTATCATTTAACGGTTTACAGATATACATTCAATTTCCGTCTGTATCCTACCTTCCCAACTTCCCACCTACAACAGTGGTTGCACCCACATGCGAAGTATTCTGAACTCGCAGCAGGTTTTTACAGGGGTACCGATTTTTTATTATTATTACTCGCAGGGTTAGTGAAAAACTTAATATAATAATTTTTTATTTTATTATTTTTGATAAACATAAAGATAGCCATTTAAATATAATTTATTTTTCTGATAATGTGAACATTTCAACTTTTATTTTTATTAAATTGGTGGTGTTTAATAATAAAGTTCAGAGAAAAGTAGGCACCTAAAATTATGCAGCAGGCTGTAATCGCATTCGATAGTTTCATATTGCTATTATTACTGTACTTACTGTACATTTTTTTTCTCAGAACTTTAAAAATTTACTGAAAATATTATGAATTTAATAAAAATAAAATTTTCAGAAGAATAAACTCAATAAAATGTCTTCAAATTTTTTTCAAAAACAATATAGTAAAAAGTAATTTATTTTGTAAGTTTTTTACTGAAAGATAAAAGTTAATTTAAATATAAATATGTATGATGTTTTTCCCTGTGTATAACATGAAAAAAATCAAAATTTGATTATCTTTATAATTATAATAATAATAATATTTTCTTTATTACGGAAATAATTATATCTTTGTGGGACACTATACATTTGCATCTATAATGTACCTAGGAAAAAATGCATTAATAAAATTAAAAAGCCGTACATTGCACCATGGGTAGACCACTACCACCTACAACTATAATAGTTGTAGGTGAGAAATTTTGAAGGTATAATTGGATATAGAGTAATTTAATTACCATAATCATTAGAATAAAACAAAAGAATGATTCTAAACGGAGCTTGGTGAACACATATAAAACCAATAGGGAGTTACTCGTTTCTGCCAAACATGCGCCTTTCTCTTTTCCATCAAATTTTAAAATTCGTCGATTCCTGTTTCCATCAAAAGTGTACCTTTCTCTTTTACGCCAAATGAAAAAAAATTAGTCTAATATTCGAATATTAATGGATGATTGTATCATACATTATTATTATTATATTATAAAAAAAGTTAAAAATGTACAGTTATGATTGTACTATAGGGGTGATTAAATAAAAAATAAAAAATATAAATGCCATATTATTTATATTTTATACTATAGGTATACTGTAGGTCATATTAATGTACATTGTCATCAGGCACGTATGCAGGGGGGTATTTTGGGTGTTTAAACACCTCCATTATCGATTATCAACATAATCGATAGCGTTGGGAAAATACCATAATCAGTGATACATTTATCGTATTATGCGGATATTACGGTACTTTATAGATAACTTAAGATTGAAAAGTAATAATAAAATTAAATTTGAATTTATACAATAATAAAAAAAATAAATTATATTTTTAATATTTTTTGTGTAAAAAATTGTGGTATGAACAATCTTTATGACATACATAAATAGTACAAAAAAAAGATGGATATACTTCGCACGCGGTTGCAGCTACTGTTGTTAGTAGGAAGTTGGGAGGTAGTAAAGGAGAAATTTAATGTATATTTGTAAGCAACGATAGACCATTGCTAATGAAAAACGATTCTGAGCGGAGTTCAGTTGATAGTGTTGCTTTGTCAACAATATATATATGTCATATTATGGTAAAATGATTACAACAATATGTGTTTTCATGACAAAAATGTGTCGTATTAATTATTATACAAGATACAACACTGAACACATTAATTTAAAAATCATTCGGAATTTTTTCAATTAATTGAATATTTTGATAGAAATACAGACACCTTATGTATATAATGTACAGCGCAGTTGAACGACTTAAAATTAATACATGTAGATTATAGATATAAGTAAACCCATGAGCGTGCGCACGGGTGACAGAAAGAGCATTCGCTTCCCGTGCTAGATTTTCCACCAGAGTATTTGTAAAAAATTATTTCAAATATGAATGCTTTAAAATATTCAACTTTAAGATCCGCTTGATTTTGTGAGTTAACGCACACAAATAGAGAAGGACAGCTTACAGGAAGGTTTAGCCCCCAAAAACTCAGCCAAGCTCTTCCGAATCAAGGCCTCGTTGAATCATCAAGTAAATAATAATAAGTTTATATAATTCATTTTATGAAAACTTAACCCCCTTCCCAAATAAATATATTTTAGACTATTTGTGTCTGTAATTTTAGTGTACGCTTTGGTTTCAAATATCGTTGTTTCCTCTGCCAATAGGATCTGAGCACGCTTATGAGCATATCTACGTTAAACATATTGTTATTGTATTATTATATAAAATATAAATGAACAGTGGCGTATACAGGATTATTCAATAGTGGGAGGGCTATTAAAAAAAAAAAAATGTTTTGCAAAATACATAATTATGCCTAGGTACCTATTTAGTTGAATAAGTAATGTAAATATGCAATGATTATTATTTTATTAGCAACGATTTTTTAATACTAAATATTTTATTTTATTTTTATTTGACACGGCTAATGGGGGAACTAAAACCCCCTTAACCCTCCCCCTGGGCACGCCACTGCGGTAAATGAATGCACATACCTATCGTTGATTTTCCGATTGAATACAGCGAAGAAACATTAGAAAACTCGTCGGTTATCTTCCTCAAATATACGGTCATCTCTTCGTAGTTGTGATATTTATCGAATCCTATACGACGGGACTCTAGAGCAACCGCGGTCATTATTACGGTCGCGAGTATTACAACCGTGATACTTCTAATAGTATTCATGTTTGATTCTGATTCGTTTAACCGTTGGTATACAATTGCGTAGTACTGCGCTATATTTTCAAAATATAATGTGTACCTATATCGTATCTAAACAAATATAATACATACAAATTACGCAAATTAGCAGGAAACAAAAACGCGTATATCATCGTTTAATTGTAATATTTCAGGTTAATGTACAGGTGCCGGATGTAACTTTTTTTCGACCCCGGCCAAAATATGGAATTCGCACCCTCTTATCAGACACAGAATGTAAAATTCGCTATATTTTAATATTTAATTCGTACGCAATATTTATTACTCTACATTCTTATATAATATAATATGTTTACAAAGTAATATATTTTTAAATTATTAGAGTAGGTATTATTATATACATATTACATATTATGTATTTGTACTTTTTGCTCCCCATAGTAATGGCACCAAGGACAAGTGCCCCGTTTCGCCCTCCCTCTTTACTCCGGTCCTGCTGATGTACAGAGGTAATATATATTGTATCGTAGGCGTAGGTATAGGTCATTTATGGGAGGAGAAGGTTAACTATCGAATGTTTGTAACAATTGGAGAACTATAGAAAACGCAAGATCTGAAGTTTACAGGAAATGTCCTAACTTATTTTTATACCAAAATGAAAAATGTGTATTGTACATCGTAAGATATAAATTATAAAAACCAGTCGATGTAGTCTGTAAAAAAAGAAAGTTCTGTGAGTTATATCACCGCCCTAGTCACGCCACTAATAGAAGTGCATCGGGAGTTGAAAAAAAAATTCGACTACCGTAGTAATTTCGAAATGGAAAGGAATTAACCCTCTCCTTCCTTAATCACGTCCCTGATATACTTATAAATATATACATACTATACGGCTAACGTTAAAAATTTGATAATGTAATATTTTCGTTTTATAAAACCAATATTTTGCGCCGTTAGTTTTAGCATTAGAATGAATCGGCTTATTGTCCAACTTACTTAAATTTGTGAACATAATATAATAGGGTGGGGTATGTTTGTAAGTTGATATTTTTCTCAATATTTATTAATTTTTAAGTGAGATACGGTGATTTTTAAATCGTAATATTAAGTTTAATTCGTTTTAAAACGTTAAAACTAATGGCACAAAATCGGTTCCACCGGTGTCGATAAAGATGCGGTCACGACCTTTTTGGTGGCACTTGCTATCATTCGGTTTTTTTTTTTTTTTACCTGTTATTTTTTTTATATACATTTTACATAATAATATCCAATTTTCAACATTAGCGGTAATATATCACGAGTATATAGGTAAACGTACCTACCTAATATTATTTGGTAGTTTTTCATTTCCGCTAAAAATGTACCTTCCCTTTTCTGCTAAATGAAAAAATGTAGTCTAATATTTCAATGTGTTCACAAGAAATATTAAAAATTGTTGTACAGGGGTGATTAAATTAAAAATATAAATGTCACAATACTCATTCTTACTTACAATAATTATAAGATATTATTACTTTATAGATATCATTACGACGGAAAAATAATAATGAAAAAAAAGATTACATGTTTGATAATTTTTGCGTAGAAAATTGTGGTAAGACAATCGTTATGAGTATTAACAACTATTTTTACCTTGTATTCAATACCTTTGTATAACAAACACAATTTTTATCATACGTGAACAGAAAAAACTATTATTTTTTTGTCTGATTAATAATTTTTAATGTATGCATATTGTCCATTAATATTCAAATATTAGATTAAATTTTTTTCATTTGGCGGAAAAGGGAATCGATCAATTTTATAATTTGGCAGAAACCGGCCATACCCTAATGTTTTACAAGATACGTACCTGCTGCGGTAGGTAGATATTTCATTGTCCGTTTACGTCGCGGTGGTTCACGGGAGCAATAAAACGTAAAAAATAATTATAAAAAAAAAAAAAATGCTAAGTTTGTTGCAGAGGACAAGTCGATAAACAGGCATATATAATAACACCTATGTCATGTATTATCGTAACACCTGTATAAGTAAATATATCATTGAATATTAGATATAGGTATCTATATTATATTGTATAGTCTTCACGTTCGACGTACGAAACAAATTTATATGAAACGCCCGACTGTTACTATTTCGCGATCCGTAAGGCACAAATATTATGACGTTTACAAACTCTTAACGGTGAATGCAGTAGTTGCAAAGTCGAACTGACTTTATTTAGAGCAACGAGCTGTAACAAAATAACGCACAATAATTTTTGACTCTAAGATCGAGATGGGTTATATTAACAACGTTGTTAGTAGTAATAATAATAATTGGGTAAGTACCTACGCGGTGTGTTCCACGTGAATATTATTTTATATTAAAATAAAAAAAAAAATGTACTTTTTTTATTGGCGAAGAGATTGACGACGCGCACAATGAAAATCTGTCACGCGGAGAGCAAATTATTTAACTCGAAATCGCAAAGAGCAGCTACTGAATATAAATAATAATCATATAATAAAATACACTCAGTTTAACTGCGCCGTTAACGAACAAAAAAATAAAATAAAAACTAAGATAGTAATAACAATAAATACTAAAAATTATAAAATAAAAATACCATAATTCTATCGACGAGAGATAATCGTTCGTGTGGGTGTGGGTAACATCCTAGAAGGCATCAGAACAAATATCGTTATTTTTATTAATAAATAATATTATATTCAGTGGCGAGACCAGATTGAAGTTTTGGTTATAACCCTTCGAAATTTAAGATATTTTTTTATGTATTCTATATGTATATACGTAGGTACCACTTAGTTATACAATTTGTAATACAATTTCTGACATTTATTCTTTGAAATTTTGAATTCGTGCACAATTCGATGTGATCTTGCAATCGAGCAGTAGGCAAATTTACAAATAAATCTATAGCGATAGGTACTGTAATTCTTTGAAGGACATAAAAAATGAGTATTTTTTTAATGTCGTCATGTAAAAATTGAATTTTTCGAAATTTAAACATGTACCTTACCATTTAATCTCAGTGTACTAATGAACTAATGGGGAACTTCTTTGTTTGATGCTATCTAGTTCGAATTAAACATTTAAACCCTAATAATTTTTTTAAATTAAAAGTCCAACATGAGTGAATGGAAGTGGCCGAAGACCCACTGGGATATAGGTATATACAGTATCAGGATGGAAATGTAGATTTGGTAAGTGAGTAATCTTTCCACCTGTACATAGAAAGCTTTTGATTGGTCTTTGATGTGTACATCGAACTAGATATTTTCAATATTTTCATTTTAATAATACTCTGAGGAATTATAAACTTGTTATTTTTTTTTATACTGAAAATAATTTTTTCCCACAAAAAATGTTTGGTTAATTTTCTTGACATTTCTAAAATTATAATAGTTCAAGATTAATAATATTGGTCCTTAATATGCAAGACGTGAAACTCATAATGAGTAGTAAAATTATTTTTAAAGATAAAATCCAGGAAAAAAAAAAAAAAATGTTTATTTAAATATATCCTTAGCTATTCAGTTGAATTATAACTTTAGTCCAAAAATTATTTTAGTAGTGTTCTATGTAAACTTTCATTTGTATTTATTATTTTTTTTTTATATAAAGCATCAACAAATAATTAGTAGATAGAATGTAATTTCAAAATGATACTTTAATAAGTAAAAAAAAAAAATGATACCAACATTATTTAAGTTGGTAAACAAAAAAATTATTTACCTAATTTATGATCAATGTCCAGTCAAAATTTTTGTTTCCAATAACAATAAAATTGAAAATTTACTGGTAAATAATCAAAAAATTAAAGTTTTAATCTTCAAAGCTCAATTATATTAAAGGATTTGTGTAATATAATATTACACATTGTGATTTTTCTTTTAAGACCTTACAAAAAAAAAAAAATCAGTAACATAATATACAATTTGTCATTATATTTTGCATAATAAATCATTAATGAAATAAAACACTAATATTTATTTAATAATACAACAAATTGGCAATAGAAACTCAGGACAATTACTCTTCTCCATTTTCTTTTTCTGGCTGCTTCTTCTTGTTTTTTTTTTCTTTTTTGTTTTTCTTGCGCTTGACACTTGCATTCAAACTTTCATTCTAGAAAAAAAAAAAAAAAAAAACTAAAATAAATATAATTTCTTATAAAAATTTTAAGTCTACATGATACCTGTTGACAGGATTCTTGGAAAGCATCATGCATAACATCAATATTTTTTGGAGGTTTTTCACCAGTTTCAAAATATTTAAGTCTATCTTCACATTGCTCTTTCATTTTTTGACCGAAAATATTAGATGTATTATCTTAAACATAGAACACATTGATAATAAATAAAATAGTTTTTATAATATACACAAATTATAGGTTTTAAAAAATTAAAATAATACCTGAAAATGCATCAATACGGCTGGCAATACTCAATTTATTAGAAAGAAAACGAGATGCACGTCCTTTAAATTGTCGACCAGCGCGACTAATGAATGTCGAATGATATATGAGACCATATTTAGGGGTGCTTGTCTTGGTTTTCATCGCCCTTAAAAAATTAATAAACAAAATAGAGAAAAAATAAACAAAATAAATCTCATATATTTACCTGAAAAGAGCCTTTTCAGCACCCAATATTTGTACAGTAGATGCCGGACATTTAGCTAAGTTTGTTAATGAACCAGCTTTAGAAATAAGCCTAGCGCCAACCTGCTCACCAATCAAAGCAGCTGTGTTGGGAGCAACTGTTCCCATTTTGTTTTTCAAATACTCAGATAGACTTCTTCTATATTCAGACAATGATATAACACGGTTGGTGAACATCAACACATTTGTTAAATCAATTGGAGAAATATCCATACCTGAAGCAATTAAGAATATAGGATATATTTATTATACATTATATAAAATTACTTGTTATACAACTATTACCCATTGAAGACTTTGCAGCACTCAGTATAGCTGCTGCTTTTCCCGAATCCATTATAATCTCTTCAAGACCTTCGACTTTTTCTTCAGTGAGCTGCTTACGATCACCAATATACTTCACTACTTTAGCATATAAATAGTTTTCAGGAACTATCTTGTAAAGTTCTGGGAAATGATAAGAGTACCACTCTCTAATTATATGAAACAAAACAAAGGATATAATTTTAAGTGTAATCGATATAACTATTTAATTTATTAAATTTTATTAAGTATTCAAATATTTATTATTACCTGATACGCATAGAATATGTGTTCAGATCCTTGTCTAACTGATCAAGTAATGAAACACTGTGTATAATCATGTTATCCACTTTATTGACATTAAACTTTACTTTAGCTCTAGAATAACTATGACCTAATCCTAATTGGGCAATACCCTCCAATTTTGGTGCGAATCCCTTCATGAGGGATGGAAAGTGGAATCTAATACCTGCATAATATAATACAAACATTTAATTATAATTACAATAAATACCTAAATATATAAGTTATATACAAAGAAGTTGTAAAAGTAATAAAGATAACTTACCTGAAACATAAAAAAAAAAACATTTAAAGATTTAAGGAGCATTAAAAAAAAAAAAAAAATTCCATTAGGATATTTTATAAGAAAATAATTTAATCAAAGCATGATAAAAATAAAACATTCTTATTTAAAATTGTTATACCAAAGCAAAATTAAAATTAACTAAACCGACCTCTCAATATTTCGAGCAAAAATCCAGTATGTTGTATCTTGAGCCCAAGTTTTTCATTTATGCTCGCACCCAATTTGCTGTCAGCAACTCCCAATGTGACCTTTGACATTTTACCCACTTTAGGTATATTGGTTTCTAAAAAAATTTGCAGACTCTCTGGCAAAACACCTATGAATGTGATAATAAAGAACTTGATGAAACCAGGACACACAGCAGACGGACATCAGATTTTATTGTTTTGTTTTTGTACCTTCAGAAATGCTGTTGATGGATTCCAATGCGTCAACAGAGGTTTTGAAAGGAGCAAATGCCAATAGCTCAACAATTTTGGTGAAACGCTGTAAGTCGCGCACAGATTTTTCAACTTGTGCTAATTCTGAACCTATTTCTTCAAATTCTTTAACTTTAAACAGCGTGAAGCCGGTGGCATGCTCGTAAAGGACTGTTAGTTTCGCCTGCGGAAATGAAGATATTTAGAACGAAAATTCTACTAAATCTAGTATCTATCTTAATCCGTACAATAAAAGGCACTCAAAATACACAAATAAAAATGAACTTATTTTAACAAAAAAAAAAAAAAACCATACCGAATGGTGTAAATAATTATAAGAATATTGTTATGGTCAACTATTTTATTATAAAATTATAAATTAGTTAAGACAATTTTTTTTTATTTAAAGTAATATTATTTATTTCAATGAATCTTTCAGTTGTCTTAGTCATTACAATTTAATGTTTTTCATATAATACATACATTTTTAAGTATACTTAAAAAATAACAAAAAATATAAAAACACAAATTGAAAGTTTATATATATATATATATGTACTACATATTACAACTAGTAAGAAAATAATGATAGGTTTGTAATATTAATATTTATTTAATTATAAACAGAAAAATACACAGGTTTATATTGTTTATGGTATAATATTAACATATTGAATTTAATAAAACAATATACAGGTATAATATTATATCTAAATAATGGTGTTATTAGTAGTAGTAGTAACTATTAGTAAAATATTTAGCATTATACAGGCTATTCGAAAATAATTTGTTTAAATATATGAAAATATTTTTGATTTATTTAACATTTTTTTTAAAAATTATATATATAATAAATACACATATAATTTATTGATATAAAGTAAATATTTCTTTAGTGTATTATGTAATATTAAAATATTGCTTTAAAATTGATTACTTTAATACAGATAGAATTTTCAATTTTTGACAATGTTTGAAGGGTAATAATATAATACTATACTTAACTAAAATGTATGAACTAGCTTAGTTACGAACATTTAGCTAAACAGTTCATATAATTTGTTATACGTCCATAATATTAAAATAATATATTTATTCATAAAAATAAAACCTGTTAATTTTTTTTTTTTATAGACAACAATATTTATTATGTGAAAATTTTATTTTCTATATGAACATTAGCGACTGGTTTGAATAAGAAAATATTTCATTTGAAATATTAAAATTTAAACTTTTGGTTGTATAATAATTGTTACATAAAATATCAATTTTACTTTTATGAGTAATATTGATTATTAACACAATATTTTATACATGATTAAGTTGTATTTTACTCATATTTGGTTATAAATAATTATGTGTAATAAATTGTATATTTTATATAGTGGTGTTATGTGAGAAATCCTTGAGGACACTTTATACAAAAGTTATATATTTAACCATATCAATACTTAAATTTTATTTTTATGTTCTATTCATATAGATATTAGAGAAAAAAATTAAAACAAATCTAATTTATAAATTAATACAATTTCTTACAATAAATTGTCAAGTTTTTAGCATATTGTTTAAAATTTTAATACAGCTTATAGATAAATACAATTGTACTATACCTAAATTATTCATGTATTTTCAACAAGCATCTCATATAGAGAAATTTATTATGGCAACATTTTTATGTTATATATTATGGAGAAAAATTGATTTTTGTTGCATTTAATCTGTGTGACTACACATTTCATGTATAAATAATTGTTTTATTTAGCTGATTAACAATTATAACATATTATTTCCTATTGATACAATCCATTGTATAGACGGATGTTATTTTTCAAAAGATTTTTAAAGGCAAAGATATCGTCAATTTTATATTATTTGATTTGAAGAATTAATTTTTTATTCTAAAAGTCTACTTATTATCTCATTTGAAAAATCTTATTTATTCTCACTTCATTGGACATTTTATGCTACAACTTTAAAACTACTGGGTCAAATATTATGCGAGATGATATCGATAGGTTTCTATGCAATATTGATTGAACATAGAAAAAAAATAAGAATATCAAAGTGATCCCATATGTAATGTACAGAATAATTGATATTACATAAAAATAAAATAATTATAAATAATAGTTTTTTTAAAAATACAAAATTACCCATTCTATAAAAATGTTGTGGAATTATTTCAAAACTGAACTTATGTAAAGTGTCCTCAAGTCCACCTCACACTATTTACAGTGTTCAAGTTATAAATTAAATGTTTAAATAAAATAGCTACGTCTGAGAGTATTTCTTAATTAATAAATTATTTGATGATAGTAAACAGCAAATATCAATCAAGTTTATCTTAATCTTATTGTGAATAAGCACAAAAATAACTCTATACAAATTATTATGTGTAATTTCACCACAATAAACCTAAGTAGTTTTCAAATTTCAAAATGTATTATTATATTATCTTCTCATTAATATATATTTTTTAAATAATGAATGATTAAAGTGGAAAACTTTACGATAAACAATAGTTTGTTCTATTTTCTTTTTCTATGAACAGCAGCAGTTACATTTAAAAATTTAATAATTGTGCTAATTTATTATTTGCTGTGTAACTTACTATACTAGAATTATTTAATTTTAGTATTAATGTATTGTTTAACTAGCACAAGTTAAAATGGATATAATAATTTCAAAATTATTATTATTATTATTTACTAGGTTTAAATATGTAAAAGAATTGTACTAAAATACAACAAAAAGTTTGAAATTTAGTTGAATAAATATTTAAATAATTATTTGCTTTAAAATAAATAATGGTTATGTAATAGGTAAATACGAATATTTCATTGCTTTAAAACAAAACATTTAATTAACCTTTAAACATAAGCAACTAAGTATATTAATTTATATACATATTATACATATTTGCTCCATTATTACCAAGAATCAAAGTAATATTTTATAGTATAATAGGATTAAGTGGTCAAATAAATAATTTAGAAGTTCACATGCATTTTTCGTCAATAATATAAATAAATAGGTACATCAATATTATGTATGTTTTCTATTTAAATTAGATTCATAAATTTGCTAGTGAATCGGAATAGGTAATATAGTGAACCAGGATGAATAGAAAAAATAACAACTAGTTTTAATAGTTATACAATACATTACAAATAAATAAATTTTGTAGATTTTTTTTTGACATTTATTATTAGTACACTAAAAAATTGTTTAAACATGATTATGCCATCAAAAGAAAGGAATTATATTCTGATGAAGGCTAACAAAATGTAAAAAAAAAAAAGAAAAAAAAAATTCTAACAGTTGTAGGTAGCCTAACTACTTAATTTTATTTCAAATACTCAGACATAAAATGACTTTCTACTACTATTGATGTCAGTTCACATGGAAAAAGTATGTATAAATGAAATTTAAGAAATTGGTATAGGTAACTTCTACAAATTAAATTTGATATTTTATGTTCAAGTAACCAGAAATTAATTATAAATAACCTATCAAAAAAGTCGACTAAAAATATGTTTGGGCAGATGGGTATTCTTTACTCTAGAGAGAATATTAAGATTTACATTGAAAGTTTAAAAAAATAAAATAATTAAATTTTGTATAAAAATTGTTAGTTTTTAGTTCTGGACGATACCAACAGTTTTGTAAATGATGGAGCTTCCGGAAACAAATTGTGATAGTTTGTTACAGGCACATAAGCTGCAGTTATTACACGTCCACCGAACCACCGTCCATGTAAAGCTGCTACAGACGCGAGCGCAGTTTCAATTGTAGTACATTTAACATATACATTGCCTTGTGGAGACGCTTTATCCACATATACATGTAAAACGCCACCATGTTTGTTACATTCTTCGATAACATCGTCCCTAATTTCATTTTCCCATGTAGTATTACTGTCCACGTCTTCTTTATTTGGATCAAACATGTTGGCCAATAAGAAACATTGGGTGGCTATAGGAGGGTTAACTTGGACTGTAGGTGTGGCTGGAGCGGTTGGTGTCACTCCAGTAGCAACTTGTAATGCATTAGTCGCAGCTTGTGGAATTGGAAATCCAGTACCTTCTGCCAATTTGTACATCAGTTGTAATCTACCAGTAGCCCCCAAATCATAACCAGCTCTGTCCAATTCATCCACTTCAAATGCAGTTTTGTCGTACATAGAATGATTTTCAGTCACGTGGCCAACTTTCATAGGTCGGCCGGCAATTTCGAAACCATTTAAATGTTCTAGGGCTTTCTTAGCATCTTCAGCATTGCGATATGTCAAAAATCCATAGCCTTTAGACCGCCCAGTTTCAGTGTCCATCATTAATTGTATATTATCTACATGTCCAAAAGGTTCAAATATGCCCCTTAACATATCTTCAGTAATATTATAATGTAATGAACCAACATATAATTTCATTGGTCCATAATGTGTACGCTGATGAACCATATTGGGCATAGAATTAGCCATTCGATTTTTTTCTGCCTGTGTAGGTTGAACAACAATAGGAACGCCTAAAAGTTTTTGGCCATTAAGACCCATAGCGAGTGGAACAGATTCAGGATCTTTGAATTCTATATACGCAATACCCTTAAACCGCCGCGTTTTATTACAAGTGATCATCCTAACATCCCTGACTTTGCCAACAGATGAAAAAAACTCTTCTAAATCTCTAGCACGAATAGTTTTTGAAAGTTGCATACAAAATACAGTTCTAGCATCTCTTTCCTCAGGAGTTAACATGCTGGCCGGTGGCACTTTGGATGCTAGAGGCGATGGTTTTCTATTATATCGAGGAGGAGGTAAAGGCGGTCCATATTTAGGTAGTTTAACAGGTGACCGTGAACGACTTCGTTTATCTTTAGACCGTCGTCGTGCATGTCGGTCTCTAGAACGACTACGATGTCTATCTCTAGAACGACTTTTTCGTCTGTGTTTACGTTCTTTGGATCGGCTACGTTTACGCGATTTATCACGTGACCGAGATCTAGTACGATGGCGACTACTTTTATGAGATTTGTCTTTACGTGATTTTTCCTCTGTGCCGTTACTTTCTTTCGGCTGTGTTTCTGGCTCTTTTTTGTTATAGGGTGCTTCAAGCAACGCTTCAATGTCAAAGTCGTCCGCCATAATCAATTTGTCTGGAGATGGAAGGAAACGGCAGGAAAAATTGCGTAACAAAACAAATAATATTAGTTCGACTCAAGCCACGGACTTAACTACGTATGTAATGACTTTTTGGAAAATAACGTGATAGGCGATGATTATGCAACTCAAAAAGATGTTATAATATGGTTATTATGACCTAATAATAAAAAATAATTACAAGTCAAATGTGTATTTGTATTTGTAGTCTACACGACTAATGTAACACTACCCAAGTAAACAAAACGACCTAGCAACACGCACATGTTCAATGTAAAAACTTGTATAAGTGTACTAGAGAAGAAAACAATAATGTATAAAAAATGTATACTTAAACAACAATTTAATTGATATTATATAATAATATGTAAAATAACATTATAGTAATTTTCGGGAGTCAGATAATGAACTTATAAAATAGCGGTGTGATGAACTGCATAATCACCGAAATTGTGTATAGTTAACAGGGCTAATAATGAATAACTCGTGTTTTGTACTTACCATTATCAACTGCGCTGTAATCGAAGGCGACGAAAATACTTATTCACTTTGTTCAGCGTTGTACGCGTTTGTTTTAATGAACTCTAATGTAACATAATGAAATAAACTAACGATTAAAAAACATTATGAAAAGAACAAAAAGAATGAAAATTACACGGCTAACACATCGAGAAAACGTGTTTGGGACGCCAATGCCAATGTGAATATTGTCTATTCAATTGTATGGCCGTCGGTCGACCAGTAGGAACGCACAGTCGTTTATCGTACGACGACCAATTGAAGTTAGAAACAACATCTGTGGTAAATGGTAAGACGCCGCGTCCCCGTGGTTACCAACGCCTAACCTAACCTAACCTTACTGCCGCGGTTTCCATAGTACTGGTGCGCGGTAATTCAAACAAAAAAAGATTTCCTTGGATTATGAGGTCGGGTGCAGTCGTTCTTATAAGTAATTTAATGTATACTTGTAAGCAACGATAAACCATTGCTTATTAAAAACTATTCTGAGTCAAGTTCAGTTGATAGTGATGTTTTGCTAACAACATTTATGTCATATTATGGTAAAATAATTAAATAGGCATTATATATTTTCTTTAACAATATTTGTTTAATGTACTGATTTTCCCGTTTTTTCACATTTACTGAGAAAATTTAAAAATTTAAAATATGTTAGTACCTACCTACCATCCTGACAGTGGGGGAATTTGTGAGTTCAAGAGTTTTATTAAGTATCTATATATATACATATTATATTATAAACAAGTGTAGAATATAAGAAGTAGGTACCTATAAAAGAAAATAGGTATGTAAAAATAAAAATACGGCCCAAGGGGAGCGATTGCCTTAACGTACTCCTTTATATCCTTTAGGTATTACGTTCCATGCATTCTACTTCAAATAAATAATTTTAATTTTAATAAATACGTTTTAAATTTTTGAAAAATTAGTATAAGTATATGTCTCCCTAATTTGAACATTAAGGTAGGTACATTCAACAGTAACTGTCAATTATTATTACAAATAAGTGTTTATTTAAATAATATCTATACTGTAGATTAAAATTTTGATATCCATTTTTGAAAAGAAAAATATTCAATTAATTTTATTATTTTAAACAAATCTAATAAATCTGTAGAAAAATATATTTAATCATAGAAGTTTTTTTTTTTATTTAAACCGTCTAAATAATAGGTAGATAATGTAGCCATGTAATATAGCTGCAATTTTGAACCCTGTATCCACATAAAATTAAAATTTTTAAAAATACATATAACTGTTTAATGAAATATATATTCCAGCCTGGTCTACTTTAGTCAAATATCTAAACAAGCCTGGACCAATAATGTGAACTATTTGGCTCGACCTGAAATGGTCTATATTTTATAACTGTAGTATGTAAACAAATAAATAATTACTTATTTTGTATATTTATTTTATTCTAAATAATATTTTAGTCTATGATAGCCGGTTATGTTGACTGATCCAGGTTAACTTGCTTCAATTGATATCTAATATCTAGTTTAGTTTGTTTTTTTTTTAATTGTGTTAGGGCAAAACCTGCATGGACATCACATTTTCCTATGACACATTGTTTATTTAAAACCAGTCTTCCATTTACAATTATAACAAATTATTTTCTGCTTTGCAGTTACAATATTCACAATCAACATTTATTAATAATCTATGGTGAATTTAGTTATATTCTCTGTATTTGGATTCCCAGGATAGCGTTGTCTTAGAAACCTTGTACAGCTTTATGCTTCTCAGACCAATCTGGTCCAATCAATATTTAATACTTAGCCTAGCCTTGTCAACTATACAGCCAACTGATTAGCCCACACAGGGCTTTAGTAGCTACTATATTGAATATGTTACAGTTGTAAGAAAAATGTCTACGTTTAATATTTTGATTATTACAACAGTGTCCACCAATACAAATCGCTCTTGTTTACTAATGATAGTCATGGGGCTATTTTAACTGTTATCAAAAATACTAAATAAGTACTCGATAATTAATAGTTACCTAATAATGTATAGTACATAACTATATTAATAATTTCACTAGTTAAGAATTTTTACCGAATTTCAATTATTATTTATTATTTTGTTAAATAGGCAACAAATAAATTTAAATCAAATTCTCAAAAATTACATAGATATATAATCATAATTTTGAATTTTATAAAATTACATACTCTTCTCAAAATGTATAAAACAACTAATAGAATAGGTACTCATATTTATTTTGTTGTGATCATATGTTAGTTTAACATCACAAGCACAAAATCTGTAAATATTAAATAAAAACATTATTGTATATGTATACTATAAAAAAACAATTATATTTATATAATTATATACAATTTAACAGTAAATTATAAAATCAATTTCAACACTATCATATAAGTTCCTGCATCATCCCATTGTAATTTTCTTTCCAGTTTAATGCTGTACAATAGCCTCTACCACTCTGAACACAAAAAAAACAAATTTAATAAATCTAGTTAGATACATTGAGATAAAATTATTAATTTCAATTTCAATAGATATTGCATAAACTATATTTTATTTAAAACCCAAAATCAAAAATAATGACAACTTTTAAAAAATATATAAGAACATGCATTATGGTTGATTGAATAGAGTATTGCAAATAAACTTATGGGTATTGTAATTTGCAAATTCAATATTTTTAATTTTAATAATCAATATTCTCAAGGTAGTAAATAGATAATATAAATTACTAATTAATAACTAAAACCAAATATATTGTTATATAACACAAAATATGCAAATTCAGTTCAATTTTTTTTTTTATCATTTAGTTAATAAAAATATAATGCTTATCAATAATATCCAATATTTATTAAACAAAAATAGTTATTAATTTAACAGATCACAAAAAATTAATTTTATTATTTTGACTATTTTACAATTTTCAAATGACTAGTTTATGATTTAAGATATAAGTTATTTTTTATGCCCACATTAATATTAAAATAAATAGTTCAAAAATAACAACAGGATGCATTTATTGAAATTATAGTTAATGAAAAACACAAATTACTACTTGATGGTATATATATAAAAAAATGATTTGATTAAAAAGATACATTTTATAATACTCCAAGTTTAGGAAAAGTTTTTTGAGATCACAATAGATTATGAGGATTTATTCATTTATGTAGAACTGTTCAATTTCGCCAAATTCAGTAAACATTTCATTGTCCATTGTATAACTTATTACATATTTGAATGGGATGAATTGCTTTAACATAATACAAACAAAATTATTATTTGTAAATAACTTTAATTTATACAAATGTCTAACCTTATTACGAGTTGCAACAAGAATAATTTGTACAATTGTTTCTTGAGGTAAAAATGCATTATAAATAGGGAGATTATTTCTTGATGGAGGTAAAATACGTAATCTACAATCCTAAAAAAAAAAAAATATTTGAATAATCAAAGAGTACAGACTTAATTTCATACAATATTTTACTTTGGGAACGACGGGTTGAAATAAAAAATTAATCAATTGCTGTTTACATTTGCTTCTAGTCGTTACAACAAAAACTGTAACATCATCTCTTGGTTTATTTGCTGCTAAATGTAATTCTGTACTAATACCATTTTTATCAAATAGGTTTACAACAACTGAATCAGGACCTAAAATATCATTAAATAAATAAAGAATACCACACTCTAAGAGCATTCTAAATTTTTGGTTTCTAAATATATTTAAAGTGTCTAAAATTAAATATAATGTGCAATAATAATGATTACATTGCCAAACTAAATTTAAAAGGTTCAATTAATATATCCATATTAATCGAACGATAAAATCATTTAAACAAATTATTATAAACGGTTACTGTTATTTTAAGTACCAACACATTCACATAATATTATATACTAAATATTAATACAATATTTTAATCCCTCACTTAACTAATCTATCATAATATAAAATGCTTCAATAACAATATAAAGGAATATTCACATCACACTAAATGTTATGTCATGATATATTATGGTAAGATGTTGGTCTATAATAACACCTTAGGACAACATATTTTCCTTGAAAACAAAAAAATTGTGTATAAATGTAATCCTACTAGCTGAATTACTAGTATATTTCACTCATATGAAAGATTTGTTAATTAATATTTATAAAAATTGTAATCTAAAAATATAAGTAATTTTGTATTTTAGCTGTTGCTTGCAACTGTGTGCATTTTACCCCCTTTTTTTAATGACTTGTGCACCACTTATTGTAAAATCTGGAAACTAATGGTAAAGTTACTTAGGTTGTTATTAACTAAAGCTGTCCTTACCCAGTACTGTCCGTATATTGTAACAACCTAACTTAACCAAATAGAAATTAGCAAAAAAAAGAAAATTATATTTATGTGTTATATTAGAAACAACCCTAGTGGAAGAAATATTTTGATAAAATACAGCCTATATTACTCAGGGATAGTGTAAGAAATAATGTTTTACATTTTTGCTGATTTTAGACTTTTTAACCGCTTTACAGGTTAAACTTTAAAAATCCTTTCTTAGTGGATGCCTACGCTATAATAGTTATCTGTGTGCTAAATTTCAACCCGATCCATAAAGTTGTTTGAGTTATGCAATGATGAATCAGTCAGTCAGTCAGAGCGTTTTTTTTTTTTTATATACATAGAAAGAATATGACTAAGATCAACATGGTAAATATAGCAACTAAATTTAAAAAATATATACTTTTGAAAAAACAATATTTATTTTGTTTTAGATTATTAGATGCAAACAAATTTACTATTGTTTTTAAATTTAATCAAATATAACCATAGAATACTTACTAGGAACAATGTCTTCAAGTTTAATAGTTATTTCACCAAGAGGTTTTAACAGAGAATTGTCATTTAATGGTTGTAAAATAGTTTTTGAATCATCTGTGTCCAATGGTGATTCTTCCGACAAACTTTTTTTTTTTACATTATCAGAACTAAAACCTTCTTCATCCAAGCTTAAAGTTCTTTATATATATGTAATTATATTGAAATAGTTATAATATGCTAATAAATTATAGCAATATAGGTTTTAAGTAATAGAATTGAATGAAAACTTACTTTTCAATTGTTTTAGTTTCATTGGGTTTATTCAGAATAACTTTCCCAAGGATATTTAACTCTTCAAATAAGTCTAAATTTAATACATCATCTTTTATTGCTGTGGGCTTTTTAGGAGAATTTGACTGTTCTAAAAATGGATTTAACATTCAAAAGTAAAATATGTTATTATTTGAAAATATAAGTTTTCAATTATAAGTAAAATGTTATTGGTACCAACAAAATTTAGGTACTATTAATTTTTTAAATACAATAGAGGGGTATATGAGAATAACATGCTATGTAGCAATTCATACATTGTCTAACATTGAAAAAAAATAAAAAAAAATATTATATTTTCTCTTAAATATTATTTGGACTGCATATAGTACATTTAAATAAAAAACAATAGCTAATTTCCATGTTTATAGATGATGAATATAAACAATAAGAACATCTTAGGAATGTTCAGAACATAAAAATAGATTGAAATTACTTCTCAGCACTCAATTACTTTATAAATCCAGAAAAATGTTATACCTATAACATGTTATATCCGCGCATACGACAATTTTTTAATTATTGATTAGTTTTACCTGGTATTGAAGGAATGAATGCTTTTAAAGGAATTGACATTTGTAAAAAATCATCCAACTCCTTAACACTTGCTGATCCATTATTTGTCTCACAACTGGATTCACTCAATAAGTCTTTTTCTCCTAAAAAACATATAAATATATATAATTTCAATTTATATATGTTATTGAATATATAAATAAATTCATGGTTTCTAAATGTCTTTAAACAATGTACTATAATTCCATAAACGATTTTGAACAAATTTGATAATCTAGAATATTATGTTTTTATATAAAAACTAGTTAAAATATTTTAATTTGTAAATAGTTCCCATGAAGTTTTCAAATTCTTAAAGTACTTATATTTTAGTACCTACTTTTTAATATTGACTGGTATTAATATATATTTATTTTAGTCTCATATTTAAATTAATAATGCAATAACATATAATAATAGTAATGTTTCAAATGTATATAACTAATAATTACTTCAATAATGATATTTTGAATAATATGAATATACGTTTCAACTAAATCAACAACCAAACTATGTACTATACTAACTACCTACTAGTAACACAATGGCAATATATCAGCATTTCTTAAACTGTGTTCTGCAGAACCCTGTGTTCCGCCAATAACTCACAGGGGTTTCAGGAATTAATACAATTAATACAAATTACTAAAACAATTAATCATTTAAGGATAACAGTAATGAAAAATCAAAATTAACAATGACATACTATTTCCGTTATCTCAAAAAGCTTAAGAAACACTGTTCTAAATGTATCTTTAGAAACTGAAAACTGTTAAATCATGATACAAGTATCACTTAAAATAAATATTGATGGTTTTACCATATTATAAAATCAAAGAAACATTTAATAAACACTATTATGGAATAACCTTTTGATATAATTAAAAAAATATAAACTTAAATCTTTCAAGTACCTGGTGAAAGTGATGATACATTGAAATCTAATAGATTTTCTTCATTTTTCTGGTAATCTGATTTTATAAGAATAGGATTTTCTAAAACATTATTGTATGTTTTTAATGTTTCATGAACTTCATAATTTAGCTTAATTATTTTTCCTGACAAAAATAAATAAACACATTTTTAATATTTTAATATCCATTTAAACAAAACATATAAAACTATATTATAGGCATCTAATGTATTATTATAAGTAACACAAAATGTTAATAAAAGAAAATCACGGTAAAATACTTACTAACAGTATCTTCATTTTCAGGAATTTCTAGGGATAACATTGCTTGAACTTTCGGTTCCAATTGTTTTACAGTATTATACAATTCTTTGATAAGTTCCAAATCATTTGATGAACCACAATATGACTTGAGCATCTCTGATAGTAACTTTACATTGTTTGATGTTATTTCAATATCAGTTAACATATTACTCATTTTTTCTGCTTTCTGTTCCTCCTATATTGAAATATGATAGAAATAATTTAAGATCCATAGATAATTGTGTTTATTAAAGAGTACAGTTGTAAAAATACTTTTTAAATGCAAAACATAATAAATATATAGAATAAAATAAACATAAACTTGAATGATAGATAAGCAATGACACAAATATACATTGTAATAATATTTTCTGCTATTGCCATTTATATTTTATTATAATTTGCATTTAAAAATGTTTCACGCCATGTATTTTCACTTTTTCTTTGAAGATTGAACAAATTCTACAGCACAAAAGGTTCATTTCAATAATTATAATAGTGAGACACCACAGAATATTAAAAAAAAAAAAACCAAACACTAATATGTTTTTTTTGAACAATGTTAACAAAATAAGAACTTGATGTTTGATTTGTCTATAAACAGAATTTATTAAAATTTAATGTAATAGTAGGTATATTGTTTAAAAAAAAAAAATTAATAGATTTTAAAATGTAGTAAATATTCATGATAATGCATGACATACTTCTTGGACCATAGATTTGATTAATTCATTTGCAGCTTTTAGATCTTCTGATTTTTTACTTTTAAGTAACTTTTGTAACAATAATGATTTTTCTCCATTTAAAATTGACATTTTATTAGTTTCATTTTTTGAAGCAGAAGACTTGGATTGTGGAGTATTTTCAAATAATAAATCCTATAACAGAACAAACAATAATACAGCACAGAGAAATATTTTATAATTTAAATATATCGGCCAATTACCTTTATAACACCTTGTCTTTTTAATGTATCTAAAGCTTCAATGATCGTAATTTCTTTTGGAAACTGTAATGACCATGTTCTAAGGAGTTCAACTATTTTATTTTTAATTAACTCATGTGTGTGTATTCCATTGCGATTGGGAGATACTAGATGTATGAGTTCGTTAATAAAACGGTACTTGCCAACTTCAGCTTGAAAACTGACACTCCCAGTTTGCATGCATATGTCTAATAACTGATACACATATTATTATAAAACAATTTAGAATTTAAATTACAGTATTCTATTAATATATACGTGTAGAGCTTGTAAAGCTTCCCATTCTTGCATTGAATGAATTTTAGCCAAAATACATTTTGCAGCTAAAGGAGCACATTCCGGATCTCTTTGTACGAATCCACTAAAAGCAATCATTGCTGCAGTGTCAATTTTTTTGTTGCTATTTTTTGTTGCTCTTTCTATAAAAGACAAAAACATATTATTAGCTTTATTGAATTATAGGATTTGAACAATTATGAACATTTCAATTATTATTTTAAACATCAAATAATTGTTAAAAGAAACTTTTTTTAAACAAAATGTTATAATTTAATTCATTAAATGATGGAATATAATCTCTCGAGTATCTTTTAACTGAAAATTCATCCAATATTTGTCACCATGTTAGATGTTGATTTATTTTGTGTAAGCATTACTTGAAGTCAGCTTGCAATTTCTAAAATGTGTAGATAGTTTCTACAATAGTCTGCATTATATCATTTACATAAAAGCTTCTACTTCTTCTTTTCAGCATAGGCCAAAATAGTGTTTTGTAAATAAAACAATAATTCAATAACCAAGTTTTGTATTTTATGTTTAGTTCTAAGTATTTCATAAAAAATAATGTAAAACTTTTGATCTTTATGACATTGAAAATTGACAAACAAATCATTAATCATTTTGATTTTTAAAATAAAATTTAATACTTAATTATACTGTAATGATATAACTATTTCATTTTCAAAACATTGATCAAATTTACTTGTTTATATAAAATAATAATAAAGTTCTTCTTGATTCTTGATAACATACATTTTTAATCAACTCAATTTGTTCAAATAAATATATTTTTACAAGAAGAATAAAATATAAGTTTTGTATTATCCACATTGATGTTAATTTAGTATTAATTTATAATTAGTTTGTAATTTAGAATTATTTTTGATTTGTTATATTGTATGTAATCAACAAAATATAAGCAGCATGATGCAATATTGTAATGCTGTTTAAATCTATGGTTTAATAAACAATTCATTTTTTTAAAAACTTGAATTGTTTATAAAAATTAAATTGAGACTTTTGAACAGTGTTGATATTTACACCTAGGTAACACCTTATTTATAAAAATTTAACAATTTATGATTACTTCAATAATATTTAAACTAATTAGGTTTTTTACAAATGTTAACAATGTTTTAGTTTTAAAATATGCATGGTTTTTCCTTCTGGTTTACACATCTATTTCAACTGAATTGTGGTTGGATTAAATGTTTTGTTGTATAATTTTGATATTTCTAGAAATCGTGCAGAAATATAAATCAGCTCCTTGATTAACATTTTAAAATACAGATTTATCTATACCTCTGATTTTAAAAATGTATATGTAATTTTTTGTATTATAAATTCCAATTTTTATTATTAAATATTTCTAAATTACTTTCTTCTTTTTTGTCAATTTGGAGTTGATATTTTCCTTTTCTTTGGATAAAATATTAATTTTCTTTAAACTGCACTTTAATATACATGTATACTAAAAAAGAAAATTTAATATATTAAAATACAAACAACACAAATATTTATTAAAAACACCATTATTAATTTATGTATAATTAGTTATAAAAAGTATACAGAAGCATCTAGGGATTTGTTAATTTAACATGCCTTGGTTAGTTTTTTAAAAAAAGAAAAGACATGATAGCCATCATTTAAACAATAAAATAAAGGCTATTCATTTTTGGAAGTGCCACATAGTTTAACTGAAGGATTTATTATAAAATTCAGAAGTTCACCAATTAAGTGAATATTATTACTCATTTATTAATAATTGGTTGGTGAACTTTCTTAAGAAAACTTTTTTAGATGAATTTATGACACAACGTTTTAAGTCGCTAGACACTTCTAAAAATACATTTATAATAGCGTAATATTATTTACATTAGTCATGTTGTGCCCAGTTGGATACGGCATTTTTTGCATTACTGAAGTATCATCATTGTGTTTGTATTCATGGTAAGTATGTTAAAACAAATTACATAGGCAAATAAGACTATACAAATGCATACATATACTTTATTAATAGTCAAATGGCAGTGTATTATTATTTGCAACTTCACATAAATGGTCAAATATAATCAGTATTATTGGAAAAATAAAATAAATATAGGTACATATTACATACAAATATAGTATTGTAAAAATGTAAATACTTATATAGGTACTATACCTGTTTATACCTATAAGTAGGTATAAATAATAAATAATATTTTGAGATGGTTTTTTAATAAGATAAAAAGAATTAGACATTTAGTATTTAAAAAGTTTTTTTTTTTACTATATCTAGGTAATATAAAATGTTCTGATAAATAATTGAATATAGATTACTGAAGTACAATCAAATTTAATAGTGTAATATCCGTTTAATTAAATATATGTAGGTAAATAGTCTTGATAAATAGAATTGTTAGTATTGGTATAATTTTAAAATAAGTTTTAGGTAAAATCCATTAATAATAAAAATTAATTTGTAATAGACAAGAATAATGATTTTTTTTTAAATATACATTGTAGGTACCAATAAATAATATCAGTGAAACACAAATAAATTTATTAAGTACTGAAATCTTCAAAATAATAAAATTAAATGTTTTCAACAGGGATAGAGATTGAACACAGATATTGCAGTCAAGAGCGGTTAATAGTAATGACTATTAGGTCTATGGTTCAGATGAATATTTCAATAAACTAAACCAATAAATACCAAGATAATTATTAAGTAAAACACTGTTAACAAATTTAAAACATAATAATATTAAAATATACAGTTCAACTTATCATATAATGTAGGTACTCATTTAAATTATGTACTCTAGTGATTATTACTGGGTAAGTGATATAATTATTAGTCATTAACATTATTATTATTTTTTAAAGGTCTTATCTTAAAATTAATTTAAACGTGTGTTAATGTATTCGTAATAATATTCGATGTTATTAATTGTTGTAGGAACTGATGTGAAATTTCCACTCACCAATTAAAGCTTCTAAGCTTGTAGATACTATAATCGGATCAATATCCATTATTGAATCACGGTCATTCGTTTCGCGTAGGTACTCCTTGATAGTAAATAAACACTTTGGCTAATATTAATTTACCATATCCGAACGATAATATAAGTTTTTGTACGATTTTTGTTTGAAGTTCTCATAGTTTGATACAAAATATTATTTTGGAAAACCCAAACTGAGGAGGTCTTGTCACTCGCGTCTCGTGTACCCACGTATAATTTATACGAGCTGTGCCATTATCTCCACTATCCTCAAAATATGAGGAGTACATAATATTTTCCCAAGACACAACATCAAAATAACATAATATCGCCATTCGTGATGATAATGGAATACCGTGTTACTATCAACCACGTACGACATATCCGTGTCTGCGATAATATTATCATTGAAAAATATTTAACGATGATACCAATTTTAGATTCCAATTTCCAAGTGTAACCAGGAACATACTATAGTGCATATTATAGGTTTAAATACGAAATACCTATGATTTATGTGTTTTTGTTTGGTTTTTCAGCCTATGAACAAGTTTTGACCAGAAGACTTATTTAAAGCAATATTTTTTTATTACCCTTTTAGTTCTATTGCTGGTTCATTGGGGTAGTAATATTTTAAATTCGTAAGACCTAGGCACCTAACTAATAGGTACCTACTTATGTGGAAAAACGGGAATATTTTGTACGCAACGTTGGTTTTTATCTGAATCGATTGTTTTTGCGTTGAAGTAAGAAATAATAGTATAAACTGGCAGTTATAGTAATAGTTTTTTTCTTAGGTATGGTAAATTTCAATAATATTTCGGCTATTTTTGAGTTCGAAAACCGCACACTTGTGATAAAATACACGACAAAACTGCACACTTTTTAAATTTTTTTATCCAAAAATCGCACATTGTATAATAATGTATACCTAATCTATTATTTATTAGATTATAATTCATCGAAAAATATATAAAATATTATAATTGTATTTTAATTAGTGTTGTTAAAAATTAATTTAAAATCAAAAAAAAAAAAAAAAAAAATGATCAAAATTTTAACCCAAAAGCCGACGTTTTTTTAAATAATTAAACATATTCAAAAAAAATAAAAAAAAATGTTTATACAATCGGAAGCAACTGAAAATTATCATAACCTATCGAATATTTATTCGAGCTGTTTTCAATCTGTGTGAACTAAGAATATAATTTGACTGACTTCCACTCGTAACTATTAAAGGTATCAACAATTTGTCTTGACATTACGGATCTTTCATCAGTTATCTTTATCGTTATCTGTATTGACTCGAGGGTTGTATAAAATTATTAGGCCAAACATACATGCTTGAAAATGCAAACAAATTTCTTCCCTAAAGTGCCACCCCAGTTAGATTTCTTTCCAGAAAAAGTGCTATTCTTGAAAATCGGAGCGAAATTGCTGGTAGAAAAATTGTTCATAAATAAAAAGAAAAAAGTATACATCATTGTGAAACCAATAAATTCCTTGTTTCGCTCAGAATCTAAAAAATTATGAGCATTTCTTTTTTATTTTATTCGTGTTTTATATTTATTTATTATATTTTTCTGTTTATTTATCTGTATTCTATACAATAAAATATTAATTTTTTTATAAATGTACTATGTACATCAATGACAAATTTAAACGATATAAATAAATATATTCCTCGCTTCGCTCAGAATCTAAAAAAACCCATTAAGATATAGGTACCTACTGTTACTTACTTTTTTTGAATTGACCAATCGATACTATCAATATTTTGCATAGCAAAGGCAAACATAGGAAAAACATAAGGGAAATTAATTTATTGTATCTGTAAACAGCGATAAACCATTGGTTACTAAAAACGATTCTAAGGGTAGTTCAGTTGATAGTGATGCTTTGCCATAAGTAAAATAATTAAATAGTCATTATATATTTTCTTTAATAATATTTGTTTAATATTGTACTGATTTTCCCGGTTTTCCCATGTTTTCACATTTGCTAGAAAAACTTTTGGGAAAATCGAAAAATGACCTCATTAAAGTACCTTCTCAGTCAGATTTCTTTTAAAAAAAATATGCTATCATTGTAAATCGGAGCTAAATTGTTGGTAGAAAAGTTCTTAACAGGAAAAAAAGGCTGAAATATTTTTTAACTGTTACCTATTTTAGTTCATTTTCCCATTTTCCACCGTGTTTTTTTCGGTTTCTCATATTTGTTGAGAAAACTCCCGGGAAAATCGAAATATGATCTCCCTAAAGTACCAACCCAAGAAAATTTCTTCTCAAAAAACGTTCTACATCGTATACATCCGAGTAAGCTTTCTGGTAGAAAAAGTGTTCACATAAAAAAAAAAAAAATAAATAAATATCTTTGTAAAACCAATACATTTTTTGCTACACTTAGAATTTAAAAGTACCTACTAGTTTATTATTTGTTGAAAAATATTAATAATTTTAAATTAATATAATATATAAACATATGCTTTTTTTTTACCCTTTATTAAAAACACTAATGTGATTAATTATAAATTTATTGGATTTTTTTTTTTACAAATGAAAGTAGAGTTGTTTATTAGGAAAAAGAGACGGTTAAAAATAATATGGTTGAAGTCGCAAACTGTTTCCTCGAGATGTTGGGTACATAGAGGAAGAGTAAGTTTAAAGGAATGGTAGAAAAGTAAGCTGTTCCCTGTAAGAAGGTGAGTATAGTCAACAATAATATTATGTGCCTAACAATCATGAGGTCTTTAAACCATGGGTGAAAGCCGAGAAGAATTGCGGGAAAAATGTAAAAATACATAAAAGTGAACATCGGGCCACCCATAATTTTGCCCACTAGGTAACGTTGGCTATCCAGTCCGCCCCTGTGTACCTCTAATATTTTATAATGTTCATTAATTACAAAACTACAAAGGTTAAAAGAGATTAAATGAAATTGTTTAATATATTTATTATTTATTAGTAGACAGATGTATGTTTATTATGAGGAGACAGTGCACACTGATGTATTTACGAAAAACTATAACATCACATTCACGATCAATAGTTTACATTGTTGGAGCATGTCGGATTATTTTATACGACGTGGATATAGTGTACCTACATATCCCATATCGTCATAGATTTTTTTAAAGTAGTCCGACCTATATACACGTAGGTACTAGGTATATATTGAATAGGTATCTAGGCGTACTGTTGTATAATAATAGTTACTACTCTATATCAATATCGTACGTGTATCAGCTGTTGAACCAGACATTTATGCCACAGCACACATATATGTTTGTGTTATTCGTTTTTATATATATTATTTGAAAGTAAATACCATCCATATGTGTTAGTGGTTAAAGTGGGTAAAACTAATATATTTAAGTCATCTGCAAAACCCAGTACTTGTATATGTTATTGGCCAATTTCCACTCCAGTTGCTGCCATTTGCATTTCCCTTATAGCTTTCTTCAAAGCTATATTAAATAGAGCAGGAAATAGTTAGTTAATCTCCCTGCTTTAAGCCAGTTCTTATATCAAGAGTTTCTGACACCGTACATTCGACTCTTATTTTATACAGTCTTCCATGCATATTTTTGTCAATGCCATAAGTTTTTGTGAGAACCCGAACTCCTTCATTATATTATTGAGGTTTTGTCGATGTATGCTATCATAGGCCATTTTAAAATCAGCAAATAGCTGTCAGATATTTTTGCGGAATTAATACTTTTTTTTTATTAGTTAGCCTATGATAGCGAGCTGTTTTATCGTTGATTTCCCTTTTCGTAAACCACACTGGCATCTGCCTGAATTTTCTTCTGCGTATGGTGTTAGCTGTTTTAATAGTATTTTTGCAAACACTTTATAAGCTGAGTTTAGCAGTGAGATGTCTATAATTTTCACAATTTGACTTATCGCCTTTTTTTGTATATCGGTATGATTATGGCTTCGTTCCAGCTTTTTGGCATGCGTTCATCTTTCCAAACCTTTTGACATATCCTAAAAAGGAAGTGTTGCATCTCTTTTCCACTATATTTAATGAGTTCAGCCTTTACATTGAGTTCACATTCGATCTTGGCGATTTCTTATTTTTAAAACCTTTTATTTCTTTGTTTACTTCTTCCCGAGTCACCATTGGGTCTACATCATAAAGGTTTTCCTCCCTCGTTGAATTCGCTGGAATATCCACATTCAGCAGTTCAATAAAATATTCATTCCATCTTTCAGCTTTTTCTTTAGGGTCCATGAGTATTTCACCATGACGATTTTGAATGGTTTTTAGATCTGGGTTGAATGATTTGTATTGTTTTATAGTCTTGAAGAAATTTCTAACGCTTCCCAGCGAAACATTTCTTTCTGTTTCTTGTAATATTTCACTTAAATACTATATACTTGACATATTATAGCGCTTATTTTAAGATTTGTTAGGTCATATTACAGCGTATATTTCAGTTATTTTCAGTGCTATAAAATCCAAGCCCTGCTTATAATATTTGTTTGAAAGCTATTCAATCCAAACGGACTGTATAAAACAAATATTATTTAGCCTCAAAATTAGTTCGAACGGGTTGTTTCAAAAAAATTGGTCCAAACGGGTCTTGCTCAATTTTCGGCTCATCAGTGAATAACCAAAATTATATTTGTAACCGGCTCTGCGAATAAGAATATAGGTGCGTTAAGATGAATAGCGATTGTGATATTTACTTCTCTTTCCGCCCCGTTTACGCCACTGCGTCTAAATATATTATTGAACTATTTAAACCGTTGCGAGATATTGGGTCGAATTTTTCGAGTTTAATATATTATACCAACTCGTATTGTAGAGCGTCATGTGGAGTCTTAAATATAGATTAGGTAGGGGTAGATACCTAAGTCTTTTCTGTCTTGTTTTAATCGATTTGTCTTATGCGGCAGCTGGATGTATTGTAAATATATTTTTAATAATACATCAATATACCTATTTTAGGTATACCTGGCAAAGTACTATACAAAAGATTTATCATTTAGTATACCTTTAGTTTGAAAATTAGAATTATTATCGTGTGGTATACCTTTGGATTAACATAATGTATGTCGTTACAGTGGTACCAAAACTAAATTTTTATGGTGTAACAGAATTTGAAATTCAAAACCACCCCCACCTTAAAAACTATTAACCATATAAATATATACTTTCCAACCCCTAATATTTACTACCTTGAATGCTTATAGGTAACCATTCTGTTCGACTATCTCAAATCCCAATTACCGGAAACACTCACTCACCCAAAATATGATGGGTAGGAACTGCTACACTCGAAGTATAGTTAAATGAAGAAGATACTTGACAATCGGCGCCACAGTATCATCATATGTATATTGGAATATAAAGCGTATTCATATTGTTTGATATGGTATGCATATGCAATATTAATATTATTATGTGGGTATAATATAGTAAATAACACGATCTGAAATAATAATATATTTTGTATAGGTAAGTACGAGGTACCTATCTATATTTTAAAATATACATTTCCAAATGGTCATATCGAACTGGATTTTGCTTTACTATTATATATACCCAGAGAAGTTATATTACTCTGGAAATTAAAAATAAAATATTTAATTATATTAATCATATTTTATTTTAATAAGCCGAGTTTATTATATATAATTGTATGAATACTGCAACTGATAAAATAATATTTATTTATTTTACTTTATTCTAACGGGCGTGTCCCTATTTTGCATACCCACCTAATGTATATAGTAAATAAAAATAAGATTATTTACCAAAGTTTGATATATTATTATTGTATCTAGATTAATATTGACAAATTAGATTAAATACAATAGTTGAATTATAGATAACAGCGACATCAACACAAATTCACATTTTGAACAATAAATTATTTCAGAGTATATAACAACTATTAATACTGGATGGGTAGGTATTTTAATACATTTATTAGATCAGTTTTATTTACGATATTGCAATGGCCTGATACCATTGGTACATTGGACTGGGTCGGTTTATTTCTCATAAGTCGCCGTTGTTGTTGCAATAGATATATTGAGATAATTGATTATAAACACTATTTAATTTAGGTAGAAAAAAAAATGTTATGTAAAAAAAAAAAATGAATATTGACTGAGTTATTAGCATAAGGATAACACTATAGGATACTTTGTATAGCTCGGCGAAAACCTATGTTAAAAATATTACGCAATTTGGAAAAACATTAATGATAGTGTATTATAATACATTTTCTGTTTTACTAATTACCTTAAATTAATTTAGCCACCGAAAGTACATTCATTTTGTTATTACGATTTGCACTATTAGATATTTTATAAAATTAGTTATATTCATGGTATCCACTATTATAATAGTTATATTCATGATTCCTGTTAAAACTTTTTATTAGAATTCAAAAATGATTAAAAAAAATCATCTTTAATATTATTAACAGTAATAACGGTTTTTAGGACTGTTTTTAACGAAGAAACCCTAGATTTGTTGTGCAAAACTACGTCGGATAGGTAACGGAGGAAAAATAAATGCTTTTTTGATGTACCTAGTGACCTGCGGAGTAACTCGCTCGCTCAGGTTAAAATTAAAATATCTTTCGATTTGCTATGCAAAAAATAAATTTGAATAATAATAATTATTATATTTTTGTATTATTTCACATGGAATTATTTTGTTTAAAATATACGTAATATATCTTAAATTACTAACTAACAAATCCTTAACTTAGAAGGTACTACTTTTAACACATGAGCATACATGAATTATATAAAATCATACACTATAAAATAAATAAATTAGAATAAAAATGATTGTGGTAACATAGAATTTTTAGCGTAACAAAAATAGTAACAATAAATTAAACAAAATACATTTCCATCTCTAGAGGCTCACTTTTAGGTTATGATGTCACACTTGTGTCTCAGATCACAATGTCAAATTCTCAATCATTATACTCGTTCAACAATGTCGCAGGATAGATTTACTAAATTATCTATTTTATGTTTTAAACGAGTTATCCATTAAAATTAATACAACAATGTAGACGCATTTGTTGAAAATGACCGCAAACTCAAATTATAAAAAAAAAAAAATTTAACAATATATACTATAATTTTTATATCCTTTACATATTATTTATAAGTTGTTATTTTCTGATACTTGCAAGTTGCCTACATGGGGAGGAAGTTTGCTCAAAAATGTCAAGAGAGAAAAACAGCTGGGGCTTTAGTTCCTCACTTAGTTCAGAGACTTAATATGCATATCCGATGGTATAAGCATTGATTTTATTGTATATTGTGCTATACTATAAAATCAATGGTTATGGTTATATTATAATTGTATTGTTTCAATGTAATATTTACTTTGTACACTAGTTTAATAATGTTTAAAATAAACAAGAGAATATAAAAGAGACCATAGGTTAGGGATATTCCGATTAAATAAATAAATAATATTATCAAACCAAGTAAATAATACACATTAGTAAACATATTACAATACTAAACATAGGTATTACATTGGACATAATCATATAAATATCACAGTCCACAGCATACACAGCTATTACGGTATAATAGGTCTACAGTCTAAGAATATTATTTTACATTATTGTCATGTCACTCATAAATCATATGCATAACTTGATATAAATTTCTATGAAATCAATAGCTACCTAAATTATTTCCATTAGTCAGTTTGTACTTTTTGTAGCAATATACTAAAAAGAGATATTATTGAAGAACCGAATAAACTATATTTCGCTCCAGGATATATTCAAGGTAATATCGACGTTATAATATCTTTATTTTATTAGGTACTTGTGTTTTATATTAAAATAAATAAAGAACCACCTATACTAGTTGTGCAATAGAGCTAATTTAATGTTAATTTTTAGAATTTAAAAATTCTTGGTAAATTCAATTATAAATTATTTACTTTTCCTGTTGATTGTGTTCTTGAAACGATTATTAAATTATGCATTTATAATAAATAAAATGAAATTGTAAATACTATATACATTATATTGTACCCACCTATTTGTACGTTATTTATTACATGACTTTAACAGTGAAGTGACGAACATTTATGAACAATAATGCACAACATATTATTATATTTGAGCACTTAGTGCCCTTCGTAAAATACTCCGTTATTATTATTATTTGTTGGTTACTATTCATTAGGAGAAATGTTATAATTAACTAACAAGGAAACTAATTAGATAGGTATATTTAATTAATTCTTCAACCTCTTTATATATGTCACACGCTAAGTGGTATAAACAAATTACGCATCAAATATTAATGCCTCTGGCTTGACTAAAATTTGGTACCTTTTTAGATTGATTTAATTTAATAATTTATAATTATATACCACCTATGGGTTTCTTGTAGAAAAGCATGTACCTACATATTTATCTGCATTCAATTATAATACTTGATAGTTGATTAAAGGCAAATAATATAAATAGGTACATTATTATTGATATTGTTTATTACTAAATACTAAATTCCTATTGTTGACGTTCTTTTAAGTAATCTACGCTCACCCTACAATAATATAAACTATGACGCCTAGGCGTACTGAAAACCCTTTCGCCACGCCACTGATATAAAACATAATTTATAATTTGTTCGTAATATTAAGTTTAAAAAATTCAATGTTCACAGATTCGCCGTATTGATTTACCTCTTTATTATAACTACTAACAAGACTGGGAATAATGGAGGAATTAAGAAAAGCTTTGAAATACCAGGCGAGCTTATACAATGCAGATACGGCTTTTGTCAGTATATCAACTTTAGAAATAGATAGAAAATATAAAATTAACGATATATCCAAAGTTCAGTCAAGGTATGGTTTGCGTATTTTGGTTAGTCTTCAAGGTGATCGAAGAATATTGAAAACATATTTACCTAAATCCATAAAGTTAAGTGATGCCTACATTAATGATTTTATGAATCGCGATAAAATGTCGGCTTTATATTTAATTTACAAAGGGAGAAAAACAAACGGGGCATATAAAATCGATTTTGAGTAGCTATATTATTATAAATATACTGAAGCTTATTGAGTTTACTGAAATTACAATTTTTAAAGATATTGTCTTGAAAAAATATGAACTTTTAATAGGTATGTATTTAGGTACAGATACTTACTTGTAAGTATACAAATTTATTCTGTTTGGTTAGGCAAATTAAATATTGTTATTTAATTGAAAAAAAAAAAAAATGTACAACTATTATATAAATGTTCATAAATACTGATTAATAAACAGAATTTTAATCAATAATTTAATAATGGTTCGTACTTGTAAAATGTCTACTTAATTAATGTTATATAACAGTCACTAAAATCTTAGATACAAAATCGTTTGAAAAGTTTGAGAGTGGAACTATGTTCTATCCAAATAAGTAAGTACCTATTGATCTATATAATTTGATGAGTGTTGTAGAAGTTGAATTTTAAAAGCACTATAGGTAACTGTTTAACTGTATTTCATGATATTGTTGAATCACTAAATTTGAATCATTCAATTTCCCAAGTGCAGATCATAAAGTTTAAATTATTTCGTACCTATTCGATAAAATATTACATAAGTATCTACTTAGGTAAGTATGCGAATTCTAAAGTACATTAGGCAATTATCCTTAAATAGGTTAATAGAAATTGACTTTGTCATAATATTTTGTATTCTACTTATTCATGTCTATGATTGACATGGATATTGATAATAGTTAACGAAAAGTTTATGTCACAAATTAATTTTCATGAGGTATGTTTTCCCGATTTTAAATACTCAAGAATTATTTTCTTAAATAATATTTTCTGGATTTATAAGTTTCCTAATTAATGTATCCCGTCTAATATTTTCCATTCCTATGTAGGTGTATAATTCCTCTAGAATTTAGCATTTATTTTATGGCATAGGTTGTCTACTTATGCTTTTTAATACAAATAAATTCTCTTTTCGAAGATTTGACCATAACAACAAATACTGTCGAACTTTAAATAAGTAACTTAATTAATGGTTCAAATATTAAAGGCATACCTACTTTAACCTATAAGTATGTAGTTGATGACAAAATATCTCTAGGGAGAGACTATATAAATGTGTTATTTTCCTGGTTGTCAAAGAAATCAACATAATACAAAAATACAAAAATCAAAAATGCCTTCAAGTTGTGTTTATTCCTGTAAGTATAATAATTTATAACAATAATTTCAATGAAAGTGACACTGAAAGTCACTTATTTCTTTATTTAAATTCTGAAACCAATATTTCTAAGTTGAAAGTTCATACAAAAAGAATATTATAAATATTGTTTCAATTTATAAATTTAACTTGTTGAAGCTAAATTTGAACAAGCGTAAAGCAAGTATCAAGATTCACTCAGCTACATTTAGTTAAAATTAATATAAATATCTTATATTTTAATAATAACAAAATATTTAATATGCACAAAAATGTAAATGAGGACAGCCCAATTTTAATAGACAACGGTTGAAAACAATGAACATTTTTTTAATCTAAATTTAGTTTATCTAATGCATTTTAAGTACCTATTTTTAATTTTATTATTTTCCAATTAAGAACTATCATACATTTTTAGTATATACTAACCTCTTTTGCTAAGGCCATTAATAAATTGGTGACATCATGTTGTACAGGCATTAAACAATTACCTTTATATATATATATTTTAAACTATAAATCATAATGGTTACAATTTGAGTAAACTAACTACTCATATAAATACACTAAGCGAATATATACTTGAAATGAATATGTATCATTTTTTAATAATTTTTTTATGATGTATTGATTGCATTTCATTTTTATGTAGTTGCAACCAAATTTTATAGAATTGACTAGTTTTAGATTCGAAGTATAACGAGGAATGTATTGGTTTTACAATAATGTTTTTTTTTTTTTTATTCTGTCAAGTACTTTTCTACTAGAAATTTTGCTTTGATGTATTAAGTGTAGCACCTTTTCTTAAGGAAAATTTTACCTAGTTGGTACTTAAAACAGGACATTTTTTGATTTTTCTTAGTGGTTTTCATAATTGGGAAAATGGAAATGTTTAAAAGAAACTTAGCTCCAAATTGTTTTTCGCTAGCAATGGTTTATCGTTGCAGACAGGTATAAATTAAATTCCCCTCTATATTCTACCTTTTTAACTTTTCTTCTACAACGAGTTTAAAGAAAAAAAAGTAATATATTTATTTTACATATTATAATATAAAAAGTAATATCATTGGTTACTACTTCATATTATATAGTACTATATAATAGGTACTTACACCATATTTTAATACCGTTGACTATATCATATATTCATTGATAATATTTTAAACAATTTTACAAACATAATTACCAGAGCAAGTTATTGAAATTTGCAGATCATAACCGAATGTAACAAAAATGACTACTATTGTAGTGTAAGTAAAAAAACCATATTAAAATATGGTGAAGGTACCTATTATAATATTATGGTACTATATAATATGTAGTACTAACCAATAATATAACTTTATAATATACATAAATATATATTAAATTTTAATATATATATATAAATAACTTTGTATTATAATATGTAAAATAAATATATTGCTTTTTTTTACCACTTGCTTATTTTTCACTTGCATTTTTTTTAAACCCCTTACAACAGTGGCTCACCTCGTTGTGCGAATTATGTCCGTTTTCTTTTTTTCTTTGGAAAAATGTCAAAAGTAGGTACCTATTAGTTGATTCAAGTGATATCATTTAATTATATACAAATATTAGAAAATACTAAAATTAAGTAAATTAAATTAGATCTATTAAAAATGGGAACATTCAAAATTTTAACAATTAATTAATTTTTCATTAGGTAGGTAAATTGAAAGAATTACGTTTATAACACAATAAAATTTACTTAGGAAATTATAAACAAAATAATATTAATATTTAATTTGTATGAAGATATACACATTATTTTAAATACTATTTTTATAGTACGGTTTACACAAGTCAATGTAATTTTAGTGTTTCAATTTAAGTATATATCATATTAAGAAAAAGTTAATATTTTGTTAGTAAATTTGTGAAAATAATTCAAGGCCCAAAATAGGATATTCCCAGAAAGTCGAAATATTTCCCGACGGGAGGCTTCCAGCAGGCAGGCACGCATTTGGATCTAACAGTCGGCTCACAACAGGTTTTTTGGTCAAGCATTAATAATTGGGAATGGAACAGTCAAATATCTGGGAAGGTCAAAATGATTTAGACAGGAAGTTCTTGATAGGCATAAATTGGATACTAAATAGGAGAATGTTCTTTAATGTATTATTAGAGAATAATTTAATATTGTGTTCATTGTAAAATATTTATCTAATCAGTTATACAGGGCTAATCATTTAACATAAAATACCTACTAATTGTTTCGTAATGTATCGACTTTTTTTTTAAAAATTTTAGAAATAAGTAACTCTAAAATGTTACATTAGGTACCAATATTTTTGGCAGTGAAACGACTACCTACTTTTGACTTTCAAATGACAAATGACAAATGACAAAAAAAAAAAAATCCATAAATAGATGGAGTACTCATTAGGATCAATACATTTTGTTAACATTTTTGATTTCTAGTAGACCATTGACGAGAAATTCCACTATTAAGTTTGGGTAGGGTAGAGTAATGAAGCATCATTTGTGTGATGGCATAGTGCACAGCGTTTAATAATGACCCATTATCCTCCCCTATACCCAACCTTAAAGTTGAATATCTTGTCAACGGGTTGATGGAAATTGAAAATGTATTTAAACAAATGCTGCATCTGTTTATGGTATTTTTAATACTTAATTGGTTGCCATTTGAATATCAAAGGTAGTCGTTTCAATGATAAAAATAAGGGTGATAAAAAATAATGGTATCTAATGTTGAACATTTTTTAGAGCTATTTGTTTCTTAAATGTCAACAAAATTCTTTTTAAAGAAGTTAATAATTTGCTACATAATAAGTGTACTAACGTTAAATGAATCAGTTTGTGTAGCAGACACTGATTGTACACGTAAAAAACTAATCTATAAAGTACCTACAAAAAAAGTATTACAAAAAAAAAAAAAACATTTTTTCTTTACAAAAATATAGTTAATATATAAGTATTCAATATAAGTTTTCGATTTTGTATTAATGATACAATAAGATCGGAAAATTCCAGCAAATCAAATCTGAAGGGAGACTTGCAATAATTGTTTGGTTATAGTAATATTTATTTTGTATTCTTCCAAACGTTCTTACTGTCGTCACTGTTGCCATCTATATGTTGCTGGAATGATTTGTATTTGTAATTCCAGCCCAAATAAACCAATAGCAACGTATCTGCGAGCATGATACCGGCGAAAAACAGATACTCGTGCACCTAAAGGCATGCAAAGATACATTTTATAATTATTACTATTTAAAAATGTTAAAATAATAATGAAAATGTAAAGAAAATAATATGCCCACTTGTTTGTTGAACGACAACGCTGAAATGCTAACAATGACTAATAAATTTCCAATAGATTGAGTCATCGAGTAACACGCTGATACAAATGATTTTATTCTAGGCGGAGCCTATACAAGTATTAAATTCAATAATATATTATCATTATCAATTATAATAATAATTTATAATTTACAGTCGAGTTAAGTACCTACTTAAATTAATTCATATTTCTCTTACTTCGGTTAAGCATTGAAGTAAGGTTACTTAATTATTAATGGTTATAGTGGGGAGTGGGGAGATGGAGTCTCCCTTCTTATTTAAGGTAAAATTATCAATACTCTTTAGTTTAAGTCTTTGAAATTTGGAGGACAGTTTATTTATTGTTACTGAGACATTTTTAATGTAATTTTAAAATTCTAATACTTCTTTTTCTTTTTTTGTTGGCATTTAGTACTTTTTGAGAGGTTTTTCCATCATAATAATTTCCCTCCACTTTACACTGTCTTATGCTAACACCTTCCATTCTTTTGATATCCTGTTAGTGTCAAATAATGAGCTACTTAGACATTTTTAGTCATCAGCAAACCCAAATACCTGAATTTTCCGATTTCCTACCATTACCCCTATAGGCTCTTTCTGTATTTCCCGACACTGGACCACTAATTGTGCGAAGTATGTCCATCTTTTTTTTTTTATCTCGTATTAAAGTTAAAACTAAATCGCAGTTCAGTGTTATGCAAACGTTTGAAAGTAAAAGCAACGTATTAAATTTAATTATTTAATAATTATTTGTGTAGCAATTACTTGTGTGTATGAAAATTCAATCGTTGTAACAATAAACGCCACTTCTGCAATAACCATACACAAGTATTGCGGAGCTTGCCATATGATGTGTAAATAATTGCCTTTATCTGCCACATATAATTTAGATTCCTGTAAATTCCTTGATTATAATAAAAAAGTTCTTATATTAATGTAGGCACCCCTATTTTTTTGGTTTTGTTTTAAATCAATACAAAACTATTATTTTATCTTGACACAGCGTAGTGAATTTCTCAAGAAGGGTGATGAGGGTGTTGCATCACCTCCCCTCAACAGGTCTAGATTAAGGGGGGGGATTTCAGTTTTATCACATTTATATGTTTTTTATGTCTGCATTTAACCATTATCTTTTTTATTGACATTTTAATATTTTTTCGTTGCCTGACTTATTCGTATTATTATAATTTATAATATAGTAAAAACTACTTTGTTAAAAATAATATACTTATTTATTTAAAAAATACTTGCGGCTTTTGAATTGAGATCTTTTTAATGTCTATACTATTTATTATTTTTATTTTGTTAAAATATATTGATTAGTAAGCATTTTTAAAAATTGTATATTATTATTCTTTCAACGAGAATTTCGTTGAAAAGTTTGGTCTTGGAGTCTCTAAATGTCGTAATCCAGACTTGCCCATCAAAGAGGTCGAGAACCAGACCTTTTTTGCAATAACTTATTAAACCCAAAATTCAAAATATCAAGTGTGAAACATGCAGCGGTGGAGTAGCCTGGCTTATGAATGACTCGAAGTGTTCAAAATGTAATTATTAAAAAAAAAAATGTTTGATAACTCAAATGTTTTTACAGGATAAAGGACTCAGATATAGATTTATATTTATTGATAACAGAATCGTAATAAATTTATAATAAACTGAACGATGCATATATTTACATTCTTATAAAATTTCATAGAAGATATTCTAATAGGTATTGGTCAATTTTTTTAATAGAATCTGAAACCGTCGATATTCATAAATGACAATATTATTGTTTTGTAATCCGATAATCAACTTTAAGGGTGGTTTTTGAAAGTAAATGTTGTCTAATTGATGTATTGGGGAAGTTATTTAAATGTTTTATTTGTAATTTTGAAAATATTCGAAGTTGTAAATTAACTATTATCAAAATTGAATTAAACAATATTTATTTCTTTAAATTTATTTATTTATTTTCTATTTGTTTAAAATTGTCTAATGTAGGTTAAAACAGTGAAAAATAGTTATACTATTGGTAATAGCGTATGCAAGGGAGAGGAGGGGGGTAAAGGCTTGATCCATTTCACGGTCCATTGACCGTGTTTTAGAAAAGAAAAAAAAATTATATTAACTATTTATATAAATCTACAATTGTATTCTGATCTGGATGAAACTTTTCACACTTGACATTCAAAAAAATAGGAAGGTTAGGTTAGGTTAGGACTGTCTACTTCTTATCTTGGAATTCAACAATTAAAGAGTGACTAAAACAATGTAAGTTATTGGTAATTTTGGAATGAAAATATTGAAACTTTTTTGTTGATTTATGAGTGATTAACCTTGGAGACAAGTATGAAAAAAAACCTACAGTTACTGTTATTTAATTTAGTTGTTATGATCAAGGAAAAACCTTTCTTAAAAAAGAAACTAACGAGCAACAAATATTTCCTATGATAAGGATAAAGGTGAGTATGGGAAATACTGAGTAATTGAGCTTGTTTATGTTGATTTAGATTGTTACTAATCAATTAATAATCATTATACATTTGCACTATTTATTCAACCAATTATAAATCATTGTCTTACAAAATTATTTATTTTGCAAAACATTTTTTTTTTAGCTACACCCTAATTGAAAAATCATGGATTCGCCACTGACCTTTGGAATTCTACAAGTAATGTTTTATAGTAATTGTTTTGGCTGAAATAGTTTCTCTTGAAAACAATTTGTTTGGTGGATACTATGGAAAGGATGATAATGATAATAATTCATCGATGAAAGTTTCTAAAAATGTGTTTTTATACTTCTCCAAACAAAAATTATAATTAGGTATCAATACGATATCAAGAAAAATTGAAATGTTCTGGTCATATATATTTGCCCGATAGTAATTTTCAAGCCACTCCGCCTCAGGAATCATGCCACGTTATCAATATTCGTTTTTTATTGTTAATGTTAAATGTTAATCAGATTATGTGATATAGTATACATGTTAGTTATACATTTTTCTTCATATTTTTAATAAATATTAATATCACCCTCCAAAGAAAAGTCCTAGTTACGCCACTGACCTATTGGTTTTCTCGGAGGATTTTAAAAGAATTTGATTTCTGTTTTTTTTTTTAGTCATTATAGGATTGTTTAAAGCAATATTTTTATTTTTAATTCCTACACTTTAATTGAATAGACACTTTGGATTTTCAAACATTGTAACCTTCACCTTTTGGATTTTAAACACAGATCTGAGTAGAGAATATTTGTCTAAACATTTTGGTATAAATAACATTAATATCGTGCGGTGAATACAGTTTATAAGTTCTAATTAGTTATGTCAATTTGAAATTTATGCCGTAAGAGCAGAAATGGGTAATTCATTTTTAGAAAATATCCTTTTTACTCCTTCGATTTAAATATATAATCTATAAACTATAACTGATAAATTCGATATTAGCGTTTTGTATATTCATATTTTTAGACAAATATTTTCTATTCAAATAGAATAGGGTGCTCGTTATTTTTGAAGCTGAAAATTTGTTCTAATATATCAAGAAATAGGGCCCTACTCGTATAATCTCTATAGGATCTAATTAACGAGTTAAAAGTTTAATGAAAAAGTGAAATCTTTTGTTTTTCAGCGTACACTCAAATTTTAATATTGCGAAAAATGTTATTGAATCTTCATTGTAGAACTCATTGTTTTTTAAACAAATTGTAGTTTCCCATTTGAAAATTTAAAGTGCATTTTCATTTAAGGTAAATGGAGTAGAGGTAAACATTTTAAAATATTGTTAACATAATGGTAAAACTATTCCATAATGATTGAAAAAAAGAAAAGAAATTTAATTCAGTTGATAAATCTTTGGAGAAAACCAATAAAGAATACAGTGTTCAATTCCAAATATAAGGGTGTCAAAATTTAATAGAAATTAAAAATTTTAGAGCTGCTTGATTTTTTAATTTTTTATAAACAAATTTTGAAAAAACTTCTGAGTGTACCCATTTAAATAGAACACTCTGTATAGTATGTTACCAAAAGGTTCTGATCGTTCGTATGTATAACGAGCGTATATATTGTCGCGGGTATAAGGTTTATATCCGATGAAATTACTTCTTCGCCGCGTGTCAAATTATATCTACACAAAAAAAAAAAAAAATAAAAATATGGATACCATGTTTTTGGACACAATTTTTTCTTAAGAAATGTCCTCGTTCATAAAATAAACGTTTTATTTATTTAAATGATATGTGACTAGTGGTCAATTCTTACTTTCCAAAAGGCACTTGTTTGAAATTTTCACTTGCAAATGAAGATATGTTATAATGATATGACAGTGGAGATTTTTTTCCGGTAGATACGAGTGCAAATGGTTCATTTATGTTTACATCATCACCCAGTAAAATCCTAGTGAACGAAAATTGAATGTAACTACATTTGAAAATAAATTGTATGTAATAAAATATATTAATTGCACATACCGTATTATAGGACGTCCATTTTTAGGCTTCATAAAGTCATCATAATGTTTAATAGGACGTAAGATAACAGTTTTATTTACTGCAGTGGTTGTTAGTAAGTAAGAAATTGACTATAAAATATAAATACATACATTTTATTATAAAAAGTCTATTCATATTATTACAATTAAAATTAATTCGTTTTTGTTCGGCTTAATCAATAAATGATAGTCTAGTTGGTGTGACTTAATTTTGTGGCACCTCGTGTGGGTTAAATATTTACGAAATATTGGTATTGGTTTGATGTTGATCAGATAACTTATATTGGGGCTAACTCATAGAGTAATATAGAGAAGCCTATTAAGAGTGTATAAAAGTGTTAAAATTAAACTATCGGTTTTTAACCCTGATCAAGAGACAGTTATCTATAAATTATTCCGCTAGATTATAGATATTTTGTTCAAAGATTATAAACTATAATAAATATTATTATTAAAAGTTGTCATCACTATTTATCTTTCCCTATTTGTAGCTATCACTATTGTATTGTACCAAATAAATAATTATATTATTTGTACTTGAACCTCCCCTGTATTTACCCAAATAAACAAATAAATTATGTTTGCCTAAATGTCTAAATATCATAAACGAATAAAATACAATATAAGTTTAATTAAGTACCTTTCCTCTGGAAACGGTGACGTTAGTGTCCAGCTTTCCATAACTGATGTATGGATTACAAGAATTATTCAATGTTAGTGTGATGTTAACGATTTCTTTGTCCGACATTGGCGTATACTTGAAATTGGATAAACCCGTTGATCCAATAGTATCGTTGTACAATAGCGATGAATTAATATGAACGTTACAATGCAAACTATTATATACGTTAAATTGGCCTTCGCCAGATGGTATCACAGTACTTTCACCCTAATGAAAGAAATGCGTTCAGTGGTAGTAGATAATAGCAATATAATACGGTAGGTATTTACAAATATTTTGTAATGAAGACTAGCGGCAAATAAAAAGGCTACAGACGTCAACGAACAACCCAGTATGAGTTTTTGTATTGAATTTTGGATACCAATTTTCTTCAATAACGGGAACAAAATATAGTCAGAAGATAAGATTAGCATTAAAGAAAATAATGGGGTGATAGTGTGCATCTGTTCTGGTTTAATTACCCAATCGACACCATCTATCTTACCATTCATCAATGTAGCTTGAAATGTCCATCGTGATCCCTGAAATGCCCACAGAACACAGAATTAATATTATTTGTAATTTTATCGAAGAGGGTAATTGAATATGATATTTACTTGTTGCTCGTAGAGTGCCCAAAAAATCGGATAAGCAATATATATGTATACAACTTCCAATACCGATTTTGTATCAGAAATTTGAGTTTGTGAGTATTTATCACTAGCGAGATCGAGCCAATGGGGTACAGTATCGGACGAAGACGAGAAAGTACATTTTTTGCGGATTGCATACTTAAAGAAATAAACACTGTATTACTGCTTATGAAATGACGATGTTAAATCAAGCGTACACTTACAAATATACATCCAAAAGTTCCGAAGATAACGTTGTTCTCCGGTTTTCTTTTTACGTATAACTTTCTTCCCAAAATAAAAATAACTGAACATTTCAAAAATTACAACGTATTATAAATTAACAATATTGGTACCCAAATACATATAGATATATAAATACAACATTTTCTTTAAAACTGTTATATATCATAATTATACATTTTTTTGTAGAAAAATCCTTGTAAAAAATAAAATAAAATTTTATAGAATATTTAAAATATTTGCTGTAGGTTTTTATTCTAATTGTTTTGCATTAAATTACCAACCTATTGAAGCTATCATAAGACTAGACAATACGCCAAATGCAAGTGGAAAACACGTGTCTTTGCCAAAACAATGTACACTTTTTCTTAGCTCAGGAACGAAAAATGTCGATATTATCACTGCAACATCGATACCTGCCAAAAATCGTTTGAAAAATGTAGCAAGTTGGTCTTGTTGCTCGGGCAATTTAAATTGCTCGCCGCCAAATGTACAAACGCAAGGTTTTATTCCGCCTGTTCCGATTGCAATGAGTATTAATCCGAGTATAGACATATTTCTAAAAAAAAAAAACCGTTATCGTATTAGAGTTAGACTATTAGTCATGTTTAGGTGTATACTGCCTTTACACAATAATTTACAAAATCATTGTTAAACGGTTTTAGTTTTAAATAATGCATCATTATATTTTCATTGATACAAATCGAAAAATAGTGAGTTTCATCGAAAATACATTTTTAATTCCTGTACGCTGTTAATAATATGGTTTTACCTTTGAACATTGAGGGTAAAATTGTCCGCTATCGATGCTCCGGTAAGGATAACATTTCCGATTGCATAAACTATTGACAGTCGTATTATTGTTCTGTAAACACACACAACAGACAAATAATAAATAAACTAACGTGTTTATACCTGTGTCTGCATTATGGTAGGTAAACGAATAAGTTTTTTTTAATGCTCACTTAAATTTTCCCCAGTAAGAATCAGCCAATATGGCGCCCCACAATGGCATAAAATATGATAACAACACAAAACTGTGATAAATCAATGTCGAATCATCGTCTGAGTAATTTAATATTGATGATAGATATAACACTATGATCGCTGAAATTTACAAAATTAATACATGTAATATGTAATATACGGTCATAAATATATCTTTGGTTTTAAGTAAGATATGAGTTTAAGTTAATTTCATACAAATTACAAAAAATTGGGAACAAATACAAAATTATGGTAAAAAAAATTACATACGAACTTTCTTGGGACCCAAAATATAATGGAAATAGACAAATTTTCTAGACTCCCATGAAATTTGTTTTCATAACAGTTTTTAGTCAGCTTTGATTATAGTAATTATTTAAATTTGTCCGTACCCTATGTGTTCGTATTCACCTATACGTACGACTATTATAACTTATAGATTTACTTAGGTAGATACTTATGCATTATTTTATCAAATATTGTACTTGATAATAATACATTATCGTACTTACCTACATATTGTATACATGTATATAATAGGGAAAACTGTTAGATCTTTTTTCTAACAGACCAATAGATAAACCTTTTAAGTATGTAGGTACCTGTATATTAAAAGAGATATAATTAAATATTGAAAATTAATACAAATAATGTTTTACTGTTGGATTTGTAGAGCACCTTAAGTAACTATAGGTAATAAATTGCTAACATGATAGAAACTAGAATTATTTATACACATTTTTTAGACTTTCTTTACCTTAATTGTGCATATTTTATTTTAGGTAGGTACAAAGCCGTTAATGTATTTATTAATTTTTAACTATGTTTTCTTACTTCGAAGTCCAAAATAGTTGAATCTTTCACATAGTTCATCGAATACTATAAACCATACTGATACTGGAGATTTCTATAACAAATTGAATTGTTTTATATATTTCGCGTGTTATTACATTTTCATTCTATTATCATAGGTTTATATTGTAATTGTATATTATAAATCCCGTATTAAAATATTTACAAATTAAATCATAATTTATAATTAAGCTTAAGAGTAGATACGGCGTCAGCTCAAGTCTACCTATCCATAGAGTATTGGTAACACACACTCGTATAGTAAATAAAAAAGTTCAAGTACTTTCTAAAACTTTATAAGTCGTTAATATTATGAAGATAATAATGTTTAAGCATTAATTATTGCAGATTATTACGATTTGAAGAATACCATTTTGTCGAGTACAATATTATTATTTTTAGATTCTGAATGTATCACATTTGTTTATGGTAATGTTTTAATTTTCCAAGTACTTTTCATAATAATAGTTTATAACCGAAAAAAAAACGAACAAATTTATGGCATTAATAACTTCATTATTTAAAATCTATCCGATTTAGTGTTTTAGTTGTAATTTGATTAAAAATAATCATAAAGACGTGAAATGTATACAAAATACTTACATTACCATTTTCTGATACTAAAAAAGGGGTGGTTGGATACGGTTGAGAATGATATGAGCTGATATGATATACAGTCTGTGTATGAAAGGTATAAGAATGGGTTGAAAGTTTAGGACAAGGTGGCTGACCCCAAACACTTGGGATGAGGACAAAGGAAAAGAAGAATAGGAGAAAGAAGAATGAGGGAAGAAGAGGAAGAGGAGGAAGGAAAAGAGGAAAAAGAACAATGGGATGAGGAATAAGAGAAGGAAGAATATAAGGAAGAAGAATACGAGAAAGAAAAAGAAGAAGAAAGTTGTAATTTAGTTAAAAATAATCGTGGAGATGTGAAGTATTCATAGATTATTAATTATAATATGTCCGTTTTTTAGACGTGGAATTTATTAGTATTTGACATTTTCGGTTCTTTTAGATTTTGAGTGGAGTGAAGAACGTATTGGTACTATAATGTATATGTGTTTTAAATTCTGAGTGGAGCGAGCAATGTATTGGCTAAGACTCTAATAGGGTTGTACATGCCAGCGAAGAAGAAGAAGAATATATGTATTACATAATACATGTAAGTTTACTGTGTATCATTGACTACTATCCTTAGAAAATGTTATTATTTTCTAATGTATGGCAATGATATCATTTCCTTTCCTTATTTGGAATTGTCATCGTTTTCTTGTCAAAATTTCCGTAAATATATACAATATACATAGGTATAAAATTGTTTGGATCATTGATAACGGGAGTCAATCAGAAATGACGACACGGGGTGCCGCTCTCTTATTATAAGCTATCTAGGCTATATTATATGACTAGGTGACTCGATAGTTGATGAGATAATAAACCGGACTGATTATAAAGTATTTAATATTAACTTAAGGAAATAATTATGCAGACGTTCATATCGAACATAAAAAAACATGTTCTATTCTGCACATACTTTCGAAAAAAGGGTACATGGTTGACTTGACATTATCGTTGGATTTATTCAGCTCATTTATATTATAAGAACATACCTGCTTTTTGTTTTTCTTTATTTTCATCATTATAGATATATCATTAATAACTGAATATAAATTAATTGTTGAAAAATTATTTTAAACGTATGTTTGCTTATACTAAAATTTATTGCTTGTCTGATAACCGATAAACAGAGTTACCTCTTTTCCGTGGCTTTGATAGTAGACAAAATAAGAGTCAATGAGATGGTTTGGGCATGCCATGAAAAGAGAGGAATCAGAGGGAGTAACAATATGAAAATAAACGCAAGAGAATATAGGTGGATAAGAAGACCGAAAAGAAATGGTTGGAAATATTGCGAGGTCGATGTGGGAATCGGGTCAAGTGTAAGTTTAGAATAAGGATAGCTAACCCTAAATATTTGGGATGAAGGTGAAAGAAAAGGAAAAAAAGAAATTTACTATTATAATAATACGATTTAAGATAATATACTGTCTATATAAAATTATTAAATCATAAAAATATGAATATAATCATTGATCACAAGTTGGAGTGGTAATCTAATAGAAAATATACTAGAATTTACTCCAAGTAAGCCAAGTGTGACACTTTTAGACATGTCTTAGTTGGTGTATTTTAAGGGAATTAACTAAACAACCGGACGCGAAGTACGTCAAGTGAGAATTTTAGAGGTACAGCACTATGCCATGAAAGTAAAACAAGTTCGCACGTACTTTGCGTAGTTGCATTAGCAGAATAGCCTTACAGAGCCATGGATTCGAATCCAGGCCATGGCCAGCGTTGTTTTTTTAAGTTTCTTTGAAAAATATAAGCTCTAAAAAAAGAAAAACAAAGATGGACTTATTTTTACATGTGGGTGGGTCATTATTATAGGCGAGTAGCTAATTGAGGAGGTAGTAGAAAAGAAATTTAATGTATATTAAAAAATGATTCTGAGTTGAGTTCAGTGGATAGTGTTGAATTGTTAATAATATATATGTTATACCAGGGATGGCCAACCCAAATGATCTTGTGGGCCACTTTGGAAATATATTATAAGATCACGGGCCGCATACTAAATTACATATTTTAGATTTGAGTAAAACAAAATACGTTTTGGTGTATTAATTCATTAAAATAAATAGCATCAATTATTATTGTTTTTATTATGACTCATAATTTATAAACATAGTTAATAATATAATAATTTTAATTTAGTGGGATATTTTTTCTCAACTCGTCTACTTTTGCAAATCTATATCAATGTTTGTATTTGCACATCGTAATTAATGTTGCAGGTTTTCATCTGTTAGGTTTGAGCGTAATTGTTTTTGGCGAATTAAATTTTTGAAAAAAATGATTCATAAATGTAAGTTGATCAAAAAACTCTCACAACTATTTGTGGCAGATTTCTCAAATTGGAAAATTTTTCTTTATTTGAAATTTTGAAACGATTAATTTACTTCACCAACGAATATTACAAGTTGAGCTGTATCTGATATGTTTGTACTTTCGTCAAATATTAATAAAAAATATTTGAAATCTCGAATTCGATCGCGTAGTTTTACAATAATTTCATTTGAAATGTCATTTATTCGACAAAATACTGTTTGTCAGGATAGACTTATATTCGAAAATAGTCAATTTTTATCAGGTAAAATATCCTTTGCTACAGCTTCCAAACATTCTTTCACAAATTCACCATCCGAAAATGTTTTCATTTTTTTTTTTGCAATCAAAAATGAGACAGAACAGCTTTAACTTAAATTGCTTTAACAATATTTGATTGTGTTGCTGTAAAGCTAAACTAAACATTCTTTGTTGAGTTTAAAATTGTGACTTTATTTCTCTGAGCTTCAATTATTTCATTTTATTATCAAATTTCAAATAATCATTATGTTTTGTTTCATAATGCCTTTTAACGTTATATTCCTTAAATACAGTGAATATTCCTCGGAAAATTAAACACATTAATTTTGTGATTTGAATTATAAAGAAATACTTTTCTTTACACTCCTCACTATACTTTTTATTTTCGTCCACTATTTTTCTTTTCTTTACACTCATACTTAAATTTGAAATATTTAAAAATGTATTTAGTAAAATAATTCTCCCGCAGTTACAACACACTAAGCGCACTTTAAAAGTCACAGCGAACGGACAGACTATGAATGTTATTGGTAACGTTTTATTTTAACAATATAATTTGTCTTAAGTTGGTATCTACTCGTATATGCTGTTTTTAGATTAGATTATAATTATTATATTTGTTGCGATTACGTTGTTAATAATATGGATACCGCGTTGTGTGGGCATTTCAGAATATTCTATTGACACAAAAATAATTTTTTTTTGTAAAAGTTTGATAAATCTTGTGGGCCGCAAAACTTTCAAGACAGGCCGCGGATTGGCCACCTCTGTGTTACACTATCGTAAAATAATTACATAGGCATTATATATTTTCTTTAATAATATTTATTTAATATTGTACTTATTTTCCCGTTTTTCCTGCGATTTTCTCGGGTTTCTCATGTTTTTCATGGTTTTTATTGGGAAAACTTGTGTGAAAATCGAAAAATTACCTCCCAAGCCAGATTTCCTTTAAGAAAAAGTCTTATTATTGTCAATTAGAGCGATATTGCTGGTAGAAAAGTTATCCACAGAAAAAAAAAAATTAACATCATTGTTAAACCATAAGCTTCTTCGTTTCACTCAGAATCTTAAAGAGCTGATGCTGGGGACGGGTGCGAACACTGTTGTAGGTGGCTAGTCGGGAAGATGGGGTACACAAAGTTATTTAATTTATAACTGTAACTAATGATAAACCACTGATAACAAAAAACGATTCGGAGCAAAGTTCGGGTGCATATGTTATGAAAGACCACAGTCTTATATTTTAGTGATATTTACCATTTTCGTCAAAATTTGATATTCAAATTGCTTCTTAAAAAAAAAATACTGCACAAAGCTCAATATTTTTTTTGACCACAGTATATGACATTTAAGGAAACGTCTGTTAAAATTTCAAGCATTGCTGTTTAGTCTAACAATTTAATTCGTAAAGTATCTATTGAATAAAAATGATGTACGAAAGTCGCAATATTAATATGTCTATAATTAGCTCGAAAGTGGATCAAATGTTTTGAAAATTTTACCACATTTAAGAATAAAAATATAATATTTCTGTCAACACTTAAAGTCTTTTTGAATATATTGAACTAGAGTACATTAAAAAAACAAAATTGAAAATAATAAAATAATTATCGTACGTTTTCCCGTACTTTCTGAATTTTTTTTCAATTTTGCTCAATTATTAAAAAATCTACAAAGTAAAAAAAAAAAAATCAAATCACCAACTAGATTAAAATTCAACAAAAAAGATCTCTTAATGTTTTTTAATTGGAGCAATATTTATGGTAGAAAAAATAGGTCGTAAAAATTTAAAATAATGAAATAGTAACACCGTAAATTTGTCAATTTTAATTTTACGTATTTTTTTAGTTTTAGTAAAAACTACTTATTATTAACTTAAGTAATTATTAACTTAATAAGTTAATAAACTTATTATTATTATTTACTAATTATTAATAAACTTACAAAGAAAATTAAATAAAACGAATAATTTAATCATGAACTACATTAAAAATGCAACAAAAAATGTCTCTAATTGTTGGAGCGATATTTATGACAGAAAACATAAGTTGTACACATTTTTATATAATGAAATAGTTGTGCCATAATTTAAAAAAAAATTGTATATTTCATGTTTTTTGGTTTTTCCTAATTTTTATGAAAAATATTTTAGTTACCAAAAATTGACTTCCTCTGTTAGCGGCTATAACCTAAAAGAAACAAAATCGATCTCTTGCCATTTTTTTGATTGGATTAATATTTCTGGTAGTAAACAAAAGTTGCAAATATTAAAATAATTAACGCGGAACGCTACGTTGCTGTATATATTAATCAATTTTAATTTGTTGATTCTCCCAATTATTACAAAAACTTCTTTTGATATTGAAAATAGTTTACTCTGTTAGTTGCGAAGTATTATAAAGGAAAAATCGATCTCTTGTCATTTTTCGATTGGAGTAATATTTCTGGAAAGGTGCTATAGTCTATATTTCACAAGTTTTCTGGAAGAAAAGTTGTTCACAGACAAAAAAAAAAAAAAAAACACATCATAGTAAAACCAATAAATCCGGCTCTACAAAAAGCGGAATCCCACTAGTGTTAAATATTATTATTTCCTGACGTAAACACCAGAAGCGTGCGCAGACCTTTGTGGCAGGGTGGGTCAATTTAATGTTGAATTTGTATCAAGGGCATAAATGAAGGTGGGAAAGAAAAGGGATTAGTCCCCCAAAGGTCATAATTCACGACCATAAAATTAAAATGAGCCATATGTTTTTAGGAGGGAAGGGAAAAAAATGATTGGACACAAATTCCAAATAAATGAATTTACTTTGTCCCTCATAATAAATCTAAAATAATTAAAAAAATTAGATAAAACATAATTATATCTACAGTTAATTATAAATAATAATAACTTAATCCCATTAAAATATAGGGCTTTATAACTTCATCCTTCTTTCTTTTGGAGTTTAAGTTTCTAACTGTTAAATAACCTCGTGTCATCGTATTGCTTAAATTTGTTTTTATTATGCTTAGTTTTAAAAATGTCCTTTCGCATGCACAACTCACAAGAATGGCAAAAAATATTTTTAGTATTTTGAATAAATTAATAAATATAGTTTCTCTTCCATAACTGGTGGGTTCTGATAGCTATTTAATGTATTTATCAATATTTATGTTTTAATCGTTTGGTAAATTTTCAGTATGTTTTAATAGGTTAATTTCAGTTTTAAGTGCGTTACTGTCAATATTAATGTATCATTCAACAAATTAATATTTGTATTACTAATTTAAAAATTTAATAACATAGTGACATTTTTTATTATTTCAATAATTTCTTGACTATACCTGATATTTAAAGGTACAATCATATTGTCTAAAATAGTTTATCAAACTTTTCTCATTTCATCTTCTTTTGTGTTGAAGATGTGTTGTGTCTGACTTAAGCTTCCTATTTTTTAAAACATTTTTTTTTGTCTTGTTACTGAAATTTTAATTTTATTATCATCATACAATATGATAGAATCATTATAAAATTCTCAAAATATGAATTGTTGTTTTTCATTGAATTGAGCTTTTTTTTTTTGAAGGTTTCAACAAATTGCATAGTCGTTAACGAATTTATATCAGGTGGTTGTAATTATGAACTGGTTTTTAATATTAAAGAAACGATGGGGTTAAGCATTTCAAAGAGAAATATAAATACAAAACTTTTCTTTTAAGAAAGTATACCCTTTACTCGTATACGGGCTTGATTAGTAGAATTAGTTATTTTATCAATAGCAATGAGAAGAGAAGAGCAGTTACATTTCATGGTACTTACAGCTTCAGAGCGACTGGCCCATTTAATAGTTGATATTGATTTTAAAGTTTTAAGTTTTGCATTTGTGGAATTAACAAGAAAGGTACGCCACTATGTAGTACAGCTTGACTCTCAGGAGGTACTATGGCCCACCTGCCCCCCATGTGCACGCTTATGGTAAACATGTACAGTTTATAAAACAAATACGATTTCCATATTATATTTTTAAATACTATACGAATGACTTAAACTTTATGTAATATATTTTATCGAGATGGGTAGTACATGACTAGTTTATATCATGTATGCTTTTTTGCAGACACTCGGATCAATATATTATAAATATAATACCACTTGAATTTTTGGATCTATCCCATGACTATTAAATAATCAAATAAACAATAAAATACCATTTTTTTCCTCGCGGTACTGGACAAGACAACATAAAATATTCTCGATGATAGTTTTTTTTCCAGAGCGAAATACCTCCAAATCTACTGGATGCATGGATGGGTAGTTAAAGGTAGACGGGTAGCTAGGTATACGATATCGCTGAATTAATAATTAAACTCGACTCCTATATAGCCTCCTATGTGTGATATTCTTCCGAAAAGGTTAACCGTAGTAAACCTAATATATAGTATTTCAGTATATAAACGTTTGAATAGTTTATCAGGACCGGATAAACGGCGCCCTCGGTGGCTGTAAAAATAATATAATAATATATATTTTATACCGAACTGTTTTTAGTTATTTATAGGTTAGCACGGCGCGTCTATACAATCGCGTCATTACTAAAATTGATATTTTGTGAGTATACGTATGTCGATATCTTATACGCTATCATAATATTTTAGTAGTGGTTATGTCATAATAATATAACGTCGCAGTAAAAATGGAATCGTTTGAAATCGGTTATTTATACCTCGGGGATTGGTCGTGACTATGGTATCTGGCTAGTATAACTATATAACTTTATATAGGAGTTATTTGTATGATGTAGTTAACGTGGTAGAACCATTGGTCGTGCTCTGTACCGTGATTAATGAATATCATCACATGATTTGAATCATGTTTTCACATTTTTCATCAAGTTATTGCGGACACTTTTGTCTATGATCTAAGTTTTGTCGTATATTGTTGTTTTAATATGAATACATAATGTTGTGATTAAATATGTTTATATTTAAATATTATTTACAATATAATTTCTTTGGAAATATACTTAAAATAAACAACACAGAGAATGTATCAAAATGTGTAGTGGACGGTTGTTTTCACAACCACCAGAAGTGCTTTCATCGTATCAAACTTCAACATGGGATATGCCTATCTATTATATTATGTTTGATGTCAATGTTTCTTACGGCCACCGCGCTTACAACAGCATAAATAATATTTTTATAGGACTTGCGAAGGCATAAGTGGCCGAATGTATTTCGAGTTTACAGAAACGTTACTATGTACTCATAATAATAATATATCGTCGTTTACGACGTGGAATCATTTTTATTCGAGAATTTAAATTAGACTTAACTGAACCTATATGGAATAATAACTATATAGTAGGACTTACGTACTTATAGTTTGAAGTTTTACCGATTAGCGAATACACCATTAAATAAATTACATGTTTCGCGTAGAATCTTTAATATTTTAAGTACCTACGTACAATTTAGATAAGTTATATTATCGAGGACGTCGAACGCTCGTTTACCGTCTCTCAGTTTCTGTCTATTTAAGGTAATATTAAATTATACCAAAAATGAGGTTCGTATCCAGACTTTACTGTTTTTGATAAGTTTTTTCCCGCTTATTAAGAAAACTACATGGTAAAATAAAAAAAAAAACTTCTTTCTCATACACCAAATAAATAAAATTCTCTTTCAGAAAACAAGCTACTTTTGAATTTCAAGATGTGCACGATTTCTAGTAGACTACAAAATGTAATGAATTATGTCTTAGTAACTTTAAAAAATCTACTCCATGCCAAAGTACCTAAACTATGCAAACATAATATACAATATTAAACTTTAAATTCTGAGCGAAGCGAGGAACGTATTGGTTTTCAAATGATGTTTATTTTTATTTTTAAGATTTGGAGCATAGTGATTTTTACTGAATCTAGGTAAAAATATCCGGATCTATAATATTCGAGAAAAAGTTATCAAGGTGGAAAATATATCTGAAGAAAAAAACATCAAAGTATAAAAGTATACTAATAAATAATCATATTGTTATTTATATATACATATCCATATACATTCAAAGTAATTCTTGACTACTTAGTTGAAATTTAGTTAATAGTAAAATATATAAAAATCACATTATTATATACACTCACAGATATTGTTTTGATATTTTTATTGACGAATGTGATTTTTAAATATTATTCTTGTAAATATTGTTTATTATTATTAAATATAATATTATTCCCTAAATTGTAACTTTGATATTTTAAATTGGTTTTTTTTTCCTTGGATATTAGAGATAGTTTTACTATGATGTATGATTTTTTTTTCTGTTTGCAAACAACTTTTTGAAAAAAAATCTTGCTCCAATGTATAGAGTATAGAACTTTTTCTGAAAAGAAATTTTGTCTAGTAGTTGCATTAATGGGGTCATTTTTTGATTTTTCAAAGGGTTTTTAAATAACTAGGGAAAACCCCATAGAAAATTATAAGCAAGCTGGAAAATATCTACAGCTTGCCATGGCCTTAATAATTTCATTGATTTTATTTTTACAACTTAAGTTATCTACCAAAAATTTTGCTTCAATCGAAAAATGACGAGATATCGATTTTATTCCTTTTAACACATAGCCATTGTAAAAGAAAGTTGTTTTTTGATATCTCAATGGTAAGTACTTTGAGAATAAAATTGTTAGACTAAACAGAAATGCATGAAAAATTGACAGGAAGTTCATTAGTGGTAAAAACATTTTGAAGAAAACTGTAAATATTACGGCCTTTCAAAACATGTATCACTGAACATTGTTCTGAATAGTTTTTCATTACCAATAGTTTATCGTTGGTTACAAGTATAAATTAAATAACTTTGTGTATTCTACCTTAACTACCCACTTACAACAGTAGCTACACTTGTACCCAGAATTAGCTCTTTAATTTTTCTGTGAACAACTTTTTTAAAATAAATTTTGTTTAGATTTTCAAATGTAGTACGTTTTCTGAAAGGAAATTTGACTGGATTGGTACTTTATACAGGTAATTTTTTGATTTTGTAGGTGGTTTTCATAATAAATGGAAAAAACCAGACAATTTGTGAAATTAATTATTTTCAAATCTTAAATATTATGGCATGTTTAATTCAATATATAAGAAAAATTTCCCCTCCACCTTTCCAACATTTTATTTACAACAGTGATCAGTGGTCCACCAATCATACGGATTATGTTCATTCTATTTTTTTGAAATGGATTTGTACTTTAATTAGCTTGAATTTATAGATAGTTAATAAAACTGTCGTAATGCATACATTTTTGAGCCCTGGTCCCATAATATTTGTTACATTTAAATTATGACCGAAATCAATGTAAAATTATTACTTATTATATACGCAGAGAAATATGTTAAACCTCTGGAGTCCAAAGTGTTGGGAAACTGAAAAGCCACTAAGTCATGGAAAGGGCTAATTTTCGGATATAATTATGAATTAGTATCAATAATACATTATGTATTATGTGTAATAAATGTTTAAGTTAAAATTCGGTGGCTTTTTTACGGTTAGATTAATATTGGTTTTTTTAGAGCATATAAGCTGTTTTGGTTTGACTAAAAATGTGAAAATTGATGTGTATATGACGAGAAAATGTCAACAAAAATATAGAACATAACGTGCTACGTGTTGTGATGGTATCTGATTTTGGATATTTAACCTTTGACTTGAGATATTCGTATTATAGCCAAAATCACATACTGCTAAATCCATATATATAATTTACAATACAACAATATATAAATGTGTATAGCAAAAATTGCACTTACCAATTGATTTTCACTCGGTGCCATCCCGACGTTGGTGTTGTAATTAGTATATACACAATTGAAAAATAGGTATCACATACTTTTCGATAATAATATATTAATATTATGATTTATAGTAATTTATGGTTGGTATCGCGGTACTTAACTATAATATATATTCTAAACAAACATAATAAACCAACATTAGCAATCACTTCAGAATAAGGCGTGAACCATTAAAATCCATTATAATCATTTTCGATGTTATAAACGTATATTATAGCTGGTACCAATTGCATATGCATATGGTATTATGACATCACAGCGAATCTGAACCATATATTAATGCGGATATTCGAAATCTATTCATGTGACAGTTCACGTGAAAGAACTATAAATGAAATCTTCATTTTTAGTTTTGCAGGTGAACGCGCGTTTTTATCTTGTCTAATTTTAAGGCTGAACTCAAACGGACCGTTTTAGATTTACACTATGGTCATAAAACTATCACCCGTGTTCACTCATGGTTGATATTTTAATAACATAATATAAACACATTTTAAAAACATAATCGTATTCATCAGATGGACCACTTTCTGACATCAGTTTCGGTGGAAGTCACAACGTATCGACGTTATTACCCACAAAATTGTGGTCATCGGTGACTGAGCGTGGTACAGGGGAGTTACACGTTTCCGCCAGAAAAAAAAAAAAATAATAAAAAAAATATGGCCTCAATGCATTAACTAGATTAAAAATTCTACAAGAAAAATTGAATAAAGTTTTTGATTGGAATTTTTGAGGAAGGTTTCTGGTAGAAAAGTTATTTAAAGACACAGAAAAAATATACTATAGTAAAACCGATATATTTCTTACTTTACTAGTATTTAAAAAAATATAAAATACTGTTATAAATAATCATGTATTGATGTGTATTGACGATGATGAAACACAATATGAGTTATCGTTATTCAATGACTAAAGATACCTAATATCACGTAATCGAGTCCATACAGAATGATCAACATAACGTAAGACACTCATTTTATCGGACAGTATTAACTTTTAAATTTGTTTTTTTAGAACGTTTAAGAAATAAGTAGCTCTAAAATATTATAATACTAAAGTAAATGTTATAAATTGTGTTTATAATATGCTCATTGCTCATGGGCCATGGGTATATTGATGTGCAATTGTTCACACGGTAAACGCTCATGCTTTTTTCCACATGTAGTAAAAAAGAGTTTAGAGGTCGTCTTGATCACATTTGTATAGGCAACTAATTAGTATATCTTTTAAAGACCTTATTTATAATACCTTTCTATTTTTAATTTACTTGATGCCCACAAGTAACTTCTTGAAACATTGAAAAATTCCTACCAGAAGGTGAATCAGGCTGTCATCTAATTGAAATTAGGCGGCAAATAGGGCATGCGTGCCGCACTAATTATACGTAAACACTTTTCTAAAGTATCTATGTAAAACAAATTTTTTCCTTATAAAAATATAATTGACATGTTCAATATAAGTTTTCGATTTCGTGTTAATGAAACAATATGATCAGAGAATTCTAACAAATAAAATCTGGAGGTTTGCAATCACTTCTCGGTTATTATAATAATATAGTTTTGTTTATTTTGTATTTTTATTAACGTTAAATCCGTCATTACAGTCATCATCTATTTGTTGTTCGAACGATTTGTATTTGTAATTCGATCCCAAATAAACCAATAACAACGTATCTACGAGCATGATACCAGCGAAAAACAGATATTCGTGCACCTAAAGGTATGTAAAGTTACAATATATAATTATTACTATTTAAGTGATAAAATGTAAAGGAAATAATATGCCCACTTGGTTGTTGAACGATAACGCTGAGACGCTAATGACGACCAATAAATTTCCAATTGATTGAGTTAACGAATAACACGCCGATACGAATGATTTTATTCTTGGCGGAGCCTATAGAAATATTAAATTCAAAAACAATTTAACTATGAAATCAAATACTTCATAACTTGAGGATATTTGAGTTAGGTATAATAATGTAATATTTCGGTTAAATATTAAAGTAGGGGTTTCGAATTAAAATGAATCCGTGAGTAAAAAACATAATACTTGCTGATATTATAGTTTGTATTACGTATAAATATGTTTAGTTAAAATTAATTTAAATTAGGCGTTTAGCTTGTTTTAATTATTAATAAATAATTACGTTATTTTTTATATTGCAGTTTAAAATGCAATTGTATGTTGAACAATATTTTTGTAGTGTATTTAAAATGTATAGTATAATAGGTAAATAGGTAAATGCCGAATTACGTGAGGAAATGAAGCATTTGAAAGTGAACAAACGTTTGAAAGTATAAGTAACGTATTAGATTTAAATTATGCATTAATGATTATTATTATGGGAGGTTATTACTTGTGTGTATGAAAATTCAACCGTTGTAACAATAAACGTCACTTCTGCAATAACCATACACAAGTATTGCGGAACCTGCCATACGATGTGCAAATAGTTACCTCTATCTGTGGCATATAATTCAGATTCCTAAAAAATCCTTGACTTTAATAAAACGATTTTTATACTAATGTACCCCCATTATTTTGATTTCATTTTAAAATGATACATGGTTATTCTTTTACGATAAACCATCGATTTTCTGGGAGCATTTTACACGAATTCGATTTCTATTTATTTTTTCCGTTATTTAAGCATTAGTTTAACACTGTTTTTAAATTTTTATCCCTACACCTTTTATCTTAAATGAGTGTATACTTTAGATTTTCAAATAATAATCTTTCGTTTTTTTGAATACATTCAATACTCTATTCGAATTGAATAGAGATTATTTTACTAACAATTTTACTATTCATAACTCTAATATTGTTTAAAGTTTTGACCGGAAGAATAGAGAAGGGTTATAAACGTTAAGTCTATTATTCCATTTTTATTTTCAAAGTTTAAATATTTAATTAATATAACTTACAACCCATAAATGGTACATCTAATATTATTGTAATGTATATTCAAATTTGAAGACATATTATTATATTATTATACATCAATATATTATTCTCTATTCAAATACATGTTTAAAAAACATGGGAAAAGTAAAACTCCGTTTTAGAGTAGATTTTTCCCCCAGCTGACTTGTTGCCGTTCCAATATTTTATATATTTTTTTATAATGATAAGGAATTAAAGACATTTTTTTTTATTAAAATATGTAAAGTAATTCTTGAGATTTTTGTGATCCTAAAAACCGATGGGCGGAATAGTAGGGGCTTGGAATTTCAAACATTCTAAAAGCACATCCTCGAAAATAATTTTGTATATAGGTGCATACACATTGTAACTTAGTTACTTATTTTTATGAGTCTTTAAGGTTGTTTTAATCTTTTATTTCCTGTTAAACCATGAAATCTGAGAATAAAAATGGCAGGGTAAATCCTTGATACATACACCATATATATACAAAATATCTTCCCATGTCTAAATTTGGAGAGTTTGTAGGGTTGTATAAAGGTAAAACACCCTCCTTCCACAAAAACATGATAGAGTTCAACTAAAATTATATCACTTCAATCTACTTAAAAAAAATTCTATTTTTTGAGTTTCAGTTATTTTGGTCCGAAGGGACGCTCTAAAAGTATTAAAATGTATCAAGAAAAATATATATCTATAAAAAGCTTACATTTTCAGGAAAAACTTGACAAAAATCGGGGATTGCTAATAGAAAATCGAATGTTTACATTATACAGTGTATACCTACTCCTTTAAGTTATACGAAGAAGGTGTAAAATAGACGGATATTCTTCGTGTGGTGAAAGGTAGGATATATGAGAGAATTCAATATATATATCAGTACGAAATAATTAATCATTGCTAACGATAAATGATTCTGAGTGGAGTTTGGTTATACATGTTTTGAAAGGTCGTAATATTTACGATTTTCATCAAAATTTTACATTAAAATTCTTATAAAAAAAATTCTATATTACACTCAATTTGTTTTATTTTTATCACAATGTACAACTTATAAGTCTCCAGTTAAATTTTCAAGCATTTCTGTTTGGTCTAACAATTTTATCTACAGGGTACCTACTAAATAAAAATTACGTAAAAACTCGCAAAATTAAAATGTCTTTAAACAGCTCAAAAATGGTTAGATATTTTGAAAATTTTACATTTACAAATTACACAGGACAATTAAAAAGACCTCGCATCCATATACCACCCATCCGAAAGGAAGATGGCATTTGGGCACGCAGTGAACAAGATAAAGCTGAGGTATACGCACGACATCTCGAACGTGTATTTCAGCCAAATGACATCATTTCTGAACTATCATCCATGCAGGATGAAGTTACCCGGTTTGCTCGCAAACATGCAAGTTTTTTTTATAAGAATTTTTGAATGTACCTTCTATAAGAGCTTCGCAAAATAGTTTTTTGCGAGCGATGTGAGTGTATTTCTGATAGGTTAAATTTGATTACATTTATCCTTATGAAATTTAAATATTTGTTGTATAAATGAGCAGATGCATAACCTAACCTAACCTAACCTAACCTAACATAAATTCATAAATGAGTGTAACTTTATAGTTTTTTTCAAAAACGCTATTGCCGGAAGTCAAATGGTTTTAAATAATGTATTAAATGTACAATGCATATTATGCTATTTACATGCCTGTGAAATATAGAAAGCAAATAATTACTGTATCGTCATCAATGAAAAACTTAAATTAATCTATTTCATTTAATATACATTTTTAATAAATGTCTGTATTATAGGTAGGTACTGTTAATAAACATTTGTCACCTTTGGGTATTGATGGTAAAATTATCGGCTATCGATGCTCCGGTAAGAACAACATTTCCGATTGCATAAACCATTGACATTCGTATTATTGTTCTGCGAACGCGCAAACAAAGAATAATTAATATATGTTAAATGTATTGATTTTATTTAATGCTCACTCGAATTTTCCGCAGTAAGAGTCAGCCAATATAGCACCCCATAACGGCATAAAATATGATATAAACACAAAACCGTGATAAATCATTGTCGAATCATCGTCAGAGTAATTTAATATCGATGATACGTATAATACCATGACCGCTGGAATTTGTAAAATTAATATATATATATATATATATAACATGTAGGTATTACATCGACCTGTTCATTGTTCACAAAATGTAGGTTATTCATTTTTCAGGAACTTTGATTAGAATAACGTAATAATTATAATGATTTATAATGTATGTAATATGCATGTTCATTATAAGTTTTACTTTGTGGTAAAAAAAGAGTCGAGCGTAATATAATAATTTCTTTTACACATAAGTTTAAAAAGTTAAAATTTGTATGAAAATCATAAAAATCTCAGCATTTTAAAACATGTTTATCCCAACTTTTTCAGAATCATTTTTCGTTGGAAATGGTTTATCGTTAAAATATAAAAATAAATATGTATATTATGATAAATCTTATATCTTTTAAATTCACCATATGAACAACTTTTCGTAAAATCATCATTAAATAATTTATTATAATAAACTAGCGAAAATTGTTTGCCTCTTTCACGAAATTAGGTTTTACATATTCCTTTGATTACATTTTATCGTACTCGCTCACTCATAAACGATTATTATAACTTATAGCGTTTTTAATTTGACTGCACTCGTGTACATTTTTACTTACTATCACTTGATATGAGCAGTGCATTAGATAACATAAATTACGTATGATAGTGTAGTGCAACATTAACTACACGAGTGTAAAAACCGGTTATTATCGACTTTAACGGTATGATGGTGTTTATTATGTTTGTATGGATATACTTTGTAAGTGATCTGTACTTTAGTTTGATAACTATTATAAAATTGACGATGTTTTACGATAATACTGTATAGTTATTTTCGATTTCAAATTACAATACTAACCACTTATAGTGTTCATGAGTGTACTGTACTTGTATTTTACTGTAATAAGATTGTAAACGTTATTATAGAAATATATTAACTTATCAGGGTATCCCGCTAAAACGTCGCGTGCGAAAAAATGTCACAAATACAAAATGCCATCGCATAAAAAAAAATCTACTTTTCAATTTTTTCGGAATGAACAAATAAATACACACATGCATCAATGACAGTGAAAGGGTTAAACTTTGTACATTTTGTAGTCATAATTTATAAAGTTTTTAAAGCTATTATATACCATTTTATTAACATTATAATAACTCAATGTTGAGTTCCCACGGTCATCAATCAATTTGGAATTGTACTCGTATTGATTTATTAATAAAAGATAGGTATATACTATATAAATTGTATAAATATGTGTACAAAGTATACACGATTTAAGAAACTATTATTATTGTTAAGCTAGAATACTTATCACCTGTTATTGTATGACTCCATTATTCCCTTATCACCTATTATTTATACCCCTTTAGTCGTACAACGTAAAGTTAAAACAAAGTTTGTAGCCTTGTTAGAAAATATAATATATTATTATATGTTATTACATATATAATAGAAAACATTATACGTATAATAATAATAATAATAATAACAGTACTACTACTAATAAATTGTACTAGTATATCAAATTTATGTAAACTGCATGGCAGCATAACGAAAAATAAAACATTTCGAAGGAGGTATGTGCCTCCAGTACACTTTCCTCCCTGGCTACGGCACTGATATAACATTATATTAAACAATTTTTAAATTACCTATTCGTCAAAATGGTGAAAACTAGAATTACTTAATTATACAAGTTTGTTTGACTTTCTATACATTGTACATACTTAATTTAACTAGGTATATAGATTAAAGCTAATAAGTATCTGGTAGGTATATATAATATATATCCATTAATTTATAACTAAGTTTTCTTACTTCGAAGTCCAAAATAGTTGAACCTTTCGCATAGTTCATCAAATACTATAAACCATACTGATACTGGAGATTTCTATAACATAAATTTAATAGTTTTATAAATTGTATACAATTATATATACAAATACGTATTACTTTATTTTATTATAGCCTATAACCATAGTTTGAGATATTGCCGTTTTGTTAAGTTAGATATTGAAAAAATATACTAATGTACTTAAAATTCTATTATTATTATTTATAGAGAATATTACGCATGCAAGTAGCGTATCAAACAAAAAAATAGACCCTTTTGAAAGAATTGTTAAAACAAATGGAAGAACACGATTATGTAACACAAAGATTGATTGAATTAGTTGAAAGTCATAAAATTGAATGTCAAAAATTAAGTTTAAAAAAATGAACTCTCTTAATATGATTTATGAAAAAGAAAGTATTTTAGAATTATGAATTATTATTTAAAGCTCATAACTTAGACCAATTACAAAACCCTGTAATAATGTTCTTTTGACATTTTAAAATGTTATCTAAAATATTAATTTTTTAAAATTTAACAAGGAATATAGTTTATTATATTAGCAGTGGCGTGCATAGCCAGTGGGGTTGGTTTTATAACCCCCATCATTGCCTTTTTTTTTAGCTTAGATATAAGTAAGACTAAGAAGATTGTATAGAAGAATTTCTCAACAGTTTCGTGATTTGATAGCCATTCCTTAACTATAAAAAATTGTTACTATTATTCGTAGCTTACAGAACATCATATTGATCTCGATATTAATTTTATGTATTGGTTTTTATGTCTTTATTATTTATTGTATAGATATAACTCTTTCTCCCATTTATATATCCTGGCTACGCCACTGTATATAAGTAAATTGTTATTTTGTTTGTTCTATGGACAGTTCAAAAACTGGTCAGAATTTCGAATATTAAAAATAATACTAAATAATTTTAATTTCTAAATATTGAATTATTATAATAAAATTTAAATTAAAACGAATCTAAGATACACTAACTAACCGAACTATAATGAATTTTGGATTGATTTCTCTAAATTTCTCATAGATTGTTGAATGCGATTTAAACTATTGGTATCGAGTACTCAATAATGAGAATTTGATTATTAACATTTTCAAATTATTAATGTTAACACATTTTTATCATTTATCATTATCAAATAATTGGCCACCCTAGTATATCCGTTAATAACCACTGTGGTATATACAGTGTCAGTAGCGAATTTACGGAGGGTGGTTCAGACCCCCTTAGATTCTGAAATAATTTAAATTTACTGTCATCTAACACGAGGCTTCTATTAATAGAAACATTTATTTTTAAGGACCCTCCCACAAAAATGTCGAAAATACACTACTGCATAGTGTTATTTTCTATTCATCACACAACGCTCTATGGATAAGCTCCAGGGATTCACAATACATTTTTTTTTATTATTTATGGTGTCCGTATTACGGTTTGGTTAATATTAGTAGTTATTGGAGCGTATTGTTTTCTTGGTTCTATTCAAAATATGAAAACTCTAACAAGTACATGAAGCGAAAGTTTCAACATACACAGAACTTAATTATATGCTGTGAATGACCAATAAATAAAGGTTATATGTATAATAACCAATTCAACATGTATGAATGATAAATATATTTCGAAATGCTTGGTACCTACCGGGATAGAGATTGCTGATGACTGGACTTCGATTGAATCCCATGGCCAAAGTTTGAATTTCCTAAATTACATTTGTATTATATGGAGGCACTACAAAAGGTGAAATCGATGGGTTGTTAATTTTTATTTACAGAAAATAACATATTTTATTGACATAGGGTACATTAAATGTATAAAATCATTACACTTAATCATTTTTATAAATTATACATTATTGTTACAAATAATTCAATTGCGTGTTGATGAAATGACTGCAATATAAGTTATTGTCAGACAACGCCAACAGCTAAATTATACCAAATATCACGTAACTGAGTCTTTATAGTTAGGCGGAATCACTTTGTTTAAACTCATTGTTATTCGCCTTAAGCTTGGTGTCATTTTCGTTGTTCTCGGCGTCATCGTTTGGTCGTTGTTTGTAAGCTTTGTACTTGTAATTGTAACCCAAATAGGCCAACAATAACGTGTCCGCAAACATAAGACCGGAGAAAAATAGATACTCGTGCATCTTAAAGGTACAAATTACAGATAGAATATATTAAAATATTGGTTTATAATATTATTACAATTTTGAGAGAATAATATATTCTTACTTGTTCCTTGAAGGATAATACAGAAATAAATACGACTAAAAGATTTCCAAATGATTGAGTAATTGAATAACACGCTGAAATAAATGATTTTATCCTGGGTGGAGCCTGGAATAAAAGTGCAAAAAAATGTTAAATCATGCAAAATACAATATTAATTGTGAAATTTATTTTTTTTTTTATATGAATATATTTTTATACCATTTTCACGTTGTGGTTAAATCTTTGATTCCAAGGAAGAAAGGCTTAAGTGAATTTCAAAAATAAATTTTAAAGTTTAAAAATTACAAACAAAAATGGGAAAAAGTTATGGAAATAATAGAATATCGAAAAAAATAATAAGAAAATTTTAAAACAAAAAAAGATGCAAATAATTGACTGAAGTTCTTCTAAATTAGGACGACCAAAGAAATATTAAAATGGGATAACTATTATTATTATTATTTTTTAATTATGCTGAATTTTGACAACAACTTTTTATTGATATAATTACTATTTTTTTTCTATTATATTGAAATTAAAAAAAACCCTGAAAAATATTGGTGATGAAAATTAGTATGGATAAAGACATACCACTTTATGACTATCACCAAAGCCATAGATAATAGCCGTAAGGATGGGTAAAGATCGCAAAGTCTTGTTATGGTATTATACATAATTAAATCTGAATACATTTTCATGTATTATTTACGAATTTATCGTTGATTGTTAATAAAATATTTTTGGATTATCAATTATAAAAACTAAGACATTTTTTTTTTGATTTTTCAAAATTTCTAATGTGTGCTTTTTAAAATATAACTATTGAAAATGACAATACGAACGAATAAATGAAGGAAAATACATTGTACAACTAATATTCTAGATTTTATTGTATGTTTGCTTACTTCGGTAAATGTAAATTCAATTGCTGTAGCGATAAAAATCACATCCGACAAAATGATAAACGCGTATTGAGGTAGCTGCCAAAAAATATGTAAATAGTTGCCCGAGTTCGTGGTATATAATGACGATTCCTATAAATTTTTAGTTAATGAAATATAAAAGTATATTAAATCACCTACAACTTTTGTTATTATAGTACTAGAATTGTGAGGAAGCACCGCATTTTTCCTAAGTTTTGGTTCCGCTTTTTCCCATTTATCATGAAAACCCTTAGGAAAATAAAAAAATAACTCCCTTAAGGTTAGGTACCACCCCAGTCAGATTTATTTTCAGAAAAAGTGCTACACTTGATAATCGGAGCAAAATTTTTGGTAGAAAAATTGTTCACAGATAAAAATAAAAAATAAAAAATAAAAAATAAACATCATTGTAAAAACAATATATTCCTTACCCCACTCAAAATCTAAAATTTTTTGTAAGGAGGGTGTGGGAGGTTAAGTGGATTAATTTTTGAAGTCTTAGAGTCCCTCGGCTTTAATTTTTTCAATTCGAGCACGGATTGTTGAGTGATTAAAAATAATCTTACCATGGTAAGACTGTTGTTATTCAAAATGAGTGTGTATATTGTTGCTGGTATAAAATGTATATTTGATGAGATCACTTCTTCTCCGTGTGTTAAATTATAACTTAAATCACAAATATATATATATATTTTAGAAATAATACAATTTGTCGTTTATCTGAGAAAATTCAATAATTATTGAAAATTATGTTTTATTAATGTATAGTCGACTCTTACTTTCCTAATTTCACTTGTTTGAAATGTTCATTTGCAAACGAAGACATATTGTATGATAATAATGATTTTTTCTCATTGATTACAAGAGCAAACGATTCGTTCTTTTTTATATCATCGCTTATTATGAACCTAAAATTGCACATATTTTTAATATAAACATATTTAAAACAAAAACTTATAGGATTAAGAAATTACCTTAAACTAGGGTATCCGTTTTTTGGTTTTCTTAAATCATCGTAATCGTTAATACGGCGTAAGAGGACTTCATTGTTTAAAGTGGGAGTTAAAAAGTATGAAATCTTCTAAATCCCGAAAATAAATAAATTTCAATTTGTAATAACTGATATTAAAAGTTTTTAAAGAATTTTTACAATTTATGATTTTTGGCTCATTAAAAAAAAAAATGTACAATTTTTACAATATGAATAAAATAAAATAGCCAATGAGATTAACACAAAATTAAACAATTTTACAAAAACAAAAAATGACACTACTCTTAATTACCTTCCCTTTAGCTACAGTCACGTTAGTATCCAGTTTTCCATAATTTGTGTTAGGTTTACAAGAACTATCAAAGGTCAGTCTAATGTCTACGATTTCTTCGTTCAAAATTGGTTTATACTTGAAATTGAAATAACCTGTTGATCCAATAGTACCGTTGCCCGCCAGTGATGAGTTAATTTGAACGTTACAATTTAAACCATTATATACGGTGAATTGGCTTTCACTGGCTGGTATCACAGCATTTTCACCCTAATAAAAAAATCATTTAGTGGAAAATAGACGTTCATAACGTGAAACTTACAAATATTTTATACTGAAGAACAGCGGTAAGCAAAAATGCCACAGCTGCCAATGAACAGCCCAGGATGAGTTTTTGTATTGGTCTTCGGATACCGAACTTCGCCAGGAACGGAGACAAAATGGAATTGTAAGATAAGATTAGTAATAAAGAAGTTAATGGGTGGATAGTTTGCATCTGGTCAGGTTTAATTTCCCAATCGATACACTCTATCTTACCGTTCATCAACGTAGCTTGAAATATCCACCGTGATCCCTGAAAAGCCCGCGGAATGTAGAAATTAAAATGATCAGTAGTTTTCTCGATGAGAATGTTAGTTGAATGATAATTACTAGTTGCCCATAGAGGGCCCAAAACGCCGGAAAAGCAATAAATATATGTATAACTTCCAATGCCGACTTTGTATCAGAAATTTGAATTTGTGAGTATTTCTTACCAGCGTGATCCAGCCAATGGGCACAATCGGATACTGGTGAAGTACATTTCTTGCGAATAGCATACTTAAAGGAAAAAATAATGTTCTATTGCTCATCAAATTGTTCAGTTATATTGCGTGTATACTTACAAATATGCATCCAAAAGTTCTAAAAATAACGTGATTTTCTGGTTTTCTCTTTATATATAAATTACTTCCCAAGAGAAAAACAACTGAAAATTTTAAAAATTTAACGCCATATTATAATTTAAAAAAATATTTCCACTAATCATATTTTATGGAAATTCTGACAAAACTTTTGTTTTGTTTAAGGAAAGAAATCAAAACTGTTCTATAAAATAGTTGAATTGGTAACTTCAGTGGCACGTCCAGGAATTTTCAGAAGGAGGTTGTGTATAAAAACGATTTATAAATAAATAATATGATTTACTTCAGTTTTACTTAATAATCTGACTTACTTAATAATAATGAGGATTTAAAAGCTGGATCCAATAAAGCCGATTTTTATTAAATAAATCAATATTTTTTTTGTAGCTTCAGCCAAGATTATTATTTTAAGATAAAATTATGAAATAAATACTCATACAATTTATTATATTTTCAAGCCGATGAAGGATATAACCCCTATACTCTCCTCGTACACACGTCACTGGGACTGGGTAATTTACAGTGTAACATATTATGTTAACAATTATTTTTGATTTTTAATCTTATTTAGTTTTTTTTTTCGTTTTCTTTTGTTTACTTATTATTTATGCATAAGAGGTATTTATTCAATCACCTGTCGCTGTTATCATAACAAGAGATAGTACGCCGAATGCAAGCGGAAAACACGTATCCCTGCCTAAACAGTGTACACCTTTTCTTAGCTCGGGGATGAAAAACGTTGCGATTAACGCTCCCAATGAAATAGCTGCGACGAATCGTTTGAAAAATCTAGTGAGTTGATCTCGTTGCTCAGGTAATTTAAATTGATCGCCACCAAACGTATATGTACAAGGTTTTATTCCACCTGTTCCAATCGCGATTAGAAGTAGCGCAATAATTGCGATGCACCTGTTATAACATAATAAACAAATTGCAGTCAGTACACACTTTGTTATGTGAAAGAAATTAGAATTGACGATAAAAGCCAAAAAAATAAAATAAATTATAAAATCATTGCCACAGATCTATACCATTAATTGTTATCAATTTGAAAATAATTGTACGATTCAAATCGTAAAATAATTCTCACTAAATACATTTAGGTTTTAAAATGTACTGTTCAACAAATATAATATATTACTTTTTTTTTTACCTTTGAGTATGAATGGAGAAATTGTTTGCCATAGATGCACCGGTAAGGATAAGATTTCCAAACAAATAAAATATTGACATTCGAATCATTGTTCTGTAACGATAATATTTGCTCAACTTTAAATGTATTAAAAGTAATCTTAGGTGGGTATTAAAAGGTCTAAAGTAATTACTTAAACTTTCCCCAGTAAGAATCAGCCAATATGGCACCAATAAGCGGCATAAAATAAGATAAAAATATGAAACAATGAAAAATAACCGTTGAATCGTCTTCGGAAAAATTCAATACTGAAGTTAAGTATAACACTAGAACAGCTGAAAATATGTAAAATCGTATCGTTATTTGCATGAAAAAATAAATTAAACGAGACAAATCATACATGGTAGATTTTTCTTTTATTATCGTTCCTATATATTACTGATAGGTTTTATTGTCATTCCAGGATAATTTATTTATAGACTTTCCTATCAGTTTTTAAAATGATTGGGAAAAACTGGAAAAAAATTAAAAAAAACTGTCATATTTACGGCAAGGTGTTAGGATTGAATTATTTTAAATTTGTACGATTTATGTTTCCCTAACCAGAAATCTTGCTCCAATTAAATATGACAAGATACCTTTTTTGTTGTATTTTGGATCTAATTGATGAGTAAGGAAGTTCATTTGATTTTATGTTTAATTTTCTTAATAATTGGGAAAAAACGTAGAAAGAATGTTTCATTATTTTCAATTTTGTTTTTTGATTTAATTCGGTTAAAAATATTCGTTGAAACCTGATATTTTCACTAAAAACTTACATTAACCTTTTTGAAGGTTTTTTAGTTTGGTAGGTACTAAGTGGGTAAAGGCATGGCCGATTAGCACCAAAAATGTACCTTTCCTATTTCCGTCGATTCACGTTTTCGCCAAATCATAAATTGGTCAATTCCCTTTTCCGCTAAAATCGACCTTTCTCTTTTTGACAATTCACTTTTCCGCCAAATGAAAAAAATGTAGTCTAATATTGCAATAAATATTAATGATTGTATTTATTAATATTATTAATTAGATAGATAAATAAAATACAATTTAGAAAGTTTTTTTTTCTATTTACGTATGTTACAAATTTTGCTTATTATTTATTGAATAGTTGTTATTAATACTCATAATGATTGTTCTTACCTCAATTTGTTTACACGAAAACTATCAAAAATATATTTATTGTATAAATTCAAACTTAATTGTATTATTATTTTTCCATCCTAATAAATAAAAAAATAAGTAAATAACTTACCGTAATTTCCAATCAATGATAAATTTATTGTTGATTATCGTATTTTCTCAATGCTATTGATTATTTTGCTAATGTTGCTTGTTGTATCAATTGATATTTTAATTTAATGTCAATATTTTTTTTATTTTTTTTTTTAATCAAAAAGCAATAATAAATTTACATATTTATATGTTAAGTTCTGATATGATAATTTCTTAAAAACTACCATAATACTAATATTACCATTATAATAACTAATATGATATAAAAAACTATTAAAAGCATATTTGGTTATTATTAATTTACCCCTTTAAGCAAAATAATATCATTAAAAATCATTCTATTTCGTAAAACAATTATCATAGAATTATTGTAAGTTATAAGAATGTAACTATAATATGACCTACAGTATACAATATATGTATGTATTATAAATAATATGACATTTATTTTTTTATTAAATTTAATTTTAACACCTCTGTACAATCATGACTGTAAATTTTAAATACTTTTTGTGAATATTTTGAATATTTTTTTATAATACAATAATAATAATTTATGATGAATTCATTCTTTATATTCGAATATTAGATTACATTTTTTCATTTGACGGAAAAGGGTAGGTACACTGTTAGCGAAACGGGAATCGACCGATTCTACGATTTAGCCGAAAAGTACAATGTATATTTTTGGAAAAAATGGGTAACTTCCGTGGATAAAATTATTTGATCAAATAGAATTGCTTAAAATTTAACACGGGGTTCGTTTTAATTTTTACTTAGTGGGTAAAAAAATAGATGAGCGTAATATAATTCAATTTTTTATAAGAGTTTAAAGGTTACTAACCTTGGAATCACTAAATTAAAATTTTGATACAAAAATAGTTTTACAAATTAGTAACCAATTCGTAATAACTTGTAACCGTGAATTAAGAATTTGAAACTCAAGTATTACCACCCAAAATTAATTTTTTATTTACGGATGCCACGGTTCCGGGCACCCGAAACTCGAAATATGGTTCTAGGATATCTGGACCAGTTCGAGTAATTAGTACAAATTTGTAATAATTTATTACCACCAATTCGGAATAATTTTTAACTGAAGTATTACCGCCCAAAATACCTAAACAAATTTTTTATTTAATTCGAAAAATGGTCTTACAGTAATCGGACTGCTTTGAGCATTAATTAGTAACTACGGTATAATACATTTATGATTAGTGATAACTATTTAGTATTTATATAATAATTTATATAATATTTATAATTATTGAATTAGACAAAAATTAGTTTATTGTACTATTGTATTATTTATTGGCTAAAAAAGGCTAAATTATAATGAAACAAATTTAGATTAGAGCAGGACTTGAAACCGTTATGATAACTCTCGATACTTGTTATTTATTTTTAACTGGTTCTATTTTTTACGGTAACTAATTACCGGTACTATATTTAAGATTACAGATTACTGATTAAGCGATAACTACTCTAATGAAAACCATTAATAGATTGAACGGTAGGTTTCTAAACAAAATTGTTCCACCAATCATGATTAGAATTTTCACCAATGATCTTTGTTTTTTTTTCGTGTTATAACCAACAGCATTGCGGAAATCTGTTTTCATAATATTTCTCTACTGTTGCCATCGATTATTAATAAATTACAACATATATAACATATGTTATGCGAACCATGTTTTTTCCTTCACAGAACAGGCTCACATACATATGAATATAATTAAAAAACTATCCTAGGATAATGGGGATGATTGTTACTGAAATGGAAAAATTTCTGGAAAAATCAAAAAATGGCCTCCCTTAAGTACTTTTCTAGTCAGATTTTCTTTAAGAAAAAGTCATTATAAATCGAAGCATAATTGTTGGTAGAAAAAAAAATGAACATCGTTATAAAATCAATACATCCCGCGTTCCAATCAGAATTTAAAATACAAATACAATAAGTTAACCTGAATTAACTATTGATACAATTATGAACTCGGAAACTTAGCCTAGCTCAACTACATGGCTCATGATCTAAGTTTCCTCAGCCCCGTGTTCATCACCCACCAGCCTGGGAGCTCGTCTTGCCCTTCCTCTTCGGAGCCCAATGGCTTGAGAATGTGTTCAGAACTGCTTTGCATTGTGAAAGCGAAGTGTCCTAAGGCCTGGTTGATCATGCAGGGGAGTTAGATAGTGGGTTGATCGATTGGTAACGGCCTCCTTTGTACTTTCGTTCTGCTCATTGCAGCTCAAAATGTTCGTTAACATGGAAAAGAAGGACTAATTGGCCCGAGAGGAAGCGGACAAGAGTTGGTTGTGGCTGGAGCTATCTAAATTCCAAGACGGAATGTCTGCTAGCCCATAGAGAAAGTTCTGAACATCGCTGGGAGTGATGTTTCTGCCTCAAACAAAGGCTCTGACTGCCGGACGGGATGAGTCCCAGAGTGCGGACAGTCAAAGATTATGTGTTCCGTCTTGTTTTCTGGGTGCTAAAAGTACAGGCACTGAACGTCCGAAGCTCGCCGCATGCAGCACAGGCAGTGCCTAAAGTACCCGTGACTATATAGGAGCCCGAGTGACAGGAAAGATGAGATCCTTGGGACGTCTTATCACTCATATCCTCATGTCCGATAATATCCTGTGAATGAGGCCACGTTGTTGGTACGACCTCATTTAATGGCCCAGGAAGCGAGAATCATAACACGATCGACTCTCTGAATTGCATCAACGTAGAGTTAAGTTAGGTTGACTTATATTGTATTTGTACGTACGTGGACCGGCTTCCCAAAGGGGGAAACAGGTTTTGTGTATATTATTGTAATTTATTAATACACGTTGGGAAGTATTGTATAACAAATTTTAAATTTAAAAAAAACTCTCTTTATGGTATATTACGCGTATAGATTATGGAATCAGAATTTACAATTGTCTTTAATACAAATATTGGTGTTTCGGCCGTACGGTTAATTTAATTGTATATGTATATACGAGTATATTATGTAGGTATATACCTAGTCACTGTATAAATATGATTACATTATATTATACAATTTTACTTCTAAATCCACGGTGGGTAGTCGGTAATAATTAGAGTCAAAATGTTTATTTACTTTTTATTCCAGAATAGTTGATTCTTTCACATAGTTCTTCACATATAATAAACCATACTGATCTTGGGAATTTCTATAACACGTACATCAATGTTATATTATTTCAAACAAATTAACAATAGGTAAGTATTAATATATAATATTTGATTTAACGATTTGCACTCGTGCGAGTTTAACGTAGATTGTATATTTAATTTTTTCTTTAACGAGTAATCTATACACACAAGGAAATTTTTTATAGGTAGGTACTTAAAAGTTAGACATTTTTTTTCTTGAAGAGTTATTTTTCAAGGATTTATTTTTAATTGACAGCATTATTCTGAAATTCAAACTATGTATAAACGTATATTATATTAATTAGAAATTATAAAATAAATACATACAATTTTAACTGACAAAAAAAAAACCACAATACTGATTATATCTCTTAATTATCAAAAAGAGTTTAAATTATTTTAATCGTTCGAATAGAAATCTTTAAATTGCTTTTTAAACTATGTTTTTTTCGTAGGTTAGGTAATATGATTATGTTCGTATTATAAATATTTGTAAGATACATTTTTGTTCAGGAGTCGTCTGACCCTCAGCTTAATTTTGGCTGGTAAATTGGCCTCTTTGACCTCTAAAACCAAACTGATAATTTACACATAGCAGGGAGATAGTAATTATATGTTATAATAAAATCATATATTTATATCCGAATTGATATGTTTTATAGTGAGTATTCATCAATCCCCATTGAAAATAGTTAAATTATTGCTGCATTATTTGTAGTGGCTGAAGGAGTATTCAACGTTAATCTAGGATAATACGGGAAATATTAAATTTCATACTTGGTATACGCAGATGGTGTAAATTCAATAACAATTGATGTGTTTTCATTTTTATTCAAAATAATATTTCTAATAGCTTTTAATATAATAATGGTTATTGTTAATATTTCTGTTAAATTGAATATGAATATCTAAAAAATTTACGAAATATTTACTTCTGGTAAAAATTTTTAAAATATGTATTTACATCAAAATATATGAAAATAAAAGGTTTTTTCAGGGTTATGAACCGTGCTCATTTTTAATTAAAATTGAGAAATCTGCATTCAATAAAAATGATGTATTTATACATAAATCTGTGACCTAATAAATTCAGACTTAGTAGTTTGGTAAATATTTTTTAAAATAATTCAGAATAAATATTCAAATACATACAAAAAATGGTATTTAAAATATGTATTTGAATACTTTAAAATAATAATATTTCAAAAAATACATGTTAAACATTTTAAGAAAAATCTTGTGTGTGCTATTAGTTTTAATTATTGGCCATAAAAAGTGGTCTCTAAAAAATAGCCGAACCATAGATCCCAACTCTAGATTCGCCACTCACCATAACAATTTGTATTATGTCTCCAAATATCTTAGTACCCACGAGTCTCCCGACTTTTTGTCTGGTGAATCATATGATTAAAATATAAGGTTTCGAGCTGCCACTGAGTATTTGTACCTATAATAACAATATTTGCATAACATAATATAACATAGGTACTTACCAATTCATTTTCAATCACTCCCATCTTGATATTTATGTATAGTTAATATATAATAACGAAAATAATTAACGAGAACAATTTAGCGACTGTTCATATTAAATGTTATTTGCGTGTGGCGTCATAGTTTTTCTTTGCGAATTTAGTACGAATGGATTTTGCGATCCTTTTGATCAAATTTTGAACGACAATTACGAATAGCAGAAGAGACACGATTCGATTTCATAATAAACCGTTGCGGAGGCCTTTAAGTCCATTTTTACGCGGTAAATTTAATAACTGTAATATTATATTTATAATGAATTCATAAATAAAATAATTTAAATTCGTCTTCAGCCGTTGGCAAAAGTGCTAACTGCACTACTGTCATTATAATGTAGTCATAATTATTGACATTGACAATATGAAAATTAAGAATAATAATCGAATTAAATTTTCATCCTTACTATTCATATTGGTTCGGTTGATTAGCGTAGTTAAACGATATGTTACATTTTAATTTGACGACCGTGTTAAATGTATTAATTTAATAAGTATATTTAAATTATTATTGTTATAAGTATTATATAAAGTTTATACTGTATATTTTAGTGTTATTATTATAATACGCACTGTTATCGTGTATTTTTTTTCTTTATTCGGTTTTGTACTTGCACACGGCGATATCTATTGGATTGTCACGAGATTTTGCGAGTGGGTATATACTGTTTAATTAGAAATTATTATGTCGACGAAGTACGAATAAATGTGTGATCAAATTGCAGTACGATTATAATTGGTTAAATCATTTATATTATAATGATTTTAGTCATTAATTGTGTACAATAGAAATACAAATACTTATATTAGTTACATTTATTTATTTATGTTTATTAATTGTATTATTATTGAAAATATGTATATATGACCAGATTTTATTACACTAATGTGAAAATTCAAAATTTTAATGAAATATACAAAGTATAAAAGTTGCATATACCTAATAATTAACTTATCAAAATGCTCGCATGGAAGTTTAATATAAATTGAATTAGCATATGCAATAAAAAAAAAAAAGACTTCTTTTTTTAGTTTAAAAATATACCGACATACTTTGCACGATGGAAGGGCCATTGTTGTAGAATTTGGAAAGGCAGGGTATATAGGGGAATTTAATGTATACCTGTACGCAACGATTAATTATTGCTAACGTAAAACGATTCTGTGCGTAGTTTGGTTATAAATGTTTTAAAAGGCCGTAATATGTAAAATTTTGATCAAAATTATTGATATTAAAATTCTTATAAAACAAAACACTATTCATTAAACTCAACAATTTTTTTCCACACACAGTATATTTTATAATGAACTTCCTGTTAAATTTGCATGCATTTTTTTTTTTAGTCTAACAGTTTTATTCTCAGTATTTACTAAATAAAAATTTCGTAAAAAACTCACAAAATTAAAATGTCTATAAATAACTCAAAAAAAGCATGAGTAAAACAATAAAACCAATAAATTGCTCGCTTCACTTAGAATCTATAAGATAATTAAAGTCATTATTAATAATATAAAAATTAAATTATTGTAGATCTTTACGTATAATCGTTACATTGTATAATACAAAAAGTTACAATTATAATATATGTAATAAAACAACGTGTGGTTTTTAGCATTTTTTTAAAGTTCATCAATCGTGCATCCTCCGTGTTTTAAATCAGTAAGTTTTTTATGCTCATTCCATTCAACGTTGATGGGGTTTTACTTTTGGTGATTTGTTAAATTTGCTCGCTATAGTCAGAACTCGCTTTATTAACTTGTTCCCAGTTTAATACTGCCATTTACGACCAGCCTATTGCGACCTTTTTGATTTTAGAAATGTTTTGTTTACTGGATCATTGATCAGTTTGTTTAATTCCGCGTTCCTTCTTCGCTCGTATTCATCAGTCTTGGTAATCTCGGGGTTTGTCATAGATCCATGTATTTTTTTTTAAGTATTTAAGTATTTTCTACTTGGAGATCATCAATTTAGTCAAAGCTATCTTGGGTGATGATAATAGAACGTATACGTAAATAACGTAGAATCATGCATTTTTTATTTTAGAATTTTCAATGCACCAAGGTACTTTCATAAAATATCCACATAAATTATTAAACATAACCAACACATACAATTATTATTATGTAGGTACACACCCGCATAAATATTCTAAGGCCAATACGGATTTACGGAATACCTACTGTTATTAACAGTGTACAGAATATCACAAAAGCGTATACCTACGTATTATTCGAGCCTTTTGTTCAATTACGTGTTGCCTTGGTAGTTTTGCACCATTGTGTGTATATCCAATAATACACTACTAATGACCGCAAGCACTATAAAACATTTTACTTAAAACCGTACATTTTAATTCTTTTATATCCCAACTTCTCTTCTACCCAATTTAAATCCAGTTAAACACAAAATAAAAGTAAAATAAAAATGGCGTCGAGACCTACACATTAATATTATGTTGATAAGGTTTAATAAAGAATTAATAGAAATATTACCGCCCTAATGCACCAACTAGACAACATTTGCTAGAAAAAATAACTCTTTGTTATGTTGATTAATAGAGCTATATATTTCTGCTCAAAAACTTGTTAACAGATTAGAACAAAAATAATACACATTATTGTAAAGCAAATTCTACACTTCTTGCTTTGCTAAACAAATCTATACATACTGGGTGATTCTTTTAAGTGGGTACACTCATTATCTATGAAAGTAATTCATTTTTTCGGAATTTGTATTCTAGATTATTTAAGAAATAACCAGTTCTACAATTTTATATTTATGTTATTTTTTGGGGGTAAAACCACTACCTACTTTTGGTTTTCAAACGGCAAGCTATATTGAAAATTCCATAAATAGATGGAGTATTAGTTAAAACAAATTTGAGTGTTGACATTTTTTATTTCTGTCAAGTCGTTGACAAGATATTCCACTTTTAATTTTAGGTTAGAGGAGAGTAGTGGTACATTAATAACACGTCGCGCGCTGTACCGCCACACAAATGACACTCCACTATTTTACTCCAACCTAAACTTAAAAGTGAAATATTTCGTCAATGGATAAACCGAAATCAAAAATTTCAACACTAAAATTGATTTTAATTAATACTCCATCTCTTTGAGGACTTAATATAGGTTGCCATTTGAAAATCAAAAGTAGGTAGCGGTTTTACCCCCAAAAATAAGGACGACAAAAAATAACATGAATATAAAACTGTAGAGCAGCGTGTTTCTTAAATGTTCTAGAAAAGAAATTTCTTTTGGTTTTAAATTTGTGTAGTACTCAAAAATAAAGAATCTAAATTTGAAATATAAAATCCTTATTTTTCAGTAACAAAAAATAGGAATAGAATTATATTAAATATAAAATCATTACATTATTTGTAATAGCACAAAGATAGATAACTTTTAAACATACCAAAAAGGTAAGGCGCCGTAAAACAAATAAATAAACAAATTGGAAAAGCCGGGAAAAAACGAAGGAAAAACGGGGAAATGTACAAAATGTAGGTATGAGTTAAAAAACATTAAGGTCTTTTTTTCCTGTGAACAACTTTTTTACCAGCAATTTTACTTCGATTTACAATGACAGTACTTTTTTTGGAAGGGAATATTTCTGAGATGCTACTTGAAATTACTTGAAACTACGTAATTTTTGATTTTTTCAGTAGTTCCCCTAATAAATAGCAAAAATCGGGAAAAAATATGAGAAAATCATAGAGATTACGGAAAAATAGGTAAAATATTAAACAAATATTATTAAAGAAAATATAAATTCATATTATGTAATTATTTTACGATAAAATGACATTTAAATTATTAGGGCTGTGAGTTTAATGCAATGAAAAACCTTAAAATTAAAAAAAAAATGCAATAAAATATGCATTTAAAATTTTAAAAAAAGCAATGTAAACGTGTTTTTCATTTTATTTTTATATTTATTTTCATATTACCGATTAGTATATAAAAAAAATTATAAAAATGTTAATTGAATTTGAATGTTGAATAAGTTAACTTATTTTATCGAATCCTTACCTTATCTTCCCCTATTCTTCTTTTTACCTAACCCGTATACAGTTTGGATAAAATATTATTTCGTAAGATATATAAGATATGAATTTGACGTTTAATGTATATAAATTATACAGCCTATGCAAAACAAAAAATATGCGAGTAAAGATGTAAACTAATTAAAAAATCAAGAAAACGAAATGAGAGGGAAAATATGACTTAAAAAGTCCAAAATTTATTTTAAAAATTAAAAACCCAAAAAAATGCAAAACAAAAGTTGTATAAATTAATTTTTTGTTACATGATTCAAATTATATACTTACGTTTCACAATGAGCTAAATAAATGCATTTTCCTACAAATTCACAGTCCTATAATGTGTATATATACACACAATATTATATATATTATATACAAGTATGCATAATATATATTATTGACAAAGCAACACAATCAACTTAACTCAGCTCTGAATCGTTTTTCGTTTGTATTCAATATTTGTATTCTGTTTTTGCTTAAAAATTATCTTAAAAAAAAAAAAAATGGTAAATCGTTGTGTACAGATACATACTAAATTTTTCCTTTCTCCAACTTCTCACCTACAACAGTGGTACCGAAGTATATCCGTCTTTTTTCGATCGTGTTTTATACCAGAAATCATGAATAAATCAAAATAAATGTTGTCTGTTGCGAAAAAATATTGTTTTATAGTTTTTTGTAGTTTTTGAAAAAAAGGCAAGTTTACAACAATAACGGTTTCATTAATCATATGATGTAATGAAGAATGTATTGGTTTTACAATGATATTTATTGTTATATTTTTTATATTGTGACAAAAATATTTACCAGAAATCTTACTTCAATATGTAAATGTGGCACCATTTCTGAAAGGAAATTTTGTTTAGATGGTACTTTAACAAGGTAATATTTTGATTTCTCAGTTTTTATAATATCCCGAAATACACAGGATAAAACGTAAGAAAAATGGGACAATTTACGAAATTTTTTTTCGTTGTAATTTAGTTAAAAATAATCGTAAAGACTTGACATTTTGACAGAAAATCTTAAATTGCCTTTTATAGACGTGGTAAAATATTCAAATTGTTTTGCTATTTTTGAGCTATTTAAAGATATTTTAACTGTGTGAATTTTGTAAATAATTTTTATTCGGTAGTAGGTACTGTGTGATTAAATGATTAAACTAAATAGAAATGCTTGTAATGTAGAAATATAGTATTTTTTTTTTTTTATAAAAGAACTTTAATATTTAATTTTGATGAAAATCGTTTGAGTAAACAATCATGTGGAACAAATCTAGTTACTGGTTCATGTAGTTTTTCAATTTTTTTTTATTTAGAATATATGCGTATTACTGATCAAAAAACGATGGTGAAGTCAGAATTGAGTGGACTGACTTAGGTTTGAGATTATAGCTTTTTGAAGTTTTGATATTATGCGGATATTATATTTTTCATGTTAAACAACTCGATATTATTGTATGTCTGTCGTAGCTATTAGGAAATTTTATCTACATGGTACTTTAGGGAAGTAATTTTTTGATTTTCCAAGTGGTTTTTATAATAATTGGGAAAATCCGGGATAAAATGTCGGAATAACAAGACAATTTACGAAAATAATGCTTTTATAATTTACTTAAAAATATTCGCAGTGACTTGAAATTTGAACAGAAAACTTATATTTGTCTTTTCTCGATGTTTTTAAGCTATTTATAGACATTACATTTTCTGAGTAATTTTTATTTGGTAGGTACTCTGTGGATAAAATTGTTAGATTTAAAAGAAATGCTTGAACATCTAACAGGGGGTTCATTACAAGTCACATATTACGGTAAAAACAAAAAAAATTCGTTCAGTACAATATTTTTTTCTTTATTAGCATTTTAATATCAAATTTTGACGAAAATCGTTTTAAAAGTTATTTTGAACAGATCTAGTTACTGGTCCATATTAATTGTTTCAATATGTATTTTTTTTACTCTAATATGACGTATATATTGTTGAAAAAGTAATACTATTAACCGAGCTCTGTTCAGAAACGTTTTTCAATAGCAATGATTAATCTTTGCGTACAGATATTTCCCTCTATATTCTATCTTCCCAACTTTATATCTACAGCAGTTGTCCCAGTGTCGTATTTGAGGGAGATGATGGTTTTCAGCTCCTATGTCAATTAATTTGTGTATGTATTTGCTATACACATTTGCTATGTGTATAATATATGTGTATACAAATATTTAATATTGCTAGAAAAGTGTCATCAGACACAAAAATAAAAATAAAAACACATCATGGGAAGTTAAATACGGTAGAATATAAGCTTGTGTACGTATATACCTTACGCACAATAATTTTAGTGTCGTCCCACCCTCCATAAAGCTGATAAAAATACGCCACCTATCGTACGAAGTATGTCCATCTTTGTTTGTTGTAATTTGTTTGGAATGGAGCGGAGAAGCTTATACTTTTACAAATATGTTTATTTTTTTTTATCTGTGCGCAGCTTTTCTACCAGAATACATACTCGGATTTCTACATTTAGCACTTTTTCTGAAAGGAAATCAGTGTGGAGAGGTACTTCTTTAGGGAGATAATTTTCCGGTTTTCTCAAGAGTTTTCTCATTAAATTTGAAGAACCGAAAAAAACCGGCAAAATGTAAGACATGTAAGATATATTGCGGCCTTTTTTATTTCTGTGTACATCTTTTCTACCAGCACTTTTGCTCCAACATTTAATGATTGCAATGTTTTTAAAAGAGAATTTTTCTAGCGAGGTATTTTAAAGAGGTCATTTTTCGATTTTCCCAAGAGTTTTCACAGCAAATCTGAAAAATATGGAACATTGGAAAACCGGGAAAAACGTAGGAAAATTAGAAACATCGGTACAACATTAAACAAATATTATTAAAGAAAATATATAAAGCCTATTTAATTATTTTAATATTAAATGACATAGATATTGTTGACAAACCATCACCATCAAATTTGGGTTTGGGCTAGAGGATGATGAATCAGTCAGTGAGAACATGTTATTTTATACATATATATGTATTATTAATTATTATTACCTATATAATAATATATAAACACCATATTGATAATATTTTCTATGATATGCAAATAGAAAACGCCGTGCCTACGAAACATAGTATTGTGTTTATATAGATACTGGTGAAACAAATGTTTTAATCAGCCATACGGCTTATCATTTATAATTAAAGCGTTGTATACGAGTTGACTTGCAGTCATATCAACAAAACCTTTAGTTAATTTAATAACTACTCATAATTATATTATAAAGTGCTATTTTGGCTGCAATAATGGTTTTTTTTTGAGATTGAGTGTAGGCGAGACCCAACATTTTTTCAAACGTAGCGCGGATTCTAGAAATTTCCCCCCTCCCCCCTGATCAAATAACGACATAAAGAATATATTTTTAGTCTTGTAAACACAAAATTATCTGAGTGGACCTAGAAAGGTAACCTTTTAACATTTCTTTTTAGATGCTGAGTGTAATAATGTTCTACTTACCTACATATACAGTCTCGATGATATTAATATCACGTTTCGTTAAGTTTTAAAGAAACATAGACAAATCATATTAAGGTGTTTTGTAAATCAATTTATTCTGACGAATAATAATACACTTCATATTTTATATAATATACGTACGACACTATTATTGAACAATTATTATAATACATAAACGCAGTTACAATGATACCATCAATATCAATATGTTCGAGATTAATGTGTCTTCCACAGACCTAGAAAAAAAAAAAAAAAAATTACAGATAAAAAAACGAACAATGGGTAATATAATTGACACCGTTTAAATGAATATTCGTCACATGGCCGTGTGTAAAATTATCGATACGAATTATTATAGTTATTAGTCATCACTGGTTACATGTGCCATTTAATTGTAATAACAAAACCTACTACCAGTTATATAATATGATAAAAAGTTTGAATTATATATGGCTCAAATTGTGATTAAAATCGTTCAAAAAAAATAAAAAAATATAAGTATAAAATATATAGTGGCGGAAAATAATTTTGTTGTTAATTTTTATTTTTTTGAAAAATTAATAGACAATTTAATACATTTTATTATACATATTAAATCTATCTTTGGTAGTTCTTATATATTATAATAAATATACCGATACCATATTTCGATTCTATAATGTATACTTTAGGCAAATTAAAGTTATTACGTGAATAAGTACTTACCAATTTGTTTACAAACCGGAAGTTTTTAATGTAGGCATGTATAATTTTGATCACGTTTTATTACTTGGCAAATCTTTGATTTGTGTATTTTCGTTAATAATTTGGCCTTTTTCGAAGTCAATTGTTCTTTGTTTGAACGTTTTATACTTGTAATTACTACTTAAATAGGCTAATAATAACGTGTCTAAAAACATGAGACCGGTGAAAAATAGATATTCGTGCACCTGAGAAATGAAAAAAATAATTTTGGTGACCATAAAATATTGATGATTAGATAAAATATGGCTACGCGTGTTTAGGGTTTAACCTCCAAAAATGGGCAATAATTATTCTTACTTGTTGTTCAATCGAAAGAGATGAAGTGAGGACGACTATGAGGTTACCGGCTGAATGAGCTAAAAAGGAACAGGCTGCTATGAATGATTTTATTCTGAGTGGAGCCTAAAGAAATCAATATGCAATAAATTAAAGATAATATTTTTTAAATTAATAATATATAATCAGTAAAGAGTTTTACTATGACGTTTTTAGAATTTAATATAATTAATAATGTGCGCTTTTTCGATTAAACAATTTTAAAATTTATATCTAGTTTTTATTTGAATAATACCTATACAGTATACCGTTAAACCTGGCTATAATTTTGTTCTGTGTATATTATAATAAACATTTTTACATACAGACGATTTGACAAGTTGCAAACATTTATATTTTAAATTTTAAATAGTGTATATTTATTTATTTATTTATTTATTTATTTATTTATTTATTTATTTATTTACTAGCGGTCCCGAATTCAGCGTTGCCCGTACCAATTTGTATTGTTATTATTTTACCCATATTCATTTTTGGTTTTGGCCGTGTCAGAACTGAATGAAAATAAATAAATGGAAAGTGGGTAGCCCACCCATTCGGTGGACTAAATATGTTCTATTGTGACATTTTAATAGTGTAAATAATGGTAATAATAATAATTATAATTGTTTTCTTTTCCGTCGCGACCAAAGTAACCCTCGAATAAACAAAAATAAATAAATAAGCACTTAGATGTTCGTATTGAATATATTTAAAACCTCTATTTTACTCCATTAGGTGTTGAGTTTTCAAAAATCCTTTCTTAGCGGATGCCTTCATCATAATAGCTATCTATGTGCCAAATTTCAGCCCGATTTGTCTAGTGGTTTGGGCTAGCCGATGATGAATCAGTCAGTCAGGACATGATATTTTATATATTATATAGATTAGAAAAAACGTAAAATTAAAATTGACAAATTTACACGGTTAAAAATTCATTATTTTATTTTTTTCGGCCTATGTTTTCTAATATTATTGCTCCAATTAAAAAATAAAAAGTGATTTTTTGATCAATTTGTAATCTAGTTGGTGAAAAAAAAGGTCTTTATTTTACTTTCTTTGCAGTTTTTTTATTAATTGAGCTAAACCGAAAAAAAAATGTAGAAAGTACGGAAAATGTAAAAAAATAATTCTTTTATTAGTTTCAATTTCGTTTTTAGATTCTGAAAAGTACGTACTCCTCTTGGTACAAATTATTATTAGATTCTGAGTGGGACGAGGAATGTATTGGTTTTACAATGACGTTTTTTTTGTTATTTTTTTTATGTGAACACTTTTTCTATCAGAAAGCATACTACAATTATTAAATAAAACACTTTTTCTGAAAGGAAATATTCTCTGGGTGGTACTGTAAAGAAGTAATTTTTTGATATTCTAATTAATATTCGAGATAATGAGGTAAACCTCCATCTTTAGTTTGAAAAAGGTTGAAAGGTTAAAAATAAGGTTGTCATTGGCAGCCATTTATATTTATTTTTTGTTATTATTGTTTTAATCTTTTTTAAACAATCATTGTTATCATGGAAATAGGCCCGTAAAGTTAATGGAAACTTGAAAAGCACTAATTCCCTCTATACCACCAAATTTTAGTGCTCAATTAGTGCTTTCAGAATATATAAAACTAAAAATCTGTGCTTACATCAAACCCAAGTTATCGTTATCGCAAATTTTTTAGTTTAAAACTTAGTATTATGATTCTACAGTCATTTATCACGCTGACAACATTGAAGTTGTCATATAAGTAATATTATAGTTTTAATGGTTTTTTATTATCTTTAAATTATTTACAGACACTGTTTAATATTTTAAATTGAGTATAAATGATCGAGTTTTGGTTGACTGTTGGTTTTTCGTACCCACGTCCCAATATGTACAAATGCTATTTCCTTCCTGTCAGTCTATTTGTTTAAGAACTTGTACAATATCTACAATAGATTCTATGCTTATACTTTGCATCACCAACTTATTAAAATTCTACTTTGTAGTATAATATATAATAGTACGTAGTACGTAAACTCAGACATATTAGACGATATTTTACAAATAAACAAAGTCCATATAAAAATGCTATACATACAACTATACTATACACTATACTATTACTGTACAACTTAATAGTATAAAACAAGGTATTATCCGAAACTCTTAAAGATTTATACAATAATTCAAAACTCGTTATTGTTATTACTCCAGTTGCTATTTAAAAATAATATGAAAAAAATGGTCAAAAATTGGTTTACTTCCAAATGATGGAATTATAATTATTGGCTGTGGTAGTCAAAAAAAGGAATGAAGTTACGTATAACTTCTTGGATACATGCGAATTTGATTCAATCGTACAATTAATTGCAGTTTATTTATTTGATAACAGGAAATTACGTGATAAGGTTTCAATGTTTGACAATATTCCTGGAATTGAATTAGCAATTGATGTACTTAAAACAAATACTATCAATAAAAATATATCAAAAAAAGATTTGATATTTTAAAAATATTTTTAGTAAAACTGATATGCCAAACAATATGTAAAGAATAGACTGTGATTGTAACGTAGTTGAAATTCATAGAGATTTAAAACATTCATTATTTAAAAGAAATTAAAAATGTTCAAATGCTAATTCTAAAAATCTACTTCTATCTATAACATTTTCATCAATCCTTTGAATTTTAAAGATGAAAATATAAGTGAGGTACAAACATTGGTAGATTCACAGGAAACATTTCAATCAAAAGAAAAACTGCATTGAAGATTATTGCAATGGATTTATTAGATATGAAAAATGTATAATAACTTGATATTGTTGTTTATATATACTGTTTTCTGCTAAAAGTACCAATTTCAAGTATTCAACTAAATACTCTGTACGTATTTGATTAATTTATTAAATGATTTGAAAAATCACAAAATTACAAATATATTGGGTTTAGGTTCATGATGACATGAAGAAAAATATCAAACAGGTTAGATCATCGAAATATGTTATGGTTGCATTATTATTGTTTACAGAATAAACTTTAGGTTCGGAAACTAGAACGATAATGTAATAATTAAGTTATTGTAATAAGTATAGTATTTTTTTTAATTTTTACTTATAGGAAGTATGTATGTTTTAAATAAATAGGAGGTTTTTTAATAAGCTAGTTTGATTTAATCTATTTTCACTCGTTTTACTAAACTCGAGTTTAAATGGAGTACTAATTTCTCTTTTGAATATTATCTTAAAAAATACAAAATAAGATAAAACGATTTACATGAAGGAAATAGCATTTGTACATAGTGGGACGTAGGTACAATAAACCGCCTGTCAACCATAACTCGATCATTTATACATAATTTAAAATATTAAACAGTGTCTGTAAATAATTTAAAGATAACAAAATAATGGATAATAAGATAATAAAAAAACCATTAAAACTATAATACTACTAGTATGGTCTACTTGTCTACTTGTTTACTTGTTTACTTGTTTGTCTACTTGTTGTCACCGTGATAAATGACTGTAGAATTATAATACTGAGTTTTAAATTAAACAATTTGTGATATCGATAACTCGAGTTTGAAGTGAGCAGAAATTTGTATTTTTATATATTCTGAAAGCACTAAAATTTGGTGGTATAGCAGGAATTAGTGTCTTTCAAGTTCCTGTTAACTTCTCGGACCTCATGAAAACGCACATTATTGTAATCATTTTACCATGATATGACATATACCATGTATTGTATTATTGACAAAGTAACATTATCAACTAAACTTCCCTTAGAATAGTTTTTTGGTTAGCAATGGCTTATCGTTGCTTACAGATATACATTAATTCCCGTCTGTATCCTATTTTCCCAACTTTCTACCTACAACAGTGGCTGCGCCCACGTTAGAAATATGTCCGTCTATATTTTTGAATTGTTATTTTAGGAAACACCAATTACAAACAAATTTACTGAAGATAAACTTCATCACTTTATCAAGAATCTGTTTTACAAAATGTTTGTCATGAGAAACTTTAACTAGGTTAGTTTATTATTATTTGTTTTTTTTAAAACATCAGTAAATTAGGCATGTTAATATGGTCCATGTAAACCAATAATAGTTTTATATTAAATACAAACTGCTCTGACGCTGATGCAAATAATATTAAGAAGTTTTCTTAAGAAATGATTACTATTATGTAACATCAAAATCTGGAGCAAAAATTTCAACTTACGGTTCAATCACATTATTCCTGACTCATTTGCTTTCTTCAACTTCTTTCGAATCAATAACATTCATTATAACTTTTGGTAAACAACTTAATCTAATTTTTTCCAATAATAATATCATGCATGTGGTTAAATCAACCTGTTATGGAGTTCCCTGCGCTCCGTACAATCCAGCACTCTATATATTTTCTTCTTTGATTCATTTAATACCTATTATGGATAGGTCTCATACTTCTTGCAATTTCTATAAAGTATTTTATCCTCATATACTTTCTTTTCTTGAGTCTTTTAACTGGGTCGACACTTAAAAACCTCAATGTTGATTCCGCTTAACGCACTCTACGATGGTCTTCAGTCCAGCATCTTATAATATGTCCCTGTTGTGACCTATGTCAACTCAAAATTCCCTATTTGGTTCTCTAAACAATTCGAATATATAATATATGTCAAAAGAAAAGCGTATGCCCCCTTTAAACGCACTAATTACGCTCATGATTATGTTCTATTCTCGAAACTTCGGGCTTGTTATAAACTCGAATCCAAAAAATGCTACAAAGCCTACTAAACTTGAACTGAATTCTTACTGAGACAATACCCTTGCTCTTTTTGGACCTTTATTCGTAATAATAAGTATAATAATTCCATTCCTAGATGTATTTTCTTTAATGATTTCTCCAGTTCCAGCCATACCCAAATTCCAAATATGTTTTCTTCATACTTTAACTCTGATTATACTGCGCCGTCTACTGCTCACCCAATTAATTTCCCATTTTTATATCACAACCTTCCTAGTAATTGTAGTTTTAGTATCTCGGATATTTATACAGGCCTCAAAAAATTGAAGAATGTCAGGTCTACGGGTCTCAATAGCTTATCTAAAATTTTTCTTTATAACTTGAGATTTTTTCTGTGTACTCAGTGAAGTATGCATACTATTAATTTTAATCAGGTGATTCTTCGATGAAAGCATATTTCCCTCAATTCGGAAGCTCAACTTAATTACTTCTATATAATATAAATCTGGTGATGAATCCAACGTTTAAAACTACAAGCCTATCTCAATTCTTGGTCATATCTCTAAATTATTTGAATCCTTTTTTTTTATTGGTATTCAGCCTTTTGTTAACTCTATCCTTATGGATGAACAGTATTATTTTATGCTCGGCCGTGAACCTTATTACTCTTAACAATTTTATTTAGAGGCTTTTGAAAATAATTCTTAGGTCGACTTCAGGATATTCATTGATTTCGCTACAGCATTTGATGGTGTGGATCATAATAATCAAATCATTTATTTTGGAAATACTTTATAAATCTGGATTTGGTGACTTGTTAACCCAATTTTGCAATGGTGTAAATCATATATGTCAGGTAGACAGCAGTAGGTAAAGATATATGGTAATCAATTTATGATTACGACTCCAAATTCAGGGGTTCCATAAGGTGGATATCTCTCCTCCTTGCTCTTCTATCTATTCATTAATGGTATCAAAATAATCTTACCCTATTGTAACCTCCTTTGCTTTGCTAACGATCTAAAAATATACCGCATTATAACTATAATATTGGACTGCAAATTAATATGAGATTAATAGGCTACATGGTTTACCTCCATCAGGCTACATCTTAATGTTGCTGATTGCCAGTCTATGTCATTTGTTAGATCTAGCTCTTTATTCACCTACAACTATACTTAAAATGGCTCTATTATCTCACGCGTTCGTAGAAAAAAGACCTAGGTGTAATCCTAACATCGGATCTCAATTATCATGCACATATTGTGTTAATTAGTTGAATAGCTTTAGAAATTTTAGGATTTCTTAAGTGGGTATCTTCTGAGTTTATACTCTCTTATTTTCTCAAGACCCTGTACTACACTATTGTTCGGCACATACTCTATTATGTTTCCGTTTGGTTTCTTTGGTATCCATATACTGCTACCGACTCTTCTACTTTAGAGGGAGTTCAAAAGACGTTTTCTGTCCTTAGATGATTTTGCTATGAATATTCCCCACCCCATTCATTTTCCTGTTCTCCTGGAGTTAGGCCTGTCTAACTTAGCTGATAGACGTACTGATGCTAATCTACACTTTTTAGCTAAACTTAAAAATGGCTCATTTAATGCATCTTTCTTCCTGTCCTGTACGACCCTAGCGCTCTACTCGTTCCTTTGCCCCTTACGTAGTAACCAATTGTACTACGAATATTGTCACAATCATTGTCTTGATCGTTTAATGCGTCTGGTCAATACACTTTTCAGCCATCACTCTATCTAATTTAATCACTACTATCTAAGCAAAATTTATATTAAAATATTTTAATTTGTATTTTTTTTTGCATTCATTCTGTACTTTAGATTCCACCCGTTATCAATAACGGGTTATTTTGAAATAAATAAAACATATTGTGATAATATTTCGGAAACTATTTTTAGACATTTATTAACAATAAAAAATTAATAAAGTAAAAACGAAATTATTAAATGGTTAATACTCGTAAATAAATATATAAATAAATAAATAAGTGCTTTGCCTGGAGTATTTTGATATGTGTATTGTACGACTACCCTTATTAATTGCAGATAACTTTGTAAAAGATTTAGATTTTAATTTTACACAGACTCTATTTCCTAACATGCATATCCAAAATATCTGCAGTAAAGCTTTTAAACTATTGGATTTCATTAATCATGTGTCTGTGGGATTTAATCTAGTTGCTCATTTAAAAACACTTTTTTATTGTCCATTGTATTTTATTTTAGAGTATGACCCTGTGCTCTGAGACCCTTTATTCGCTGCCGCTCATAAAATGATAGAAAAGATCTGAAGAAAATTTCTTCGTCATGTTGTTTTTAAACTACACATACCTTTTATCCCTATGATTACATTCTTGTCTAAAGATTTTTATCTTTCGAAAGCCTTACTGATTGTCGACACTTAACACTTTCCTATTTAACCTTCCTTCTTATAAAATTGGTTGCCTCGAACTTCTATCCCGTATCACCTTTGATTTTCTCTGCCGTCATACCTGTTCATCAGTTTTTATTACATATTTCTATATCTTCATCTAATTACCTTCTCCATTCTTCAATTATCCGTCTTATGCGCATCGCAAATACCGACCATTCTTTACATTAACTTTATAACTTCCTTCAAAATTATTAAACACATTATATTACATTTCTATATTTAAGCATATTTTAAATACTCTACACATTGTAACTTGGGCTAGTCCAGTAGCATATTCAAATAAATAAATAAATTGCTGAGGATAATTTTTGGGTAACTATATTTTTTCCATTTATTGATACTGCGTTAGTACAGTCATAAGAAAGATTTGAAGAAATGAAGATAATAAACAATAATTAAACTTTCAATGATTATAACAATTTAAAGAATCAAAGTTAACTAAATCAGCGTATAATTTTGTTAAGTTTTATCAAAATTAAATTAGTTTCGATTTTACTCGACAACTATTAACACTTGGAGTGTTTGAAATGTACAAAATTGAAAACAATAAAAGAACTTTGTGAGTTTTTTTTCGAAAAATTATCTTTCATTAGTATATAGTGACATAATGAGTGCTTGTATTATTTTTTGAGTTTACCAGTAACTGTGGCATCTGTAGAACGTTAATTTTACAAATTGAAGCTAATAAAAAATTACTATATAAAAAATAACGTACACAGGAATTAGGTACTAAACAAATTATTGATGATTTTTTGTATACTAAAGCAAAGAAAATAATATTTTTTTAAATGATTATATTATATTTTTATCTGATTTTATTAAACAACTTTTATTCTATGCCATATTATTATTATTATATTAATACTACTACAAATATATTATTTAATACTATATAATGTTATCTAATGTAACATAAAAACCGCTTCAAAAATCACTAAAATGGCTCCCCTAATACACTAGCTAGATCCAATGTGCAACAAAAAAATTCTGTTTTTGATTAGAGCAAAATTTTCGGTAGAATAGTTATTTTCAAATACAAAAAATACATCATAAAACTAAAATAATAAAAAATATTTAATGCAGTAGCGGATTTTCAATATTTTTCCGGGATGGGTCCTGAAAAATAATATGTATATGTATTTAAAAGGTATTTCTATTAATAGATGCCTTGCCTCTTTTTTGGACGACATTTTATTTAAATTATATCAGTTTCTGGGAGGGATCTAGGCCCCCTGGACCCCCCCCCCGTAAATCCGCCACTGATTGAATGAGTAAACAAATTTATATTTGATGTTGTTTATTGTAAATATAGTTTGGTTAGATTATTAGTTAGATTTTGGTAAGTGTTGTTTAGCTACAAAAACAATAACCTTTTTTTTTGCATTTTAAGAAACACAGACAGGGAAGGGAGTGGGACGGGTGTATAAAAACAAGTGATTACTTTTTTTTTTACTTATCAATCTCTTTTTTCCATGAGCCGATTAGCCTCCCCTGAAAACGAGAGTTCCATCATTGACCCACACCTCGGCTCTCGAATCCCTAGGCGGTACGTTAGGATGGTAGATAATGTATAAGTGCTATTATTTAATTTATACTGTTATTTTAAACCATTGCTTATGGAAAATGATTCTGAGCTAAATTCAATTGAATTGGTTTTGAAATGTTATGGTTTTTACGATTTCTATCAAAATTTGAACTTAAAATAATTAAATTGCTTATAAAAATAAAATAAAATAACAACATTAATTTTTTTTACCACTAAGTAAGACTTATAATAAAAATATTGTATTAACATATTGAAATTTCCTGCTAAAAATTATTATATCTACATAAAAATCAAACGAAAACTAAAATAAAACCAAAAACAATGAAACTTTTATTACCGTTAGTTTGTCAGTTTTTCCTATACTTTTTTTTACTTCTGTTTTTCCAAAAAAAGTTTCTTGTCGTTTTTTAATTTCTGGTAGAAGAGCTGTTGATAGAGATAGATAGATAGATAGAGAGAGAGAGAGAGAGAGAGAGAGAGAGAGGGAGAAACCACACATTATTGTAAAATCAATCTGCGTTCAGAATGTAAAACGTTATAACTAGAAATAAATCGTGATGATGGGTTGTATTTTAATTTTGTGCTGATCTAAGATCCTTAAAAATAATGCAAATATTACGTCTATAGAAAAGTATAGAAAAAAAATTAACAAGATAATATAATATTTAATATACTTACTTCAGTAAACGAAAATTGAACGGACGTAGAGAAAAAAATTGTACTTGCAAAAACTATAAACACATATTGCGGTAGCTGCCATAAAACGTGTAAATGGTTGCCCCTGTCAGAAGCGAATAATTTCGATTCCTATAAATATTTCACGTAAATATAAAATGAATATATATTATAATATTTCATTCCCCAATATAGGTGGAATTAAGTCATCTGAGCGCGTTTAAATTTATCGTAGAATCTACGACGTATATATTCGAGCATTGAGCGTGACTTCAGTGACCCAGGGTATTTGTTTAGTGAATATCCACTGTGTGTTCACTCCTCTTCTAAAAACAAAACCTTAAGTGCAGTTAAACATTCTTCTTGACTTTTGTACTTTTTCCATTTATCCCTTCTCCGCCAATGAATGTATATATTTTGTTTGAAATAAAATATTTTATTACAAAATTGAATAATCCTATTATTTACTATTTATTTTCTAATGTGCAAAATTTTCATAAGCAAAATCGTACACTACTGGGTCCAATGAACTTAACTGTACGTCCAGTTTGATGGAAAAAATCTTCTTAAACGATTTCCTTAATTAACACATTTAAGCGATTGTACGAGGGTTGTCCCAAAAGTAATGCGCAATTTGCTCTGAATAAATAAGTTTTTATTTTAAACTAAATACAATATTATAGACCTTCGATATAATCTCTCTGCTTGTCTATACACGATTGCCATCGTTTCGGGAGCGCTTGAATGCCGCATAGGACGCCATCTTTGTTGAGTTCACGGATCCTTCGGCTCACTTCTTCATTTAGTATATCTAAGTTGGGAAAACGGATCCCTCTAAGTGGTTCCTTCAGTTTTGGAAATAAATCAAAGTCCGGGGGACTTAAATCCGGCGAATACGATGGGTGTTTGAGGCGTTCCCATCCATATTTCTCCAAAAGAGCGACGACTGGTGCTCCGATATGCGGCCGCGCATTATCGTGCAATATGGACACACCATTNTTCATCGAGTAGAGTTGCGAGAATAGCCGCGTTAGTGTTGTCTTGAGTAACCGTAGAGGGTCGGCCAGAGCGAGGGTTGTTATCAATACTTATACGACCATCACGGAATCGCTGATGCCATCTTTGCACCGTACTACGATCCACAGTATCCGTTCCATACACTTCATTTAACGCGGCATGAATTTCAGGCACTGTTTTACCACGAATCGTTTCGATTTTAATGTATGCGCGTTGCTCAAAAACAGAAATGTGAGCCGACGAATTGTTCTCACTTTCGTTATCGCTCTCACACATCATCATACTTTACTAAAACAACTAAAACTGAAAACGCACGTGTTCTTTAGACTTCAAGTTACAAACTGATACTAAAATCAGCTGATAATATCACATTGCAAGACAGTTAGAGCCCGCTGTGCATTACTTTTGGGACAACTCTCGTATATACAAGGCAAGACAAAAAATAAAACTAATTATTATTTGATTTCCTTGACTTACACGGCGTAGTTTTATTTTTATCTACTCCTAATTTATTTAAGCTCAACGTATTTTTTCAATGAATATGTTTAAAATTTTAACTTAATATATAACTTCGTTGGAGTAGATCAGGTTTGGGCTAATGGTATGTTCGATTTTCGTTAAATGAGCGGATAGTCCAGATAATACGAAATTACCACGTGTCGTATAATATACTATGGGTACTATTATGGGAGTTACTCGTTTCCGCCAAAAATGCTCTTCCGTCGATTCACTTTTTTACCAAATTATACAATTGGTCAAGTCCCGTTTCCGCTAATAGGGTACTTTTCCCTTTTTCGCTAAATGAAAAAAAACTAATCTGATATTCGAATATTAATGGATGATTGTATTATAAATTATTATTTTTGTAATACAAAAAATTTCTAAAATATTCACTTAAAAAATTAAAAATGTACAGTTATGGTACAAGGATGATTAAATAAAATAAAATTCAAAATATAATTGCCATATTATTTATACTATAGGCACACTGTAGGTCATTTTTATAGTACGTTCTTAAAACTTATAATAATGATTATATGATTTCTTTTTGGAGGAAATCGAAATAAATTGTATTACATTTTCTGAAAAAACTATGAAGTTTGTTAAAAGAAGAAAATATTCCTTAAAAATCTAAAAATGTACTTAAGAATAAAATGCTCTTAGAAATAAAAAAAAAATTCTAAAAATGCAAAGTAAATGCAAAAAAAATCTAAAATAAAAGATTTGTATTTGAATTCTTTGATTTAAAGCATTGCTTTAGGAATTTCAGAAAAAAAAATGAAATTCGCATTTTAATCCGCACCCTATAATACATCTTTTCCAATAATCGATTAAAAATAATAACCATAATAATTTTTTAAATAAGGAAATAGATAGTACATGATCAAACATTCATGTAGGTATATTATAAAATCAGCGATATTACTATACATTTTAATGGCCGTTTATGGACGTATGAATTACCATCCACAGCTTTCCGTTTAAAACAACTATGAATTGTTTCTTTCGTTGAATTTTTACGTGATGGATGTTATGTTTCATAATCGTTTTACATTTTGTACATTTGTTAAATGCCGAAAACAGCCGTTAAGGGAAACTAGTCAATAACCGATTCATGCACACCGGGTTATTTAAGGGTAAATAAAAGGTATCCGCGCTCAGATGGGTGGAGTTGATATAAGTTTACTTATAATAAATTTACCAATTTTCGACTGTCATTGTGTATAAGAAGTGTGTATATCGTGGCTGGCATAAGTCTTATATTCGTGGAAATCACTTCGCCGCCACGTCTTAAAGTATAGCTGAAAAAATGTAAATGTTATGATATGATTTCCTGAGAAGGATAATATAAAATAACATCTATTTTATCAATAATAAAGTATAACAATATCTTATTATACGTACTTTCCAATAGCGACTTCTTTGAAATGTTCACTCGCAAATGAAGATACTTGATACGGTGTGAAATATTTCTTCCCGGGGATCGTGAGCTCAAAGAAACGATCCGTTTTTAGATTATTATTCATTAAAATGCTTACAATAAAAATAATAATAATATTATACACGGATTAGGTGCAAATAATGCATTTAAAGTAAATTATCGATAATATCGATATTTGCAGGGATAATTTACTTACCGTAGACGAGGATTTCCGTTTTTAGATTTCTTCAAGTCGTCATGATTGTTAATACTGCGTAAGATAGTGTCGTTGTTTAAAGTGCGTGTTAGTAAGTATGAAATCGACTGATGGAAATAAAAATATTTTATTATTTTAATAATTACGAGTAATTTTAGGTTTCTTAACACCTAAACATCTTATATCCCTGTTGTGTCCTTCCGTCCGTATAGTCACTAGTACATAATAGTTACGGTTGTTGATTTGGTTGAAAAGGGATATAGGTATATTATTCCTAATATTATTACTATTATTAGTTTAAATATCAATTCGTAACATTATTATAATAGGTAATAATAACCTATTAAATATTATTGTTATACTTAATTTAAATATCTGTATTAAATATATTGTGTACTAGCCAATGTTAAAAAAAAAAAAAAATGATATCAAAGTAAATTGACTTCAAGAATTTTAAAAGTGTCCTGTTAACCATTTACAAATTAAGTTATTTAATTTACTAAGGGTATTCTACCCATAAGCATATTTTACTGTATTACTAAATTATTTCAAAATTTTCTATGGAAATATTGCACGCTCACATAACTTCTTTTTCACGTACATTCCGTGTAGTTACTTCTGTATTTTGGGTCATTATATACTATATAGGAGTATATAAAACTGCACGAAGTACCTATAATATCTACACTATAAGGTTGTGAAATGTTTTCATCAATTTCAGTTATGTCCAGGGTGCAAAAATACTGACGCGTATAAGGAGTACAAGCTTTTCTCCGGGGTCTATATTGTAATGGCCACAGGAATCCGATTAATTTAAGGGCGAGGAAATTCTTGTTAATAACGTGAAAATGAAGAAGTGTTATACCTAAGTACAACATTATTATAGGAAAAATATTAAAAACAATATAACATGAAATTAAAATAATTTGCATAGATGTACTGTTATTTTATTATTTCTTTAAATAAATTGAAATAAACAATTTATAAACGATACCGAGTATAAAAAATATACTGCATATTTGTATGTAACGTTTTACGACCGTGGGAATTTCATATAGAATTTCGCACTGTTCAAAAGTCACGCTCCGTGCACTCATAGAAATGGTCCTTCACTACTCTCCGCCCACCCAAATTTGAAGGTGGAATAAATTGTCAATAGGTTGAGGGAAATTGAAAATGTCATCACTAAATTGTAATGAAATTAAAATTTCCTCTATTTATGGACTTTGCGATACATGTTGCTATTTGAAATCAAAAAAAGGTAGTGGTTTCACCCTAAAAAATTAGGTTGAAAAAGTAAGAGCTATGTAAAATTATAGAATACCCTTATAATTCTAGAAAGTTTTTACATAAATCATTTTTTTAATAAATAAGTACCTATTTCATGGAAAATTTAACTGCAATATGAAATTGGGAAGACCCTGTATAGTATATAAGTATCCCATTCTGCAATACCTTGTTGTATTGATGTTAATAAAATATTACGTTATAACATCGTAACATTACAAAATGTGTTAAAATAGATAAAAATCACATCACTTTAACTGCTAATAATCAGTTGATGTTTACTTGATAATTAGTAAGCTGCGCATATGGTCACTGATATATAGATACAAATTTAAAAGATATTAATTTTTAAAAACATTGTTTTACTGTGCCTCCCTCATCCATTTAACGACGCCCTAGGCTATAGCCTTTTCAGCCTGTTGTTAATCAGGCCCCGAAGTCAAGTAAATATGGTAATACCTATTTATATTTTACCTTTCCTTTGGAAATGGTCACTTCGGTGTATAGTAGTTTATCGTGATATGAACTACACGAATTGTCAAACTTTAATGTGATGTTCACGGCTTCTTTATTGAAAGTCGGCGTGCACTTGAAATTAGAAGTGCCCAATGATTCGACAATATCGTCGATTGGCATTGTGGACGAGTTTATATGAACATTACAATTGAAATCATTGTAAACCGAGAATCGACCTTCGTGCCTTGATATTGTGGTGATTTCGCCCTTGTATACAAATTGAAGAAATATTAAATTGTAATTATTTGCGCGGTAAATGCGTGGTTATAATTAGTTATAGGTAACATGGTATATTAAACTCACAAATATTACATACTGAAGGATAGTAGTGGACATAAAAGCGAAAACCGCAAACGTGTGGCACAGTATTAGCTTTTGCAATGGCGTGCGGATGCCGAACTTGGCGAAAAACGGGTATACTGTGGATTTAAAATAGAACAACACTATCAAAGATAAAAACGGATAGATAGTTTGCATCTGATCGGGTTTTATTTCCCAGTTGATAGCCTCTATTTTGCCGTTCATTAGTGTCGCTTGAAACGTCCACCGCGAAAACTGAAAATTCACAACACTTCAATGTAACCATATTAAAATTAACAGCAACCTATCTACTATTAATATGATTTCGATTAAAAATAGACAATTGCCATCAAGTAAGAAAATGATTTATATATTACTTGTTGTTCGTAGAGTGCATTAAACACCGGAAAAGCTATAAATATATGTATAACATCTAGCGCTGCTTTTGTGTCTGAAATTTCTATCAAAGTATATTTGTCCTTTGAGCGATCGAGCCAATGATGGGCATTATCTGATTTTGACGTAATTTTTTTGTAAATAGCATACTAAAAAAAAAAAAATATTTTAAAATAAGTACCATGTTTAATCACGTGCATACTTACGCATATACAACCAAAAGTCCTAAATATTACGTGGTTTTCTGGTTTTCTTTTTATATATAAATTTCTTCCCATAAAAAAACCACCTTAATATAAAAAAAAAAAATTTAATATAAATACGATTGTAATCATAAAATATTAAACTGTATATACTTTGTATTCTAAGGTTATATTTTCAAAAGTGAAGATAATTGTGAAAATACCTAAGAGTTACGGCAGGCAGCGTTGGGATGACAGAGTTAAAAATAATTTAAATAAATGTACTCGAGAAATAGCTGCAATACAGAATTGCGCGGACATAGATATGTGGAGGAATGTATTAGTGGCAGCGAAATCTTTTAAAATCCATAAAAGCTCAAGAAAAAAAAAATTCTTTAGTCATATTTTTTTTATTAATATACAGGAATAAATTATAATAATAAATATAATAATAATAAATTATTATTTGATTTTTTTATACAATAAATAGTGACTTACATGGAATATAGTATATTATTTAAATAGTTCATAAAATTGTATATTCATTAATGATTATCCTGAAATTATTATTCACTAACCTTTGATTGTTATAATTCAATAATAATTACCGATTCCTAATAGCAGACATAGTGTTGAAACGCCGAACGCGAGTGGGAAACACGAATCCCTGCCAAAACAATGTATACTAGCCCGTAATTCAGGTATGAAAAATTTAGCCAACAGTATTCCTAAGTAAACGGCAATCAGAAACCTGTTGAAAAATGTAGCGAGTTGATCCTTTTGCTCAGGCAATTGAAATTGATCACCACCAAATGTGTACGTACAAGGTTTTATTCCGCCATTTCCAATTGAAATAATCAATAATGCTGCGATGGTTATGTATCTAAACATAACAATCATTATAAGTGCATTAAAATGCATTAAAATTATATGAAATAGAGTGTAAGTGGGTGCAGTATTGTTCCCATCAATATCTTTGAAAGCATTTGTGTAGTGAACCATAGTTTTCAGAAGCGGCTGCTTTTGAATTTTATATGGTGGGTGGGTGGTTTTGTGTGACATTAAGATTGTTTAGGAAGGACACGTCGTTAAACGTATGTGTAGTAATTATAACGGCTATAGATATTGTAAAAGTTGCTGGAACCGTTTGAAAGTATACTACACGATTCTATTTTATATTTCATATGGTTTATACTGTTTATAAAGAAAAAGATAAGAATTTTATTATAAATTAAGTTAAAACTATCAAAATAAAATATTCAAAATTAAAAAAAAAAAAGAAGCATTGTCGTAAAGACATTTTCTGTAAATTGTTAAAAAAAATAAAAAATGCTCATTTTACAAATTATATTTGTAAACATTTTAACAAATAAACGTAAAAAACTATATGTTAAATACGACTGTATTTTGAAATATGTAAGATATAATCGCATTTTTGAAGCGAGGGGTGTATTTTTTGTTTGTTTTTTGCTATATGTAAACAGTTTAAGATGAAATAATATGATTCTATTTATTGATACCGTGTTACTGTTGTAGTTTTTCATGCGTTTACCTTTGAGTATCGAAGGAAAAATTGTCAGCCATTGTCGATCCGGTAAGGATTACATTTCCAATCGCATAGACTACTGACAATCGTATCAAGGTCCTATAACGATAAATAAAGAACAAAAAATATTCAATTAACTAATCGCTATTAATATGATTTTTATTTTACTTGTATTTTCCCCAGTAAGAGTCGGCAAATATAGCACCGCATAACGGCATCAAATAGGACATTAACATAAAACTGTGAAAAATCATCATTGAATCGTCTTGAGTGTAATTCAATTCCGACGTCAGGTGTAACACCATAATTGCTAAAATGTACATATATATATCCACACAATATTAAGAAAAGTGTTTCGTCAACCCGCTGTGGCGTACCCAGGGGACTTCAGCCCCCCATTGGCTGTGTCAAAGTATAAAAAAAATAAAGTAAACTGTTCAGCAGTGAAGAAATATTTCTAATAAAATAATAGACATAGTACTACAGGAATGTATTGGCCATGTATAATTTACTATCCCAGAAGTGGGTCGTTTCTCATATTTAGCTCGTAGTATTTTGAGATATTTTTAGTTGTTTAAAACTTTTGAAAACTTTTTGGTTTTATGTGGATATAATTTTATTAATTCATTTAAATACTAATAATTTTAAAACAAGATTCGTCAATGGTTTACTGCTAAGTAGTAGTAAAACAAATAGTTGAGTGTTATGTCATAATTTATTTTTATATGCCTGTAAGTTCAAATTTATGATAAAAAAAAAAAAAAAACAACGAACAATTGCAATTTATTTTAAACCTCATGACAAATTAACAAAATTAACAGGAATCAACTTAACTGAGGCTATCGTAATCTTTGGGATAATGGGCCGTATCTTACTCAGAATACTAGTACAAATAATTTATACTTTTCATTATAACCTAAACAAAGGTTTTTTGTAACAAATAAAGATATATGTTGGTTAAATTTTCATGTATAAATTTAATTGAATATGTTTAACCTACTTATCAATTAAAAATCTCTCATACGCTAATTTTAGCACCACCGTCATTGGGGGATTGGGGGGAGGGCAGGATATGTGATTGAACCCCTTACTTTTAAAATAGTCCCAATCAGCCTGGTGAAATAATGTATCATTTTTATATATAGATAATTATTGTTAAATTATATTTTTATATTAACAACATTGGTTTATTTACTGTAAATAAACAAATATCATGTTATCAAGTAATTAAGTAAACAATAAATGTATCATGCATTCTTATTATCTATCAGGTATACCTGATACCTACAGAATACAAGTTTAAATAAGAAATCACACGGTCAAAAGTTGGATAACTTTACGGTTGACCGGTTAACAGTCGCTTTTAAGGAAACATTGAAAATTATTTCATCGATAAAAACTTTACCAATTACAATGGCATTAAAATGAAATGGTTTTTCATCACTTAAAAATATAAAATCATATTTATGCACTTCCATGGGCGATGATTAATAGCTAAATGGTCTTATGGTTCTAAAAAGCAGAAGTAAATAATATTGATTAAGAGATAGCTGTCGATGGATTTGCCGGGCTTAAAAATCGCCGGTATCCTCTTATATTATAAATATAATTTTTTTTTTTTTCTAGAGCGTTATTTAGCTTGTGCAAAAGTTGTACTTATCAATTAATTATTAGTAATTGATAAGTAATAATATGAATATTATGTATTTTTTTTTTTTTGTTTTTCTATAATAATTATCTTTAATATTTGTATGCATTACTTATTTATTTTCAAAGGTAAAGTGTCAATTATTTATTATTATTTAGATTTTAAAAAGTTTTTTACTATTTATGTTAATTGCGAATCTGATCAATATGTTTATTGCGAATCGTAATCTTTTAAAACAATTAACAGCAGGATAATATACATAAGAATAAATATGGATTTGTATATGGTCTGGTGAAATATTTATAATGACCTGCTTGAAACCTTGCACCTCTGAAAAAAAATGGAAGTGACGCCCCTGGTTAACATGTCAATGTTAAGTACCATCTACATAATCGTTATTCACTTATTATATAAAGTATGAAATATTTTCCATTTAAACGCGTAAATCAAAATATTTGGTTTGGGTAATGCGTTGCATAATTTAATTTTCAGTCATAAATCAAAAAAGATAGGATACATTAAGTTATTTAATTTCTATCTGTAAGCAACGGTAAACCATTGCTGGTGAAAGACGATTTGGAGCGAAGTTCGGTTATACATGTTACGAAGGGATGTAACAATTATATTTTTGTCAAAATTTGATATTAAAACTATTATACGAACATATATATATAAAAAAAAAATATTAAATTTAACTTTTCTTTCTGACCATCAAGTTCAACTTATAATGAAACTTCTATTAAATATTCAAGTCCAAGAATTTTATTCACAGAGTTCTTTGGTAGGTACTAAATTAAAAGGCCTATGAAAAGCTCAAAAATGGTTCAATTGTTTTGAAAATTTGTTCACGTATAGAAAGAACAAATATAAGTTTTCTAACAAAATTTCAAGTTTCTACGAATATAAGTAACTTGATTAAAATAAATAATAAAAGCACTATTTTCGTAATTTTTCCCGTTCTTTTTTCGTTTTTTTTTTTTGATTTTCTTAATTATTAAATAACCCACAGAAACAATCAAAAATTGACTTTCTTACTCAACAATTATATTAAAAATTAAATAAAAAAGAATATTTTTGGTAGAAAACATCGTATGTATAAAAAATAATGAAACATATGTCACCGTAAATATGTTCGTTTTAATTAGACGAAAAGTTTTTTTCCGGTTTTACCAAATTATCATAAAAATTACTAGGAAAATCAAAAACACGAATTAATTTACGAACTACGAGATCCAAAATGTAAAACAAATGATACTTAGGTATTTTGTAATCAAAGTAATTTCTAGTAGAAAATATAGTGTGAAAAAAATTAAAAACAATAAAATCGGTAATGCCGAGTCGCGCTGTAAACATTTGCTGTTTTACCTGTCATTTTTTTCCGATTTTTATGAAATTCAAAAAATGACGTCCCCAATGTATCAACTACCGTGAGATTTTACCACTTTTATTGGCTTTTTACTACTACTTCGCGTATACAGCTATTGTAAAAATATTATATTCCTTACCTTTGATTCCGGAAAAGTTCACCTGTTCGCATAGTGTGTGACATATTATATACCACAGTGATTTCGGTGTTTTCTGTAAAATAAATTTATTCATTGCAATAACTATAAAATAATTTCAATTTCCAGGACTATATTTGGAGAAGAGCAAGAGGAAACATGATTCCGGGTAGCTAGATTTTATTTTATATTTTAGGGTGGGCTGCCGCTGGAATTGTTTATTCACGATTTCACATAGCACGATTGCCCATTTATCTTTTCATTCATAATATTCTGCATAACACGATTCTACACACAATTTCTATGCGATGTTATCGTTGTGTATATTGTGACTTGTGACGTTTCGGTCACGATAATCAGATTATTTATTTGACGGAAAAACACATATTCAAACAGTAAAATTTATGAACAGGTTTTTGGTAGAGTGGTATACAATCATATTTAATAATTCGTAACTGTACGAAACCGTGTCATATTTTAGAAATGTATACACCTGTAAGGTTGGACTGGCTGGTCTATAACTTGGTAATGGAGCTGGTTTCATAAATAAATTATATTATTGTTTAGCCTGGGCTGGTTTGAAGAACTTGTCTAACCCTATATTTGTATAATATATAATTCGGAATTTCGTGTCATTATGTCCAAAAGAAATTAAGAAATAGTTGTGAAATCGTGCGGATATCGTGCGGAATCGTTTCGGTCCCCTGATGGAATAAACTATAATTTTACTACCACATTATTTGACATGTAGGAAATATGAATAAAATTAAAATTTATTAAATTAAATTAGATATATTAACAAAATCAAGAGACTCTCGGCCAGGTATATCTTTTTAATATCTCTTGTCCTAATTTCTTATCACTTATCTAAAATTAAAAGCTTACCATATCTCGTTTCTCATATCTTTTATCAGTTATATTTTATCACTTATCTATTATCATTATATTATTCAAGTGATAAGACATAAAAGTTTCATGATTTTAATCTGTTATATTTTCTGGGTATTAAAAAAAGGTGTTAAATCTCCTCCAAAAACAAAAGAAACAAAAATGTAGCCACCTATTGTTATTGCTTGATAACCTTAAAAAGCTATGAAAAAGCTATGAATTACCCAATTAATTCGAAATACTTATAATAATTGTATTTTTTTTAGTCTTAACCTTAAATGCAATTTATACTGTCGATAAATATTATACTTGGTTTTCCACGTTTTTTTTAAAATAAAATTTCAACCAATTCAAACACATAATCGATTTCAATTTATTTTGAATTTGTTAATATTTTATTTGAAAAATAAGCGTGACCAGTGAATTACAATTAGTTATACGTAATCAATCGCTATGAGTATTTGGCTACATTTTTATTAAAAAAAAACATGTTTTTTATTGTTTTAAATAAATATGAATTCTATATTTGCTGGGGAATTATAACCAAAAAAATAATATAATTTGTATACGAGAGATAAAATAAATATGATTCCATTATTGCCGCTCTCTGATTAGGTAGTAATTCTGTACGAGTATACAATACAAACTATTAATATAATGTAGGTATTTAATTGCGTCAAGCTAATTCTAAACTCTTCGGACCATAAACCAACTAAATTAATTATAAATATTTTCAAACTATTATGTAGGTACTTATATATAAGTTGATTGTAAGCCGATTTATATTTCTGTCATGATTTAAATCATATAGTTTTATTTACTAGTAAATAATTATATAATTTTAATTTTTAGAAAAAAAAAAAAAAACCCGGACATAACTTGCACCTTAAGTGGGCTACTTAATTGTAGATGAGAAATTAGGAAAGTATTCCCAACAAGATGTATAGGATAATTTTTAGTTTCTATCGGTACGCAACAATTAATCATTGTAAATTAAAAATTATTCTGAACCAAGTTCATTTAAATATGTTAGTCAAAATATACTAAATTCGGTACCAGAAACCACTGACAATGCCGATGATTGGAGTAACACTATTGGTAAAAAAGTTATTCACAGACACGAAAAAAAAAAAATTTAATAAAAAAAACTATCTAGGTATTTGAAACCTGAAAGAATGATGTTAATGTTTTTATAGAATATATTATTGAGGGTAAATATATTATGAATATATATCTTTTGATTTTTTCCGCGTATAGGAGCACTGTATATATTATTATTATTATGTTATTATATCTGCCTTGTTGATTCAGAAATCCTTATAAATCATAAAATATTTGTTGAATGTGCAATATTGTTTATGTACGATGAACAGAATGTAACTTGTGCGCTATTTTATATGTATCTAGATAAAATATTGAATGTGTACGCGTTCATCTAAAAGTATTTCAAAGACTGTTTTTTTATCTTTTAGAATTTCACCGAAATTTCTTTCGTACAAATTGTGCATCATTGAAATAAAAGGCAAAACGGGAAATATAAACACAGAAACACGTAGGTCGGTATACATTATTAATATCGCGATCTTTCGTGAAAATCGTATGTACTAACGCAAAGATTATCTTGTTTTAATAAAAAACAACAATAATAATAATACAAATTATTTCTAAAACTATAGGTACCGTTTCCTACGTGAAAAAGTACATTACCCTAAATTTGGACGCGTTCCGAGAACACTTTTTGCGTTGAAATTATAAAAATTACATGCTTATTTGTATAATCAAATTTAAAGAGAAAAAATATTTTGGGCTGTTGGACTGTACGTTCTGTTTTTCTAAAGTAACATATTATAAAACAAAAAAGTGAGGTTCAGCTATTTAAAGAAAAAAAATAACCTAAACACTAAGCTATAACATTTAACATATTTTCAAACAAAATAAATATTTTAGAAAAACTACAGCAAACCTTGTACCGTCATAGAAAATAAAGGCACTTGTACAATTTCATTATCTGTGTTTATACTCTAATTTAAACTGAAACCAAAAATCGAATTTTAAACTATACCAATTTTTACAGTGGCGGTAAGAGCTATTACATCATGAGTGAGTCTAACGAAACTATTTGACACTCCAATCCAAACCCGAATTAAGAGGGGGGTTTGGAGGGGACGTTGGTTCAGTTTTCACTACAATATATGTACATGTTCTTGGCCTTTAAATGTTTTTATCTGAACTCGCATTCACATATTTATTGAGAAATATCCCCACGATATCACCTTATATATTATATATAAACATATTATTTTAAAGTTATTATTAAATAAATTACATTTTAAAAAAATAATTCAGCTCAAGTCAATTGATTCAACTATTTCAGTAGGTACATATATTTCTAAGGAAGCAACCTAACGCTCACCAAGCTGACTTAGCTAACCACATACCTAGCACCTATCTATTAAATAGAACTTGGAGTTTTCTACCATTGTGCAGCAACTGAGTCTTTTCTTGTTTGTTAAAAAAGCAGTTCTTCGCGATGCACTACCGTAATTTGTTATATTTACAAAATTATAAATAATAGTTTAATTAAAAAATATAATATAGTGTTAAAGAAAATATTAGAATACTGTAGATTTAGTAATGTATAATATAAATATAATGTCTCAAAATTATACACTATTCCTTTACGATTGGTTTAAATTTTAAATATAAGGTAACTAATTAATTGGTTATAATTTTTTTTAAATTTTATAGTTTATAAAGGATATAATAATTTTGCTTCTAAATGATGAGTATAAATCCAAAATTGTATGACTGCAGATAAAATATTTTTTGTTTTACGTTGTATTTAAATCGTTAAAACTCGTTTTTCTCAAACCGTGATAATTTTTCAAGTTGTAACTGCTGACGTTCTGATAGTGCGTTATAATAAGTTTGTGTTACCCGTCATAGCTAGGTCACGAGACAGTTAAATAAGCAGGTGCGGTAGCTTTTTAAATCTAATTTTGATATTTTTATATAGTTCAATGCTTACCAGTTGATTTTTCACAGGTTCTATTTCCATGATGTTCAGTTGAAAAAAAAAAGTCTGTGCAACGAACAATTTAAGTAAAATGACTATAGTCCTCGTCTATAGTGATAAATCGTAATAATAATAATAATAATAATAATAATAATAATAATAATAATCATCATCATCTTCATAACAATTATATACTTACCTAATATATAAGTATTGGAATGTAGAACGATAAAAAAAAAAAAAAGATAATGTCAACACATATATTATTATATGTACCTTTGGATGACAAATTCATGTAGACAACTGTGCTATAAGAACTGTGTGTGCGATAACCCGCAATAATTATTATAATTGCGTGGGTTAATATAATATATTATTGTTAAAAATATTATTATGTCATTTTTTAGTTTGATAATTCTGATTATTGTTATTAACGAGCCACATTGCAGTAGTGAATCACGATTTTATTATTATTTCAACTGTATCATAACTGTGACATTATTAGTGTAGGTACCTACTCAGAAAATAAAACGACGATAATCATATTTAATTAATAATATAGTTCAGCATCACGGTATAGGTACGAGCCGAGTATGAAATCCATAGACATTTTATTTTATATGAATTCTAGTCGTTCGGCTGTTTAAACATTATTTGAAGACATAGGTAAAACAGAATCGAACGAATATTAGTCCAAGGGAAGAAGGGTGTAGGTTAATTTATGGTAATTTGTTTTATCTAAATGTTATATCTGTATGCATATTTTAACATAGATATGTATATAAATACCTCAAGTGACTATAAAGTATTTTTTGTTTGGCAAAGAGGCATATAATAATATGATTTAAGACATTTAAAACGTCATACTAGTAATTTAGCAATCGTGCCATTATATCATTTAGTCATTTTCAAAATTCAATTTGCTTGTATTGAAAAATATACAAAATTGACTTGCGCTTTTCTTCCTTGGAACCAAAGATATTATAGTAAAATACCTAATACAGATTATATAAGAACATTAATTACCTAAGATAAGTGTGGTTTTGATAGGTATGATTGGTTAACTGTTGTTGGCTATGTACATCATCAAGATTATCTAGAAATTTTATACTTGTAAAAAATTAATAATATTATCTAAAAACAATCAAATGATATTGTGAAATGTAAAAACTTTTTACTGAATTATCCGGTTTCGTCCGTGTTCGATTTTAATGCATATTGTACTATTTCTTAATTCTATCTAATTTTATTTACGAAAATCGTTTACGATAATATACATATGTTTTAATAAACATACAGAATTATTACATTTGTTTCAATACACAAAATTTCACTTTTATTGCTTTTGTAATAATTTTTACATTAAATACAATTAGCCTGAGACATTCAATAATTTTAATAATAAAAACAAGTACAATCATTTGTGTAAATTCAATTCAATGATTTTACATTTTTGTCATGTCATTTTTTTATATGTTTTCTACTGGAATCTTATTTCAATCAAAAAATGACAAGACACATTTGTTGAATTTTCAATTTAGTTCATGAGTAATTCATTTTTTGATTTTCTCTTATAATTGAAGAGCGTAGAAATATGGGAAATTTTATGAACAAAATTATTTTAGGTGGCAATAAATTTGAAAACATAAAATTTAATGTTAAGTAATTTGAAAAAAAAAATATAATTATTTTAACATTATTATATTAATGACTTTCAAAAAATTACAATTGTGATTTTAATACAAATATATACCGTTCTTAAATTTGTTACGTCTATGATTTAAATTATAGAAAAGTTTTTGTTGTCTGAATGTAAACGTAATTACAATACGAGTGCATTGAATATAGAGATATTTGCGTAACGATAAACCATTATTAACGAAAAATGATTCTGAGCAGAGTATTAGATTCTGATCGGAGAGAAGAATGTATTAGTTCTATAATGATGTTTATTTTTTTTTATGTGGACATTTTTTCTACCACAAAGCTTACACTGATTATCAAGTGTAGCATTTTTTCTGAAAGGAAATGTTCTTTGGGTGGTACTTTAAAAAGGTTATTTTTTGTCATTTTTATTAGTATCCGAGATAATAAGGAAAAAGGACGAACAAACTTCGAACGAGGGTGCAGCCATTGTTGTAGGTAAAAAGTTAGGAAGGTAGGATACAGATAGAAACTTAATGTATATCTATAAGCAGCGATAATCTATTGCTAAAAAAAAAAAAACGATTCTGAGTGGTGGAGTTCAGTTGATAGTGTTGCTTTGCCAACAATACAATATATAGTTTATGTAAGGTGACTAGACTTTTTTGATGCATTGTCCTATGTCCTTAACAATAATATTAAGTATATGCAATTGTACTCTTTTTTAAAATTTAAATTATTAATAATAAATAAATAAACATATTAATGAACTTTGTATTTATTTCTTTATTTATTTAAATGTTTACCTTTAATAATTAATATTTATACTTTAGTTGTACATGTATACTTTTAAGGTTACTTAAAATTAATTAAATTTCAAAATATTTTCACCAAAAAAATACAAACCAAATGAGTTGAAATTATGATTTTAAATATCTAATTAGTTTTTACAGTTGATAATAAAAAAAGTAATAATATAGTAATCGGATAAAAAAAAAAAAAAAAAAGTATATAGATGGAGATAAGCTTTAGGCAAAATGAGTAGAATAGTATACATATTGGTCAATTCTTTAAAGGGGGGAGGGGTTTATAATGGAGGACCTAAATTATAAAATTTATTTTGTTTTTGATTTTTATATCTGTCACCGTATTGCACCATTGTCTATGTCATATTATGGTAAAATTATTAAAACAATGTGCGTTTCCATGACGAAAACGATTGTTTAAAAAGATTAAAATATTAAAAACTTAGTAATAACAAAAAATAAATAATAACGGTTGCTAATGACAACCATATTTTTAATTTTTCAATCTTTTTTAACTTAATGACTAAGGTTTTTCTCATTATCTTAAATATTAATGAGAATTTTAAAAAAAAGATCTCTTTAAAGTACTATCCACAGAACATTTATTTTAAGAAAACGTGCCAAATTTGAAAATAAGAGTGTGTTTACTGGTAGTAAAAGTTTTCACATAAAAAAAAGAATAATAATAATAATAAAAATAAACATCATTGTAGAACCAATACATTCCTCTCAGAATTTAAAACCTGATTATTTAGGTTAAAATAGGTTGAGAGATTAAATATAAGATTGTTATTGGCAACCGTTTTTATTTATTTTTTGTTATTAATAAGTTTTTATTATTTTAAAATTTTTTTTAAACAATCATTGCTGCCATGGAAACTCACATTGTTGTAATAATTTTACCAAAATCTATATACATAGATATGTATACAAAGTAAGACGTTCGATACTCTATTTCACTCATCAACGCCTAACCCAAACTACCGGACTGATCGGGCTGACACTTTTGAGTTATTTATAAACATTTTAGTTTAGTGATATTTGTACGTAATTTTTATTTAATAGGTACTCTGTAGATAAATTGTTAGACTTAACAAAAATGCTTAAAAATTTGATTTGACGAGAGGTTCATTAAAAGTCGTACTTTGTGTTAAAAAAAAAAATTGAATATAATGTAGTATTTTTTATTTTTTGATAAGTTTTAAAATCAAATTTTTACGAAACTTTTAAATATTACTGTCTTTCAAAACATGTATAACCGAACTGTGCTCTAAATCGTTTTCTATTATCAATTGTTTATCGTTGCTTACAAATATAAATTAAATAACTTTATGTGTCCTATACCTTTCCAACTACCTACCTACAACAGTGGCGTGCGAAGTATGTCCATTTTTTTTATTTTCATGTTATTTAGTTTAATATATTCATAAGGACTTTTTCTAGACGTAGTAATATTTTCAGATTATTTGATCCTTTTTTGAGCTGAGTGGCCACACCTGTTCCCAGTACCAGTTCTTTTTCTTAAATTTAAGTATAACTATTTAACTAGCTACTTAATACCCACCCTTTTTACATTTTATCAATATACACTCATTTTCTAATAACGTTTTTGATATTTTCATTCACAAACGAGCGTATGTTTTATGGCCCAAAATATTAATTATTTATTGAGATTTTGAGTTTAAAAGAACTATCTGTCTTTAGATCATTTTTCATTTATATTCTTGCGATATAATAATAATAGTTTTACACTTATATGGATTAGGTGGGATTATTTCGAGTCTTCACTTGTTTAATATGTAATAATCATTACTGAGACAGAGGTCTCCTAACATTTTTTTTTTTATTTTGTGCAGTCATAATTTTTTATATTTTTTAGGTACTTTTTATCACTGTTTAATAGAAAAAGCATTTATCGAAACGATAATCATAAATAAAATCATACATTTATTTATTTAAAATATTATTTTAAAAGATCGCATTACAAAAGAACAAATATTAACTAAATTCATTAATTAATCAATGTACTTAATATACAAATGTCTACCTAATTTAATCAATGAAAAGTAAAGTTTCATTAAAACTTTATTATTTTAGTCATAGAATGGCATATTATTAAATAAGGTAAGTTTTTTTTTATTTTAGAAATTTTTAAATATTTTTTAATTAAATTGCTAGAATAAAAAAATGTACATAACCTATTTTTAGTGCATATTTTAGATTTTGTATGTTTATAAGTGCTTGCATATTTCGTGGTTTTTTAGAACTGAATGTCCTCTGTCATAATTATCACCTTTTACAATGATTTCCACTTTTAGGTGTTTTTAAGTCATCGAAATCGCTGATACTGCGTAAGACGGCAGTATAATAATACTATCATATGGTGTATTTTAGAAAGTATGAAGTTGACTGTATAAAACAATTCATTAACTACTTGTAAATCGAACATTTACAAAATTATAATATCGTGTACTTCGATTTATTACCTGTCCTTTGACCTTTGGCTACCATATTATTAGTGTTTGGCTTGTCGTATTCGATATGTCAATTGCATGACTTATCAAACGTAAACGTGAATTTCAGGACTTCTTC